AAATGTTATTTACCTCTCAGTATAAAATTTTCAAATAAACTTTAACTTAAAAATTTGAACCGCTTATCATAAAGGGACGTTAAAATTGCTTGTTTTTAAAACATCTGAGCGAGATAAAATACTGTAATTTTCTCCGGCACTCATCGAGTTTTCAATTACACCCGAATTTCAGGACTTCATGTCTTATTTGCCGTCGGAAACCAACTTTATAGTGAAACGTGGTGGCTAGCTAAGAGCTAGGAACAAACAACAAGTACTGTAAACCAGACTGAAAGCCATTTAATCAAAAACGTAAAAAAAAAAAACCGGAAATTTTGCATGAATATTCAACGAAACGATTCATCTATCAGAAATGAAATGTGCAATCAATTTTACCTCAAGATTACAATTATCTCTGGAACTCCCCGGCAGATCTTTCTACAACATGAATTTGCGTCATTTTGGCTTACTTTTATTAGGTAAAGCCCGTTAATGTCACTAGCTCAAATCTTCATTCTAAAATTGAGTCGATCTAGAAACATTCATTTTATTCATTTAATTTTCATGTGACACTTTTGTCACCATTCCAGTTTTGTTGCGACTAAAACATCTTGCATACATAGCTTCTAATAATTCAAACAATAAATGGTGGTATATTTTTCGAGTCACTTTAATCAAGCGTTACCAGTAAGTCGGAAAAAGAAGAAACCCATTGTGAAATCCTGCAGATTTACAGACAGGAAAAAAAGCTCGCTCACTTACCGTTGAGTACGATAGAGATCTCCAAAATCGCTTAACCCTTGCATAATGCGATCGCTCCTTAGTCTGCTACATAAGAAAAAAAGAAAACCTTCTTTTTCTTGCCTTTAACGAATTAGCTTGTTTTAACCGGCACAACCAAAAGTTACTTGTAATTCAGCAAACGCGAATGTTATCCAGTTGTACAGAATAATTATACGATGTGTTTTGGCTGAAAATTATTGCATAAATGTTTGCCACCCACGTAAGGCAGAGAAACGATTGTATATGACGTTAGCCGTCCGGCAATTATGGTACAGAAATAAAAGGTTGCACATAACCCATTGTTTTGACATCCTCTTGAAGCACGGAATGGATACCAGAGTTCAATTCAGATTATTATTTCTGCAGCCAGGCATTTGTTCCTCACATGAAAGCAAAAGAATTAAAATTCTCACATCTCAAACTTCAGGTTAACCGGAGCTAACTAAAGTTTTAAACAAACTTATGGGCCGCCAATCCTAATTTTCAACGTCAACGGTATGCATGGACCATTAGCTTTTTTTTTAAAAGCGGTTGAAGATGGAAAGAAAGAGGAAAAAGAAGGGTATTCAAGAGACCAGAATCGCAATACACTGTTCATAAGTGGTCATTCTCTTAGGAATATGTTTAAATTTGTGTTCTGCACATTTTGCGCTATTTGCAAGTCGTTGCAAGCCGAAATAAACGGTCGAATTGCATTACCGGGCTTCAAATACTACGAAAATGTTAAACGCCTTTGATCGTTTAGACAAGCAGAACGTCATTTTTCATGTTTACAGAAACATAATTAAGAGTGAACCGCTTTCACCTGCTTGAAAGCTTTTAAGAAGAAACCTCCTTTTGATCACATGGAAAACACAATTTGAACCCATTTCTAAGCAAACACATGGCTTCTTGGACTTTTTTCCTCCTTGTCGGCTTTTTTGTGTTATTGTTTGTGCTATAGAATCTCACTCCAATTTAAAATTGTATTTGACAAGTATACGTACAAGCCAGGCGGAAAATTGTCAACAGTGACAATGCCCTTTCCCTTTTCTCAAATAAAACGGAAATATAACTGACCGCATGTAAAATATATTGCCGATTGAATTAATTTTATGTCGCTGCGCTCGTTAAATAAACAGATGTCGTCTCAAACTTTCATAATTGAGTCTCTTAGGAGCCGCTCAGGATTCAGAAGACCTTGAAATTCCTCTGTTAAACTTCAGTAGAAGTCGGCTGACCTCAGATGCCTTCAATGCACGATTTTTTTATCTTTCGATGACAATCTTATTGCATATAGGAATAAGGAAGTTTTACCTGCCTCAATTTCATGCACTAGACCCAATTCCCCTCGCTCCTCTCTAAGCATATCGATTTAAGCCGCCGAAAAATGGTCGGAAACCGCCTGTGCAATGTGCAGGGAATACGAATCAACCCTTGCGTAACACCAGTGGCGTTTGACATGAGTGCTAGCAAAATAGAGATAACTTTTCCATGCAGCCTAATATATGTTTGTGACGTATACATGTACAATGAACATACATGACGTCTAAAAGCGACGAAAGTGACGTCATTTATCAATATTGACCTATGCATGTAATATAACCTAACTGCCTAATGTTTAAGCTTTGTTAGAATCGCGACAAACCAATCAAAAGTTGTGGCAGAGAACACGTGACCTCGCACAAGGAATTACATCTCACCTCTCCATACTAGATAAACGCAATTTCCTTGAAAAATGAGTATATTTGGAAAGTGGAAAATGAATGATAAGTAAGGAAATGAAAAGCGTGAGTGATGCGACAAAAAATGTAGAAGACGCCAGAATGCTGACATCGTGGTAATTTTTTTTTCAGTCCAAGAGAAGCAAAGCTTTTTAGAATTCTGTTAAATGTTTCTCACAATTATAAAGTGTTATAACTCATCTAGTATTAGTAATTAAAGTCGAAATATATTCGCTGACATTCCGGCAAATTAACGTTTCACTACCTAAACAGAACTTCGCAAGAAGTAGTTCGCAGATTGTTCACCAATCTCAAATCTCAAAAATTTGTTCTGAAAAAGAAAAAAAAATACCAAAACGCTCAGTTGAACCCCCGCAAAACTGTCGATTGTTACAAGGAGAGCTCAAACAGCAACGTTCGGTAAAATGAAGGTATTGTTTTGCGAATATTTTCAAAGAGCGAAGGTACAGTGCAGATCGAACGGCAAATGTTAATTACCTCTGTTCCTCTTTAGTTATTTTCATCACAAAAAGAAAAACAATACAATTAACTGTCGCGGAATCTTTCTTCGCAAGAGCGACATTTAGCGACAAGTTATCCATAGATAAATGAATCATTATTGAAGTGAGTTCAGGCGCTAAATTCAACATAAACTGTTCCTCTAAAAAAATGAAAAAAAGACAGAGATTCCCGTTATATTTTGCACTTACCGTAATGGGATTTTTTCATTTATTGCACTGTAATCGAAATCCTCTTCGGTTATCGTCTTCAAACGCATACCATCGGTGAATTGAGGCAATTAAAATATCAACCTTGAACGCTATTGAAACGAAAAAAAAGCTTTCCTTTGGTTACGCCAAATTTGAAATTGACATGGACTGCAAAATAAAGAAAAGGACATAAGCCTGCGTCATATTCTGAAAACTTTGGTTACCATAGAGACACATTCAGTGAGAAAATATTTACTGTAGATGAATACATAAGAGAGTTAAATAGCATGTAAAGACCACCTTCATAATGATAATAACAACAATAAATAGTAATAACAATATTGGTAATAATGATAATAATAATAATAATAATAATAATAATAACAATAATAATAATAACGAGTTCTAAGGACGCATTTCGTAAGTCTCGCTGTGTCTACCAATTTAAAATTTTAAGAAAATTAAATAAATGAAACTCTTACAATGCCCCGCCTCCATTCTGTAGGAATGAATAACCTAGATACAATTAATAAAATACAAAAATAAGTCGCTGGCTTACTAGTTAAAATGAATCAATTTAAAAATATGTCTTTTAAAAAGCGATATAAACGAATGGTATTGACGGTGTTTTCCGAATAGTTGCTCAAAGTGTATTCCCGAGTGACGACGCAACTGTGGAAAAGGTATGCCGCAGCTATGGAAATGGTATGCTGCAGCTATGGAAAAGGTATGCCGCAGTTATGGAAAAGTATGCAGCAGCTATGGAAATGGATGCTGCCGCTATGTAAAAGGTGTGTTGAGGTGACAAATCTAGGAATTGTGAGCAAACCCTACAAAGACGAGCGGAAACTGCGAGGTTCTGAAAACTTTGGTTTCCATAGAAACAAAACTCTTCAACAAAGTCCAAGATAGAGCGCAAAGGCATTTTGGGTTGATGAGATATTAACTTCAAGAATGGAGGTCCCACCCTGGAGGGATTGTTTCAAGAAGAGAATGGTTCTCAACTGAGCCATCATCGTCTGAAAATCAGTTTCATTTTCACAATCACCATTGTAAATCTGGTATGGTTTTCCGGGGAAACTCCAGAGCACGTGATCGTACTGACGACTTTTCAACCTTGAATGAAGAAGACAGAAATGTCATTCAAGCTGAATATTCCATCGGCGGCCGAAATTGATCACCCAGCTCGTGCCCTGAGTTTGACCGTTGTGTTTGTCTTGACGATGTCTCGTTCCAATCCTTTATAGTCCTAATTTGTTCTCACGGGAAAATCTTCCGTTTCGTGTTAAGAGCTTGACAGATTGTTAACTGTGCTAAAATTGCTCAGAAGTTGAACGAAAAGGCGGGTTTTCCTTCTTTATTCAGAATCTATCTATATTTTCGGAACAGTTTTCAACCCTCGAAAAAATACTACATGAGTAACGTGACTGCCAAATTTCCAAAACTTTATCTGTGTCTTTATCTGTCTGGGATTTAAGAGTAAATCTTCCCAAGTTTCTTACAAAAAGTTTATACAAAATATCCATCACTTCCACTGCATTTGGCTTGAATCTTCTTCACCTCCTAAATTCTTCGCACATCTTATATTCTTGATCGTGGACGGTAAAAATGTGAGCAAAAGTACAAGTCTGTTGGCATTCACAGTGGGCTGCGAGCAGTCCTTTCTTTCCGGCGAAGTCCGTCGCTTCGCGCAGGGAATTAGGGGAGGCTCCCAGAGTTCTGCGCGGCACCCTAGCATCAATTTCCTTTTTCGCAAATTTTTTTTTTAACTTTTTGACTCACGCGACGAACTTCACAAAAAGGAGGGACAACTCGTAATATTTATTCACGGAATTTCTCTGTACTTAATTAGGTGAATGTTCTCCTTGATATTTTTCAAAAGATCTTCAGCGGTTAACTCCGGTGATGTAGTTTTCGGCGCCTTCATCGAAACGTATGGTTTTAACTGGTGAGGAAGAAAAAAGAGAAATACGCAAGTCTGTTAAAACTGTACTGTTTTTTTTTTTTTTTTTTTTTTCCGGCCACCTTAGCGCTGTAGTTTTTGAGGCAGGAGCTCGCGAGATCAGAAGAAACACGCGCGCAAGAGAGAGAGTGGCATTTCTACAAGAGCTCTCGCGCGCCTAGCGCGCCAATATGAAACAATCGCTGGTTAATGGAGGTGTCGCCCCATAGCATGTTCGCCCTCGACCACTTCGCCTCCATCAAGACAGGTTCCGCCCAACAGATAAAACAAGTTTGCCCCCTGATCTTAAAATGACTTTAAATCCTTACGGTAAAACGTGTTCTTTTATGACGATCTTGATTAAGGTCCAAATAAGTCTGATTCGTAAGAAAAGTGACACGTTTTCCCTTAAGGAAACAAATTGAAAGATTTGGTTGCATAATATTATCTGGACGCCATAACTTCAGTCGTGGACACTGGCTGAAATTTAGCAGCAGACTTTGGAAGGTTGTTTGCAAAAATGCACTCTAGGCAGGTTTTGTTATAATTAAAGGGGTAAGTTTCTAAAGAAACTGTGGTGCTGCGTCGATGGGAGAGTATAGCAGGTAATTTAGTGTTAACAACTGGGTTGAAAACGTAAATTAGCCACCGTAAAGGGTAAAAAAGCTGACGTTTCGAGCGTTAGCCCTTCGTCAGAGCGATGGGCGATTATTTGTTACAATTACGTTGCTATGTATGCTGGGATGTTCTCAGGAGTAGTTGACTGCATAAATATCCTTAAAAGCGGTTTAAGTGTAGAAAGAATATGAACTCTTAATTTTTCACAAAACATTTGTGCAATTTTTCATCACTGTACACTATTGCTGCAGATTCACTTAGGAGTTTGTGACAGTGCAAAACTTAGTGAGCCCTGCTGGCCAACTGTTTGTTCAAAAAAGGATAAAATTGGTATGCAAAATATTCAAAAATATCCTGGTCCAAGATTCAACAATTTATTGAACCTATTTACTCCCATGATCACACTAGTAATTCTCCCTACTGGTTGCCATATAATTCTTACTATGTTAGTTGGGAGAATTTGGTATTGGATCGACAAATACTCCCCCTAATTGAAATTTTTTCTTTATTCTCATCACTTGTCTGCTTGATATTGTATTGATATTGTAAGGAGAAATTCTGTCTTGGTCACTCATGGGAGTGTGAGGGTTAGGTTAACTTTGTTACCTCAAAGCCTGTCAGGTCTGGAATAATAAACTGTGGCACTTTTCTTTGAGCTATGATGTAACCAGCTGCACCAAAAAAAAAAAACAATTTAATAGACATAAATTATCATTATTGGATCATTATGAAACAGATTATACAATAAGCTAAATTACCTATCCATTTCAATTGGTTCTTAATTATGATCTGTCAAAATTATCTATCAGCAAATGCATAAAAGGGGTGAGTTTCTTAAGAAACTGTGTTCCTGTGTCAGTGGGAGAGTATAACAGGGTAATTTAGTATTTTCAACTGAGTTGATAACGTGAATTGGCCACCATAAAGAGTATCAAAGCTGATGTTCTGAGTGATAGCCCTTCATCATTTGCTCCAACAAAGGGCTAACACTCCATGCAAAACATCAGCTTTGAAACTCTTTATGGTGGCCAATTTATGTTATCAATTAAGTTGATTAAACTAAATTACCCTAATCTAACAGCCCTTTGCATTTTTATCATTCAAAAAGAAAGTCTGTACTCATCATGGCCAATTGTGCCAGAACTTATCCTAGTTTCCACAGCCTGCAGAGCAGGCGAAATTTTGGCAAGCGAGAGCGTAGTATTTTCTTAGCAAAGAATTATGGCCTCCATCTTTAATTTCAATGGCAGCAGAAGGTGAGGGAAAAAAATTTGTACCAAGGGGGTGAGCAACAGTAAAAAATAAGGAATGGGGAGGGGTTGGGGGAGTGAATATTCTATTTTTGCCTTTCCCAGCCCTCTTTCTCCATTGTCAACTCTAACTCCAACTCAAACATGGCTGGTTGAATAAACCATCACATGCTTCTTGTTGTTAACTTGCCCTAATAAGACGCCTGCACTGCAGGCTACGCTTTCCATAGCATGAGGTGACAAGGATTATTACTTCCCTTCCTCCCTGGATGGGATACCAGTCCATTGCATGATTTTCCCCCCCTCTCCCCCCTCCACAGCATTTCATCTGGCTTCCCTGACCATCTGCATGTATATTTTTGTGGGCCTTCGATTGGCTCATTAGTTTCATATGTTCAAATAAATTTTTTCCTGTTCTCTTTTTTTTTTTAAGTATCAGGTACCCTTTTAAATTCTTGGGTAGAGATAGGCACTGTGAAAGTAAAGTGCTTTGTCCAAGAATACAATGCAATGACTCAGCCATCTCATTCCGAGTCTGGTGGATGAAGGCCACCACATCTCCCTCATAGGCCTAGAAAACAACACACACACTGAATACAAGCAGTGGGGTTAAGTTACCTCTTCTTGTGTGGAATCCAGGGTTTCTGACTCCTCGCCCTGCAAAAAATGATAGAGTCTTCAACTTCAATTGTTTTAACGTTATAGAAAAGAAGAATTCAAGTATCGCCATGATGCTAACCATTACAAACTACAGTGAAGTATTGTATATACATGCTTCTGATCTATACAAATCAAAAAAGCTGCAGGTATCACCATTGCATGGTTCCAGATTTTACAGCTGCCCCTAAGCTTTTCACACACTTTTATTTTTATTTTCTTACATATGTACAAGATATTCCTTTGATCCACAGATAGCAAATGCTTATCGAGGCGGGTCAAATTTTTTTTCTTGACAAACTTAATTTAATTACACTGGAAATAAAACAGAAATGAAGAAGTATAACATAAAAAGACAAAAAGATAAACAAGAAAAGAAAAAAAGGAAAATTACAGATGTCCATTGTAAAGGAGAAGAAGTTCTAGAGTTTTAAAGTGTACGATATGTAAATTGTAGAACTGGTTCAATTTGGTTCAATTTTGCTGTGTTTGAATTTTAGCATTGTCTCATTAGGCTCTATATAAGAATCCTCAGTTTGGTGACGTTGATGATTGAGTAGTATATATTTATGGACGTTTGAAGTTCTCGTCAAAAGTTTCATGATATTTGAAGGTGCTCTGTCATTATGAACATCGAGCATTAATTTACATGCAGCTTCATCACGTGAGAAGGTAGAATTTTTGCAGTTTACAAATAAGGGGATTGTATGTTCCTTTCTATCAACAAAGGTGATAGACCAGAACTACCTTAAAACCTCTTTTGCGTTATCTACAATTTACGTAGTAAAACAGATTAGTTTGCATGACCAACAGCAACATATACATCTCATAAATTATGAGATATTACAGTTGGTCTTGCAAATTATAACGTTATAATAATTGATTATCAAAACGGCGATCACAGGCTCTCGGTTCAGTAATGAGGTAAAATACCTTTGTAAAAATTCTTGTTTCCCATCTTTCCTGTCATAACACGACGCGTTGCGCCTCTGAAGAGTCCTCGAAGTATATTTAGCGGCATTGATCTTCTTCCTTCGCACTCAAATTGCAAATAATTACATCAAGAACTTTTCGCCTTAGATTTCAAAATGGCGACTGCTAAGTATCCACGCCTGTTGAAAACTTTTTGTCCCAGACTCCTCTCACTTAGCACAACATGACGGAGAAAGGAACGTGACGGTCTGACATGTATAGTAATGATATCTCGTAGTAAGTTTGAGAGAATATGTCAACACTGAAGAAATTTTCCTCTACTGCTAGGAACAAAAAGATTTCAGTGTCAAGCCCTGCTCGCAAATCAAGCGAAGGAGTTGTTGGGGATCATTTTTCTCAGGCTAGAATCAAGGAGGTGAGCTTGTCGTAAACACTTTGGCTTTGAACAGTGATCTTTCAAGCAGCAAGCTCACTAAAGTTAGGTTTTATACATTTAAAAACCATATCGGTCGCGAAATTTGTTAAGTGCTAAATTACTTACGAAGAAGGTTAATGTAAACAGTTTGTAAAAAGAACTCGGTAAAACTTGCGATGAATTTTACCGACTTTTTTACAATACACAACAATTTATTTCATCATTTTCGTGTTTCTCTTTACAACAGTAAGTTGAAGTAAGAGGCTTAAATGGCCCATGGTCCATCATATAACAAATCACTTATTTTATTAAACCCTTAGTTACCTAATATGAAAAGGACATGAACTCCTAAAGGACAAAGTAATCTAACAACTCTGTCACTTAAATGTCACACATTCCCTTGTAGAAAAATCAAAAGAAATTAGTGTAACATCAAGATAGCACTCCACAGCTGATAACCTGTTTATTCCCCTAACCTTTTTGGTCAATTATGCTCAGAAGCAACAAAGAGAATTCACTTTATGATCATCTTTTTTTGGAGTTTAAAGTTTATCTCTAGTACAGCATTGGCATCAAGTACCAGGTTTGATCATGCTTGCCTTGAATTCAGCAAGAGAAGAATCCTCAGTCTTTTTAACCCTTTAACCCCCAGATCAAATTTGTCATTCTCCTTACTGTCAACCATACAATCCTTATAATGTTAGTTCAGAGAATTTAGTATTGGATCAACTAATTATACCCAAATTGATATTTTTCTTTTTTCTCATCACTTATCTGGTTAAAATTGCATTGATATTGTATGGAGAAATTCTGTCTTGGTCACTCATGGGAATTAAAGGGTTAAAGATCTGGAGGTGGCTGTAAAGTTAAAAGAATTAACAAGATGTTACTGCAACCATACTATCCATTTGAAATTATCACAACTGGAGCTCATTACCAAAGGGAAAGTACATTTTGCCCTCAACAAGGAGCTTTAATTTTATGCAGTTTCTCTTTGCCCTTTATTTAATCCCCATGAATGATCAAGACAAAATTTCTCCTTGGGAAATCAATACAATATTAACCAGATAAGTAATGAGCACTCTATAAGAATTTTATGTCACACAGTAAGGAGAATTACTGAGGAGATCTTGAGAGTGAAAGGGTCAAAGTGGTGGTCTCTCTCATCTAATCCATGTGACAGCCAAACAGGCATGTCCTGGACTATGAAATCTCATTCATATGAAATGAGCATCATAAACTTCATGATTTATTGATTTTTTTAAAATTAATCTATTGCACGATAATTTAAATATTTCAATATCAGTTATATAAATCATATGGCCTCTGATTAAAAAACATGCTTATAAAACTGCGTCTTTACTTTCAAATGTGAGAGATCTATTTCCTAGCTAAAGATTCTTGGAGGTCAATCCAGTGACAGATTGTTTTACTCAGTATGAGTTCCATGTTCTTAGCACAGTATTTTGCATTTTTAATAATAGTATACAGTATTTATAGCATTTTTCCCAATGAAAAAAAGAGGATTAATATACAAAAAATCAAAATAAACCTACAAAACTAGATTGTCATTCTATAAATGAGGAAGAGGATTTTTCAAAACAACATTTTAACATTTTTCCATAAGCAGCAGTAATATGTGACTGTGCCCAGAATGGAGTTGCCAGGCCACCTTCTTTCAAAAGGGGGGTTTGGTGGCATGCTCCCCTTAAAAAAAGTTTGAAATTTAGACACTTAGAAATGTAACTTCCAGCATTTTACTTGACTAAACAGCATGAAAAAATACCTGTATTTATTACCCACTTGTTCTTATGGCTAAATACATATTTTTATTTAGTGCTCAACCAGCTTTGTATGTATTTATACCATTTCAGCTTGAGCAGCAAGTTTCAGATCTTAAGAAGCGCCTAGATGAACTACGCAAAGCAAAAAACACTACCGTCATTAAAAAGGACAAAGAATATGTAACCACAGGAACACCAAAAGCCTCTTCCATAAATGCTTCTACAGGATCACCAGGTCTCGCTGATTACCATAAGGAGAGGGTAACTTCATCTGACACATGTGCAGTACCTCAAAATAAGCTCCAAGAGGAGGATGTTAGAATATTACAGAAAAATATCGCCTCTTTGAAAGAACTTCACAAAGCTGAGCTCGAGGAACTGAGAAAAGAAGTAGAGAAGCAGGTATGGGTGTTTACATTTAGAATCATTCTGAACAATATTTGCGATTCTTGCAGATTTTCCTGATTTCCTCACATCGAGATAAGCAGTCAGTTTCCACTAGAATTTAACAAGATTTTTTTATTTGATCAGCAAAAACTTTATATCTTTCTTTTGAAAAGTGTTACGTCTAACGTAGTAGCATCCTTTGTACTCTTCGGAGTTACCTACATTATATGCTATTGCGCACATCTCCTCCTTAGTAAAATTAACAATACGCAAGGTAGCCATTTTGAAATATCCTTGCTTTAATCCTCTCGCGTGAGTGGATTATAGCGAGAAATGACTCAATCCTCAACCAATCAGAATGCGAGAATCTCTATAATCAACTGAGCAATTGAACCAAGAACAAGGTTATTCGTCGTTTGAAATACGCGCACATTTTATTAACAGGCCAGACAGTCAGACTCAAACATGGCAGCTGAACTCGAAAAACTCAAACAGGAAAATGAGGAACTTAAGGAAGAAAATGGATTGTTGCGTACCAGGGAAACAGGACTTCAACTGCAGGTTGATAATTTGTTAGAAGAACTAAGCAGGAAAGAAGCAGAATGGTGTTCGAAAGAGGAAAAGCTCATGTTAGAGGTACCTATCATTTTGGCACAGAGCAGTTTTCAATTGAATGTGGAAACTAAGTAAACCGAGATTGCATTGGCTTTCCTTACTTCGCTCTGTGATTGGTCCAGAAAATTCGCGCCACTTTCTCAACCAATCAGGTGAAAAACCAAAACCAATCACGACTTGGTCGCCCGCGTTTTCCCGCGCTTTAAGCTGTTTGCTTAGTTTTACTTTGAGTTTTCATTGCCTAATAATAATGTTAACAACGGCAGTCTTTTTTTTTTGTGATTAAATTGGTTTAAAAACTTGCGCTGGTCTCTCAGCCAATTGAAGCAAATCGTGTCTTGGTACCCGCGTTTCGGGCATCAAAATTTCTTCATCTGACCAACACTGAGGAATATTGCATTTGTTTTGCGTGTAGATAAAGACTTCTTGGGGTGAAAAGTACCAACAATGGATGGCTCAGACAGAACAGAAGATTGAAGAACTGCAGGCAGCCAACGATTTTCTGTAAGATTTGCTTTGTTGTATTTGTGTGATCCTTCAGAGAAACTTTAATTTGTATTAAATGTAGGGCTGTTTTTTGAGTGGAAAGTATACCTTTTTTTTAACGAATATAAGCGATCCTCGCCGTTATGAACACTACTGAACTAGTAGTTGAAATAAGGCCTGAAAAAAATTCAGGCCCATACGGGATTTGAACCCATGACCACTGCGATACCGGTGCAGCGCTCTACCAACTGAGCTAACAAACCAACTGGGAGCTGGTCATTATTTCAACTACTAGTTCATTAGTGTTCATAACTGCGAGCATCGCTTATATTCGTTTCTTATACCGCAGTGCACATATATGATTTTCATATATTTACAGTCATTATTCACCAAATTGGCATAAAGTAATTGAAATATTCCATAGTTTAATTTTTGTTTTTACAAACAAATTAGGGAAAGGGGAAGCTATAATTTCTTTATTTTATGAGTGGGACAAAGCTAGCTTGCACAAAGGCCCTCATAATTCACGCTTCGACACAAGTGTTTCCTCGCCTACAGCGAAAGTACGAGGCTTTCAGCAACGTGAGCGGAGGGGAGGTCTGCCTCGGGCCTTGCATTGATAATGATTAGTGCCAGCCCTCCGGCTAACTTCCCCCGACTCGCCTCACATATTCTTACGGGCAGAGAAACACGCGTCTTGCTGCGTTAATCATGAGAGCCTGCTTGCAAGCTAGAACAAACTCAACGAGGAGTGGAATCCAGAACGTCGGATTTCGGTGCGCCCCGATGTTCCACCACTTTAAGGTACAAAGAACTCGCTAGTGAGTCATGCTAGCAATAATTCAATTGCGAAGCGTCGTTTTTTCCTTTAAAAATTATTATCTTGCGTATCACCAGGAAAAGATTGCTACAAGAGAAGAACCAGCCCAGTATGAACTGATGATGCTTTGATAATAGAGGAGCTTCAAATGATGGGATAGCTGCAGTTAGTTATCTACTTTCGCGGCGAATACTGTAGCCTCTACTTTTCTCGAAAAGATTCAACGGTCCACGGTCTCCCAGATAGAGCCATTACCGGCGTGGCGAGTAAGAAGGGCAGCAGTGAGCAGAATAGATCACACATTCCTCGGCGCTCATGGCGAGAAGTTATTGAAAGCTCTGAAGGAGGGATGAAGCAAGCATGATAACAACAACAACCACAACGACGACTGAAACCATGCAATCACCACATGACCACTCATGTTTTCCTCCGCTGCGGGCAGTTTTGCATCCTGTCCTTGTCTTGGTTATGTTTGTTCCGGTTTGCACTTGTGATTACTTCGATTCTAGTTTTGCGACTTTCAATCGAAAAGCGGAAGAAAAACCAAGATAACCACCTTTAGACAACATTATTACGAGCTAAGATTTGATTTTAAAGTGTAACTAAGTGCAAAGTGTGAAAGCAATCGTGAATATTCGGTTATCGCGATTTCAAAACACAAATGGCTTCCGTGCCTTAGACCCGCGGAGAACAATGTGTGCACCGTATATCCGTGAAAACCCTCAATGAAACCTTTTTACATATTTAAGTTATGATGATTTTACATTTCAAAAGACAGATCCGTTGTGTTGGTGGATGTAGGAAGATAAATATTATGCCTTTACAAACTTTCAAAATATCGAGGACAATTGAATGAGGAAGTCGAAAGCTATCGACTGCGTAATTTAAGGTTGATTTTTTTGTGTACTCTTTTAAATTAGATTGAGACTTTAGTTTTTAATGAAAAATAAAATTTGTTTTACTTCCTTTACTATGACTAAGATTTTTTTTCTTCATGATGAAGAAAACAAAATCAAATCTTGCATAAGTTGTGAATGAATCGAACCGAATTTTTCTGCGGAAGTGAAAGAGCGATTGGAAAGGTTTTCTTCTTTCATCCGGAACTTTCTTTGAAATGCTTACCGGTTGAAAACAATATAAAACCACTTGAATCTCCTGCGCGGCTTCTTGGCTTAGCTGTTTGTAATGTCTTCTCTACCGAGACTATTTGTTATCAAGTCCCGCTGCTTCTCAGCAAAAACATTTAACCATATAAAATACAACTTGTGCGCCTCTTAGAATTCGATATAGTGTGCTAAATCGTAAGCGGTGTTTCTTGCAGTCATGCGGGCTTATTTCTTAATCCCGATGAAAACGTTTACACCGTTGAGTGCCTCTTTCCAAATCTCTTCATGCGCTTAAGTCGTTGATCAATTTCAGTTGGATGAAATCGTGTAAATTTTATGGCTTGTGTTCAGATACTGATTGATCATTCTTAATTGATCGGTGCCGGATCAAAAATGTATTTATTAAAATTAAGTTCATTTAAAATTTCACGCGCAATATCAGTTCTGATATGTCAAGAGACTTGAGTACCAAGCGGCCCATATACCAATCTCTATTTGTCTCAGACGTACTTGCTTCAAGTTCGCTTACAAGATCCTTCGGAGGTAAAACGGAATAGTTTCAGAAACCCGCTGGTCGCTGGTGAGGAAAGCTGGCATAAATAAAAAATGGCAACAAAATTGTGGAAGTTACGGTTTGAAGACGCAGCCCTTACAAAAACTTCATTATCTTGTCAGTGTGGCTAAATAAATCGATGAGAATTTTTAACCATCATTTGATTTATTTTGTACTCGTGGTCAGGGCCAAAAAAACTTGAGCATGAAATGTAAACAGAGAAAACCGCTGGTTTTCTTAGCCAGGTCCTCAACCAACATTCGGAATATTCAATCTTCATAGTTACAAACTTTCGCATCGATTTTGTTGAGTCACCGTTTACATGATTCGCGCCTAGGTTGTAAGACTTGTACTGCCCACGAGTAATATAATATATCAATTTTGATCACGTGCATGCCTGGGGCAAACTTCCGGTACGATAGGGGAAGTTGGACCCTCAATTAATTAGTTTTAGCGTGAATCGTATCACATCTTTCATCTGGTTCACCCGACACAAAATGAAGTTAAAGCCATAGCGTGGCAATGGCAAATCCAGTAGTCCCGTCCACATTCCTCGATGTAACTTTCACAGATCTCTTCCCTATGGACACATTCGATAAAATTTGGACAAGAGAGGACATGTTTTCCTAGTGTGGGCAAAGCCTTCCGGCAGAACTTTTCGTGAAGGCCGAATTAAATAACGTCAACAAGTAGCTCAAGACTTGACATGTACAATTTCGTTTTCGGGGTGGGTGAGATAGTATGACGAGTTTTTCCTTGTAAATTCTTGCCCTTCGAAAAATAGCATTTTAGATTTTGTATTGAACATAGGGCCAAGGAAACAATAATTCATGAAATTTGCTATTTTCTAGTACTGATGAGTTGATAACCTGCACTCGGACATGCATCAGAAACACCGACACATCAATTCACGATCCTACCAAGTACTTCCCACTTAAACAGATAACCACAACAATATAATCCTTACCACGAACTGTCAGGGAGTGGAACTTCTTCCGGAAGATCTGGCTGAGAAGCCAAGTCTTGAGTCCTTCAAGAAAGATCTAACATGGCTTAGTATTTAGAACCCTTCTTTATTTCATTTCACTTACTGCCGATTATTTTCTTTTATGTTTTAAAGATCCTCCTCAGGTATTTTCTATACAGAAAGAGGCGGGGTCATAACGGAAAGAGAAGAAGAGGAAGACTTTACTTACCAGGGAAACTGGAAAATTCTACCACATCCTCACATTTTTTTCACATCAACGTAACGTTACAGTTTTATTTGACATTTCCCAACGGGAAGAGTGATAGACGACAACGAAAATAGCAACAAAAACATCAGCAAAAATAATGATGGTGCATTTCTGTACGTAACCAAATGCGTACGGCAGCCTCGCAGTCAGACCAAATTTCTGTTTAATGTAAAATTGCCTAGAAATTAGACCTGAAATGGGAGTCGGTAATTCTTTTTCCTTCCAAGTGGCGTATGAACTGAATAACATCATGGAACTCTCTAACAATTTACTTACCAAGCTTAATTCATTACATCATTTCTTTCGTTCTGAAGAAGGGCAAACGCTCGAAACCTCAGCTCCAGTAACTCTTTACGATGGCCAATTTACATCATTAACTCAGTCACATGTGAGTGGATGAAACCAAATTATCTAGTTACACCGACGCTGCACCACACTTTCTTTAGAAATTTACCCCCATTTTTAATTATTTCAGCCATTCTCTGTCTCCAAAGATTTCAATCAGTTCCCTTTTTTTCCCGAAGAAAAAGACAAAAAGGGATTACATAAAAAAAAACTACACCGAAAAGGAATTTAACTGAGGGAATTCTTACTATATATATATGTCTGCTTGTGGTTGTAAAGCACGATATAAGGCTTTTTTAAATCAAGATTATTTTTAACATCAAATCTTTTTTTTTATGGCATTCATTGGGGGAAAAGAGATGGCCCCCCTTCGGTGAGAGCCGAATGTTCCGGGAAAGGGTGATGACGTGCTCGTCAACAAACGCCCGTAAATTTGAGCAAAATCCAACCGCCAGTTCATTTGTAATGCGAGCTGCGTTGTATTTAAAATGTTCATTGCACACTGTTTGCAGAATTTGAATCCTTTTTAATTTTTAATTTTTATTTTTTAACTTTGTTCATCTGTGGCTCCCCTTCTGGTTTTGACAATCGAGCACTTTCGCACCCGGGCCCCCTCCCCTCCCCCTCCCCCTCCCCCTCCTAGGGAGTTCAAAGGTTGCTTAATTAAAGGCCACATTCAGAATAAACACATAGTCTAGAGGCGACGTCGTTAATTTAATTGAGAGACAACACAGCCTGCCAAAAATTAGGAAACTCATTACAAGACAATTTTTTTTGCAAATTTTTTTAAAGCTTCAAAGCTACATCATTACTTTAAAGTGCTGCTCAGAAGAAGAACGATGTTACTTCGCGCCCATCCGGGCTACGAAGCTTAGTGTGTTTGTAAAACTATACTTTGTTTTCGTCACGGAAGTTTCCAGAAAACCATATCCGCTCTGGCTTGGAAACGATCACATAGAGATGTTTTCAAAGTCACGTTCAGTTTCTCTTGCAAATTTAAAGAATACCGCTAAGAATTTAAGCCTCGTCAGGTTTCTTTTTGTGGTTTATTTGCTCTGAACGTGTGCGAATTAACGTACTTTTTAACGCTCACGCTCACGCAAACTCACGATCCACTATCTTGTCGTCCAGTGTTCAAAGCTTTGTTTTCGATATTCGTCACGTTGCAAAAGATATCAAATCATTTGCATCAGAAAAAAAAAAACATGGCATTAGCACACATCCTTGCCACTAAAGATAAGCGCAGCAGGCGAGCATAACAAAAACTATCAAGAGAGAGTTTTGTAAAGTTTCTTAAAGGAAGGCTAGATAATGAAACGCCGATGACAGTTTAGCATTTCAATTTCGGCTTTGAGTGACATCGACGTTTTAATTTCTCTCTCGGTTTTTTTGACAGTTTAAGTTGCTGCTATGTTCGGTTTCTTTTAAGCGATCCATGACGTAAATGCTACTTCATTTCCACCTCCGGCAAGCTGTACAATTCAGCTGCTCTCGCTTTCATTAAAATGCGGCAGTTCTTTAAAAAATAAAAGAAAATGAAGCAAAATAATATACAAGCGCAACGTACACCCTACGAAATAAATTTAAGACAACACCGGCGAATTGTTTTACCCAAGCTAAATAACGGATGACATAAGGAAACTAGGAAATGACTGTTTTCTAGCAGTTTCGAGGCAGCTGCAAATCGCTACTTTATTGGAAAAAGTCACAGACGTCATTCACAATGGAAAATCAACGCGTATTTTTCAATTTCCGGTCAAGTTTTCCACGCGCGTATTTCGCGCGTGATTTTTTAGCATGCGCAGTTGGCTTGTTGAGAACATGTAATCATGCGAAAATGGCGGATAAATCGCGAGGGCATAATCGCCATGGAAGTGTTGTACGAATTGGTTACTACAATATCGAAAAGACCATCGGAAAGGGAAATTTTGCAGTGGTCAAGCTTGCTACTCACTGCATCACAAAGGGAAAGGTACGGCGTTTAGCGAAATCCTCGACTTCATTCGTGACTTCTCTCAAAGAAGCGCACCGATAGAAACGCAACGACTCTTTACTGTCACTTCCAAGTTTTAAACAGCCATAAACCGAACTTCGTATCCAAACGGTTGACCGAAACAGTTATGTAGTTTGTTATATTGTGTATTATTTCATTGCGAAGTTGTTGAATTATTTTTCGTTGGCATCTTCTTCGACTAGGTTGCTATTAAAATCATCGACAAAAGTCAATTGGATCAAGAAAATTTAAAGAAAATTTTTCGCGAAGTTCATGTAATGAAGATGCTGGATCATCCTCACATTATTAAACTTTACGAGGTGAGTAATGAGTGTTATTTGTAAAAGTATTTTCTTCTATACACTTGTGGTTTATTATGCCCTTTGGTCGGTTTTACTTGTCATGTCTGTTCGCAGATGGATACCATCTTTTTCGAATCTTTTCATCTCCGGCGCTTGTCTCCGCAACAGCAATTTTAATGTGCTTCTGTGGAAAAATTTATTTCGGAGTCGGTTTGATTTGAAAATCGTTCACAAGGCTTTTTCAAGAAAAGAATGGCTGCAATTCTTGTTTCTTCTATTCGTGACAGACAGCGTGTTGCAGCTCACAATACCTGTACATTTACAACAGATTGCTTGTCGGCAAGACGAGAAAAGCAGAGTATAGGCCTCACTCCTTAAGTGCTCGTGTCACGTTCTGCTTTGGCTGATATCGGAACGGGTTCAGCTCTGTCTTAATCAGCATGGAGGTGAAACTCAGCCGGAAAAATTGTTCTTCTTTGCTTTCCTCAGATTCACGTGCATTACTTAAACGAATTTCACTTGAAATTTTGCACTGTAATCGTTGCTGGTTTCATAAAATGGCCTCCTCCAAATTCAAGCAATCTTCGGTTAATTTTCGCTTTATATACTGTGGAAAATGATCACATATTGGGCCCAATCTTAATTTGCAAATTTTAAAGCGAAATTTGCGCACTTTCACTGCAAAATATTCTCTTTCGCCTGGAGTGTAAATATACAAATTCTCACCGTCGATGTTTTTGTTTACAAATTGAGAACCGCGGTTGTTTGAAATGGTGTCGTTGCGTGGATTAAACCCAGCTGTAAATTGGAGAATTGTTGTGAAGTTTTCCAGAGCTAATGCTTTCATTTTATGAAAGGTGTGAACCTTTTCATGGTGAAACGAGTTTGTTTGAGTCATAACGGTTGAATTTTACTGTCTTCGGATTATTAAACTGCAAGTAATTTAGCCTTATAAATATTCCATTTCTTTCCTGTCTTGTGGACCACTAGCGTTGCAATTGCTTTTTGTCTGTGCTTGCAACTACTTTATACAGAGGAACCATCTGTTTCGATCGAAACAATTTGTCAGACGTGAGTTCGACACACATGGATGAATCCACAAAACGTGTTAACATCGCTTGTTCCAGTGCTCCAGGACGGTATCTAATCCCCTAAGATTCACCAAATGGTTTTGATTTGCATGAAAAACCTAGTTGTGCTTTCATTGTACACGTTTCCTGAGTCACCTAAGCGCTTGGAAAGAATGGGCTATAGTTTTATTTCGCGGAAAGGTTATCAACATTTAGCTCCCAGCTGAGGCACCTTGCAATCGTTAATCGAACCATCGACACCATACAATGTATAATTGTACGCTTTCTTACACTATGAATTTCTTGAGTATTACTTGACCAAAGTGAATTTCTTCTCATATTTCACCAATACCCTGTACGAAATTTCAATTTATCTCTACGAAGAGATAAAACGTCGACTTCAAAGGTGTTTTATCTTCCATCAAAGTCTCTAGGCAGGCCGTTTGAAGTGCTTTTGAGAAGTTTATGTAGCCAGGGATAATATTCGCTGGAGATCGAACAATAGAGCGATCATCATAGCTGTTGACAGCATAAAATGACACAGTAAATATTTTGAATGAATTGGATACAAATTCTTTGGGCATTAATGCTTTAAATAGAGATCCTATTTTCAAAGTTATATAATTTTTTTATATAATTTTTAACTTAGAGGTTCCTAATCCCAATCTTCAAGACTGAATTATGAGGATTTTTAGTGAAGACTTTGGGTCATACCTGGCAAACTTGCCAAAAATATGACTCAACTTTTTTCTCTGTTTAAAAAAATGCATTATTATACAACTGAAAAATTTAAAAAATTAAAGTTTTTTTTTTTTTTACACTGGAAATGAAAAAGATATTGACTGTCAGACTTGCATGCTCTTCATACTGGTCTTTTTTCCCTTACTGAATCACTCTGGTACAAGCAAGTTGTAATTAAGTAGTGTGCATAATTAAGTTAGTTCTCCTTAATTAAGATTTCTCTGTCGAGCAGTCAGTATCTGTCTAATACAATCATGGTCTTACAAGGATCATTTATCTGTTCTCATTTACAAGAGGTGAAAGATACAATTTTTGACTATGAGGCAGTTGTCTAGAACTGCATCATTTGTATAGGCAAATTTAGTAGGATTTTTTTTGCGGTCTAAATAAATTTTGCTGTTGAACACTATTTGAAGTTTTTGCAAGGGGCAAATTTTTGTGGCCTTGAAAGAAATTTATTATTTTCAGATTTCCAAGCATGTGAGCAACACAAAGAGAAAGCCCATAGTAAATACATACTGAGTGATTCCGAATACGAAGAGAGCAAAGTTTTTCAATCGACAGAGGGAAGCAGATTCTTGTTTAGTCTTATGTTGTGTTACATTTTTCAGTGGGAGATTATTCTTGTAGATTGGGAGCAATTTGTGTAATATCGTGATATTAACACCCCAAAGTTGTCCAGCCATAGAGTAGTTTGAAATTGATATTTGAAATTGATATTTTCGTGTGTTACTGTTGCATGTTAGATCCTGAATGATGTCCAGTTTTACTCGCAGAATATTCCCCGATATGTCTTTTCCCTTTTTTTGACTGTGTGAAACCACTAAACAAAAACTATACATTCATGAGACACAGCAGAGAAATGGCTAAAAGTGAAGGAGATAAACCAGATTGTAACTGATGGAGCTTGAGATGTTTGGTGTGAATTTTTAAAGATCCTTGTGCAAACTGTGATTAAAGTGTATAGTAGTGATATATGTTTAAGAGTGTGCGGTTGATATCAGTATGGCTTTATGCCATGAACAGATTAAGTACATTAAATAACTTTTATTGCAAAATGGTTTAAATGGTTCGGTTCCTTGTTGAGGATCTAGGTTGACAAAAACATTGTTCACGCACATGTTCTCTGGTTATCGTTTTATTTCTTCCTGTGGTCATAATTGGCTGTATGTTGGTTATTTGTTGTCAGTGGGTTAAGAACTGTTGCAAAATTTATGCTTTGAAAACAATCTCAAATTACATGTATTTCGAGTATTGCGCATGTGCTCCTGTGTTGCTTGGGTTGCGGTGCAATAAATCTTATAAAGCCCAGTCACTACTGTCGTTGCAAATCAGCACGATAGGCCATTTCGAGCGACATTGTGGTCGCATCTCAGTGAACTTTACAGTAATGTGCATTATATCAATATTCAAAGCATTTTTTTTAACCAACTGGAATCATCTTTTTTTTTTTGGGCATGTAGATTTATACAATTGTAAAAATGTTATTGTCACCTAAAAGGTATTCTTCCATGAAGAATTCGATTCAACAGCTTAAAAACACACAAGCTATGTTACTCTTTTAAATTCAATTGCAAAATCAGGGCTTGTCGATGAGTTCGACAGTAGTATGCTTCCATGTTGTCACGGATCCCATATTTTTCATCTGATTACCTACAAGACAGGAAATTTTTTCTGTTTAAATGTTACATTCATATAAACGTTTGAGCAAATTCTGAACATGGAATTGATCCAAACAACTAAACCTGCTGTCAGTAAATGATCCATTCAATTCTTCTCAGAAACTAGGGAGTGCAATTTTCTTTCCATGGTATTTCAGTGAAGGGACAATTTTTTCATCGTTGCCAATGGTAAAATGTGGTAAAAGTGACTGCTTGGCTTAAGATGTGAGACTGCACAGGGGTTTAAGTGAGATACCAGCTTTCTTTAACAGCTCTGACAATGTTCTGCTCTCATGGAGCCACAATTGAATCCATATGGTAAATGATGAAAAGTAACCAAGTTTTCCTGGGAGAAGAGGATTATTGTCGTAAAAATAAGATTTATCACAAATAAAGAATAATAAGGTTATATCACTGATTATGTAAATGAAGTTTGTCTGCCATGGTGGTATCCCTTCTTTCCGGTTCATGTACCCAGGGGACAACTTTTTTTTTTTTAAATTCAATGTGTAAATTGTCTCACAAGGTTATACATTGTTTACTTATTTTTATCCTTCCTGCTTTCTGTGGATTGGCATTTCCTGTGGTAGACAAATGCATTGTGAATTGCGGTTTGGTTCATCAGAGTGCAACAAAGAGGTTTCTGCCTATTTCGTCTACAGACAGAAGCACATTGTCTTTTGGTTTTTAATGGTTGGGCAAATTTGTTTGCCAATTATTTGGAGACCATGGAAAACAGAGTCTGTTGGGCATTCCATTTACTATGTAGTTTTATTTTACTTATGATTAATTAAATTGTGTTTGGTTAAAAACTCATACAGTAAACCGAGCATGTTTCAAAACAAAAGTTTGAAATTGCAAACTTATTTTTGCAAGATAAAGAGATGCACTTTGTGTGAATAAAAACACTATTGGTTTTGAACAAACAGCTGTAAAAACAAGCTGAAATGAGAATTTTTGTTTTAGGAAAGTTATAGAAAAGATCTTTAGTTCTACCATGTAAGCAACAGGGAACTTGCTTGAAAAGTTAGATGTTGTGCCAGCTTCACATGGGACAAAGTGAATTTTTTTTTGGAATTCAAGTTGTTGACAATGGAAATCAAGAACCTTGAAGCCCTTTTTGAAACCACATTTGGATGTTGATTTTTGATTGCTACAGTACCTACAAAAGGGTGTTCCTCCTAGTCTTAAAAAAATTATTAATCTACCAATATGAATTTCTTCAGTTGGAGTTTTAGTCTTCATTTTTATTGCAAAGGAAGCATAGCCACAACCATTGGAATATTGCTATGTAAACTTTTGTATTATGTCTGATACACTGTTGAGTAGAGTCAAAATAACAATGGCTAAGAAAACAAAAACGCAGTGGAAATCAGAAGACTATCAGCATGCATCTGATTCTTGTTTCTATTGCTTGGAGATTTTAAATCAATTTGGTTTATCAACTGAGGTGATAATGTAAATTGGCCACCATAAAGAGCATTAGCACTTCATCAGAGCAAATGATGCAGGGCTAACTCTTGAAAGGTCAGCTTTAGCAATTCTTAATGGTGGCCAATTTACATTAACTTAGTTGGTAAAACCAAATTACTTGTATCTTGTAATATCCCTCAGCTGACGCAGCACCACTATGACAGTTTCTTTAGAAACACATCCCTTTGATAGATTTTAAAGTAGTTGTGCCCTTCAAGACTAGTATTGACTTGTAACATTGTGTCAAAAATTTCTCTCTTCAAAGGTTTTATGGTACTGTACAGCTGTATGTGAAAAACAATCATATAACATGCCACAGAGTTTCTAACATACTTTATAAACTATATTTTTGTTTTTAATTAACTAATGCCAACTTTGCATGTAGTTTTTGGCATGAGCTCTCTGCAGTTCAAATACGACAAAAACTTCAGCAAAAAAGCAAAGGGGGTTTCTTATCAGTTTGAATAAATGAAATTCATTCGAAGGGTTTGAGACTGTTTGGAATAGGTTTGTTTGGTAGTTGTTTTTTTTCTCTCTGGAAATTTTTTGGTATAATCAGGGCTCAAAGTAACTGTGGGTCAACATGCAATATCTGGTTAAGATGACAATTTGTGCAAACAAATTTCTGGTTTGACAGTCATTTTGACCAATCATGTAAACAGCTTTCAAACATTACATTAGAAACAGTGAAGTCATAAAATCTTGCAGCTGCTTGTAGTCATAAATTTGGAGAATGCAGATGAGAAGGTTTCGTTCTGCAGCTTTGTGAATGCTAAGGCGGGTTCGCAGTTTGAGAAAACAAAAGAAAAACAGTGATGTCTGTAAACATACTAAAGAGACAACAATGAATATTACGTTAAGCAACAATTGTTATAACAAGACACTTACAGCTGTAGAGTTTCAATTCCTGAGTGGTTGCATTAAAAAAACACAATGGAAAGTGGTTTATGTACAAAAAAAAATTAAAAGAGAATCTTTTGAATATGCAAATAACAAATGCAGCTGGCACTTTTAGCAAGCAAAACTTTTGAACTCTATGGCGACAAGTGTTCGAGCATACAAGGCTTAAGGGTATATATTTGTCTAACTGGTTATTACTTGACCCTCAAACCTCTAAAAGTGACTAGCATTTTATTTCTCGTTACAATATCACCCCTGAGTCAAACATTAAGGTAACAAGAAATAAGTGAATGATCGTCAACTGGAGCAGGAACTGGATTCCACAATTTCTCCTTGTATGCCACTTAAAAAAGGTATAAAGAGCAGTGTGGAGAATATGCTTACTAACGTTGGGGCGTAAAGGAGTGAAGTACATATTTTTGATATTTTGACTTGTCGGCGAGGAGAAACAATTGAGGATAAATTTGTTTGGCGTCTGAACATGCCTGGCAGCCGTGAAAAAAATTATTTATGATGCAGCCATAGCTATTGTAAGACTAATTGTTTTGTGGCACCTGTCATGTGCAACATGTACAAAAATTGCCTTACATCATGCATCTATCTTTCTTCCAGTTTGCTCTTGGTTACATTGTTCCATTTAGTTACATGGTAAATGTCTTAGATTTCTAGTTTTTGTTTTGTTGTGTTTTGAAATTAATTGTTTAGTTATCATGTAGAATCCTTGTTGCTGTGTGTCTGTTCAGAAATAGATGACATTAAAATTGTAGCCCAGGGTTATACGGATGATTTTACCATATTGGTTGATGTCTCCTGTGATCTGTCACTTAACAGATGTAGGACAAAATGGAATCTATTTGTTTTTGTGCAATAGAAAGGTGAAATGCTGTTAATGGTGATGTCATCTGTGTCCGTCCTCTACATGATCTTAAGTAGAAATGGATCAAAGTGCATGTGTAGTTTAGCATAAATTTATACAGTATGAATAGAAATCAGTCACACATGTAAATTTGTGAATGTAATGCTCTTCTTTTATATGCAAAAAAACATTAATCTTGAAAGGTGAAACAAAAGGAGTGCTTGAAAAAAGGTTTCTGTTGCATTTCTCACTGAAAGCTGCAAAACCTCTGATCAATAGTTTTTATAATAATCAGCACTTTCACTGCCCATGTGATCCGTAAATGCTTCTCAATAAGTTACACGTCTTCTGTTGCTAGGATTTAAGTACATGTGCCAGTGAAGTACTGGTATCATTATCCTCCTCTTTTCAATGTAAGAGCTCTTTCTGTGGGAATTAACACCGTCTTTTGTAAAGGAACAACCATTTTTGGCGAATAGTGGTACATGTAGTTGCAAATTAACATGCAGCTTTGTTTGAAAACTTAAAAATGATACTTTGTAAAGGTGGACAAATGAAGAGGATGTAGAATTTAATGAAAAGGAAACATGAATTGTGAGAGATGGAGGAGAAAGACAGATTGTGCATGGAAAACTTAAAATTATGTTTTGACAAAGGTTAATTAGCCATGTATAGTTTATCTTCAAACGTCAACTTCAAGTCGAAAACATCCTGTCGAAAAGCAACTAAGGTACAGACATAATGTTATTTTTTGGTTGTCTTGCAAACAGGTGATGGAATCAGACAGGATGATGTATTTAGTCACAGAACATGCAAGCAAAGGAGAAATATTTGGTGAGCATTCATCTTCATCGGCTTAGTCCTCACAAGCTTGTCTCAACCCCCAGAAGTGATTAACATGTAACTTCTCCCTTTAACAACCATATATTATCCAGCAAACAGGTGGAAGCTGTTATCTTGATCTACCAACAAATTCTCATTGCTAATTTACAAGAAATGTGTAGCAGCTAGAGGGGAGAATTAACAGTTAGATCATGAGAGTTAAAGGGTTCATGCAAACAAAAATTGTTGTTTGAAATTTGGTTGTATTGGTTGTTGGTTGATTCTGAATAAATCATTCTGTCAAGGGAAACCATAAAAGGTTCAAGACGAGTTTATTTTCAAACCTCTTTTTGGTATTTTGAAAAAAATAAACTCTACTTTTGGTATTTGTGTGGTGGTATATACTAAAACTGACATTCAACTTAGTGTTGTGGAAAGTGGTGGATATTTACCTCACTGCTTTCTGGCATAGTAAATATCCATCACTAGTTATCTCCACTTTGTTGAATATTTGCTAATTATTGAGGTTTTGAGTTACTTGACACAAATGTATGCGCTTTCTTGGTACATATGTGTTTTGCTAATAATTTTTATTTCTCCATTTGTTTTGCTTTAGATTATCTAGTTGCACATGGTAGAATGTCTGAAAAGGAGGCAAGGAAAAAATTTCTGCAAATTGCATCAGCTGTTGACAGTTGCCATAAGCAGTGTGTTGTACACAGAGACTTAAAAGTAAGGACTTTGGAATTTTTTGTTTGAGACACCTCAGCTTAGGCAATGCCTTGATATATGGGACATACATGTTAAACATTGGTCACAAATGAAATGTAGCTCCTGTAATCATTTTATATGTAAAGCCATGTTCAAACGATCATGATAGTTGATGATAGTTTCAACTATTAGGCGTGTTTTAACACGAACTAGCATGCCTTATCAGCAGCTATCATCAACTATCATCGACTATCACTTATTTTTTGACATGTTCAAATTCAACATGGTGGTTGATGACTACCATGTCAAATTTGACGTGGGGGAAGTAGACAAACAGGGCTGATAAGAGTTACTTTGTAAGTTGGAAGCCTCGCTCTTTAAGCACCAGCTTCTTTACATATGTAAACCGCCTTGTAGGTGGATCCTTAACCTTCACCCAACCTACGCACTAACATCAGTATGCATATTCTCCATAATGTTCTTTATACATTTCTTAATGTGCTGATAAGGAGAATTTGTTTACTAAGCAAAACCGTCTTAAGTTAGTGATCATTTCCTTTATTCTCAAGACCTTGATATGTGACTCAGGGTTGGTAATACAAAGAGAAACTGGATGCTGGTCACTTTTAGGCCCTTTCACGCCTGTGAGTGATAAACACCCAAATTTTCCTTACAATATCACGACTGAATCAAACGTGAATGTCGTGAGAAGGAAATGATTTCCAACCAAAGATGCTATTGATTATTAAACAAATCCTCTTGGTCAGGATCACAGGAAATGTATAAAGTACAGTAACGAGGTTGTGTTTAATGAGTAAAAGTGCAGAGGGTGAAGTGCATTTGAAGAACTGATTTTTTTTTTTTTACTTTTCAGGCAGAGAATCTTCTATTGGATGAGAATTTTAATATTAAAATTGCAGGTAAGCATATTTTCCAGGAGAATGAATTTTTTTTTGGTGTACAGGTGTATGTGGTACATGTAATAGGATATTTGTTTTGTTTTTTTTTCCCTCGGAACTTAAAACAACAGTTCTCTTCCTCTTCGTAGATTTTGGATTCAGTAACTTATTTCAAGAAGGAAAGCATCTGAAAACGTGGTGCGGAAGTCCTCCGTATGCTGCTCCGGAGCTCTTTGAAGGGAAAGCTTACTGTGGACCGGAAGTAGACATTTGGGTGAGTAAGTCATGACATATCAAGCTGTGCGGCCACGGATACATATTCCGGGCTGGTTGAGAAAGAATTGCGTTTAGGACTGTTTTGGACACAGGGAACAAAAAGGAACGTTTAGAAATACCTGTCACCACGAACTATTCTAATAAGATGACTTGACCACAGCAACTTTCCACGGAATATTTAGAGAGGTTAACTGAAGGGAAACTTTTGCTCTCATAGATGTTGTCGAAAAGTTTTGCGTCGGTAATGTATTAGGAGAGCAAGCCCTCCTTAACACGTGAATTTGCTTGGGAAGATATGTAAGTGTGATTTCGGGTTTCGTTTGGATATAAAGTAGTTTTCAGTAGGCTGTCGAATGAAACCATGAATTGCACTAGTTTTACTTTGCTTTGCCCTGTATTGGTCCAGAAAACTCGTGCTATTCTCTCGTCCAATCAGATCCAAAACTGAAATCAAACGCGCAATGGTCATCCGCCGGGCTTTCGGGGCAAACGTAGTTTCTTTGAAATCTCATTGGCTCATCTCTCCTGAATAAATGGGTGGTAAGTTAAGAAAGAAAAAACTGTGGTGCTGCCGGCGTCGGTGGGAGAGTAGAACAAAGTGATTTGGGATTATCAACTGAGTTGATAATGTAAATTGGCCACCATGAAGAGTTCACTCGCAGTCAAAGCTGAGGTGTGGAGCGTTAGCCCTTCGTTAGAGAGAATGGAATGGCGAAGGTCCAATGCTCGAAACGTCAGCTTTGAAACTCTTAACGGAGTCCAGTTTTCGTTATCAACTCAATGGATAATACAAATTTAGTTATTCCTTCCCTCTGATTGGCTGCGGTGATTACGCTGGGCTTTCTGTTAATTGATCGTTTTAACTTTTCAGAGTTTGGGTGTAGTCCTCTACGTGCTAGTGTGTGGGGCTTTGCCATTCGATGGCAGTACACTGCAAAGTTTGAGGTCCCGTGTGTTGGATGGCAGATTCAGAATTCCCTTCTTCATGTCTAGAGGTCAGTAATTCACCTAAAACATTGACTTTGATACGAATGAATGATATTATTATTAGCATGATATTATAGATGAGGTGAATTTGCTGAATACTGAGTTAAAATAAGACTTTGACATGGTCTGCAGATGGGATTTGAATGGTCACGAAGGTTTGATTCTCAAAATAAACAGTACCATATGAAAGTACTGATCAGTAAATTTTATCTGAATGGTACTCAGCAACACTTCACTTACAGAGATTGAAAGTTAAAGTAATCTTTTAAAGTATACACAAGAGAACTACATGAAAGTACATACATATACATCTCTTACTAACAGAGTTCAAGGTCCGAACTTTAACTTACGGACAGAGTTTTTTCCCTCGAGGTACCGTTACTTAAAATGAGGAGCAAGAAAACAATTTTAGTTAGATATTTTGTTATATCTCTGGGTTCAATCGAGTCGAAAGATTTCAATTCAAATAAACTTTTTAATGTAGCGGACCTTGCACTGAAATAACTACTTTGGTCGGCATAACAAACAGTGCGACATGAAGTTACTTCTCATTAGCCTACCTGAATGGTCACGCTTCAAGTTTCATCTATAGAATATTTATTTATATATAAATAGAACCACGTTGTCGAAAATAACAACTAAAGATAGAAAAACGCAGAAGGGGGATTAATTAACTGGGAAGAAACATTGATGGAGAAGATTCACGTTTACTGGGAAGAAAGATCTTATGAAATGTAGGCTGTAGGTTTGCTGATGCAAAAACCTTCACGTAGGTTTTTATCTTCGACATGCTTGCCTTCTCTTGGCGAATTATCAAATTTAGCCATCAGACAAACAACAAGTTGTTTCGTCTGTATTCACACTTCATTGCCTCGCTTAAATCACGCGAACAGATGAGATCGATATGCCCTTTCCTATTGCGGGTCAATTCCTAAGTGATAGATTGACGGATTGAAAGGATTTTGCAACATTAAAATGAAATCAGTTCAGACGGACACAGTCTGGTAGAGCGCTGGAGGCAGGCAATTTCCTCTCGCGGAACGAGGACCACACGCAGCCTGTTGCGTGGCCCTTTTTCTATGCCAGCCTAGGGGGAAGGGGACCGGGTGGACATGGGTGCGTTTTACAGCTTTTAAGTCCCTTCCCCTCTCCTCCTATAACATGGCTCCCACATGTCAGGGAAAAGTCAGGAAAAAAGTCGAGGAATTTCACTTTGAGTCGAACCCGGCTTTCGCGTCTTCCATAGGCTGAAAAACTTGGCAAAATCCCTCAGGGGTAATCTGCGTTGGACTCGCATCCTGCCCTGGTGGACTAGACTCCTAGTCGCTTCTTACCATAGAAACCGGCAGTTACGTAACCAACCAAACGACTTACTGTACCAATTTTGTCCTTATTTAGAATGTGAGCACCTCATTCGTCACATGTTGGTTCGTGATGTGGCCAAGAGGTACACAATGGTGCAGATTATCAACCACAAATGGCTGAACGAGATGACTGAGGAAGACAAAGCTAGCGCTCTAGCAACAGACACGATACCTGACTCGGAGCTGACTGAAGAAGTCTTGACAATAATGCAAAGCAGAGGAATTGATCGGGAAAAGACTATCCAGGTGCTAATTTTATTTCTTTACTTTCTTAAGTTTTACTGCCTTCTCAGAGCTTTACTTGTAGTTATTGTTAAACTTTTCAAGTTTCATAATGACGAAATTTCCTCGGTCGTGTCGATGGATGATGATGAAGCAAGGAGGGCTTTTTGATTGATTTGTTGATGTCAAAGCGCGCCAGGAGAAGGCAGATTCCTCTTCCGGCCTGCGCTTAATTCCCAAACAATATAGGAACGAAAATTTCTTGGGGTAGAATTTGCCTTAGTTCGAAATGTGTCTTACAAGTTTCATCGTCAAGTCAGGTATACTAGCTAGTGTTAATGTTGATAAGTTGAAGCTTATATTCTTGTTCAGAACCTCACACGCCAGTTTTGAACAAAGCGACTTGTTAGGGGGAAACGAGAAAGAAATTGGTTGGTGTCGATTATATGACAAGGGAATTTCTCAAGCACATTTCCAATGACTGAAGTTAAATTTTCCGTCAGAAAGTTTTTCTGGATACTTGAGCTGGTTATCAACTGACAAAACTCGACTTGACTCTAGTCGATAACTGTTGTATCTTAAATCATTTTCTTTGTTTCCGTTGCAGTCACTTTTCAAGAAGGATTACGACCAGTTCTCCGGTATTTATTTCACACTTCTGGAAAAGCTCAAAAGATCTGCCAGCTCGTCACACGATCCTTGCGCCAACATAACTGCCATACCTGGCAACTCAAGTGATTCAGAAATGATGGAGACAGAAGATGAGTTGGCTGGAGCTGAGAAACCGTCAATGAATGTTCCTACCGTCCAAGTGACTCCTGACTCGCCCACGAGGCGAGTGAAACCCCTCCAGGACCAATGGGACCTCACGCAGGAGGGTGACGAAGAAGACGATAAGATGCCGGATGAGATCCCTCCAAGCTTGAAGACCTATCTGGAGAAGCGGCGGCATACTCTGACCGCTGTGGATCCGTTGATGGAGCCGGAGCTACGAGAGATGCTCACTCAGAAATTCGTGCAACAGCCCTTGAGTCCTCTAAGTCAGCCCACTGAGGATGCATTCCAGGGTGCTTTAGGATTGAACCCAGGTTTGCCGCCGTATTCGCCCACGCTGGACCTGTCTTTGGCATACAAGGAGCAAATTCTGCAGGTGCCCAGTGTGTTCCAGCTTAGACCGCCCTTGGGAAGGAGGGCCTCCGATGGACCAACGAGCCTAGCCGCCGGAATAGCGCAATTTAATGCTCTTCGTGCCATGGCTGGAATAGGAGACGATAATCAGGGTCACACGGGCTCACTAAGCGGTTCGCCGTTAAACAGCCATAATCCACTTGTGTGTCAGTCACCATTCTCGGTTTCGCCCGGGCCATCGAGCCCTCAAATAAGCGAAGGGGCAAACGACAGCGGCTCAGATCAGGAACCAGATCAAGATGCCATTGCACGGTACATGGCATGTCGAGGGGCACGGCAACGTCACACCTCACCAAATGAAATGCCAGATGACATGCTTCAACTGCGATTATTACAAGTGCCGTTAAAAACCAGACGGACCGTGTTTCCTCCCGCAAGGGACCGTCCAGGACGGGAGGGACCCTTCATAACTACACCCTCCGGGATTCGATACAACGGATCAAGACGAGCTTCAGATGGATCTGCTTCGGTGCTAGCCTACAAGCAGCATATGGAGCGCATCAGCGGCAGCGGGTCCAAACGAAACAGCCTTCGTGAGCTGCAAGAGGAGTGCCTACAACTCCAGCAGCAGTATGGCCGAGTTGCTGAAGCAGAACAGCAGCGTAGACAACAGGAACAACACGAGCTTCATCTGCAGCAGCAGTTTTACAGTAGGAGGGCGTCGGACAGTGCTGACTCTTTAGCCGCCACACTCGCTCAGTTCCAGCAGCAGTACGCACCTGCTCATACGAGTCAGGAGTTGGACTTCGATGGGCAAAGAGTAGAAGTATTACTCCAGAGTTCGGTCGAAGATTTGGAGGAAATTCCAGCTCAGTCGTCGATGGAGCACCAAGATCTTCTTCACAAGGAGATGCAACGCTTGAACATTGAACACTGCACCCCGTCACCTTTCGACTCCGCAGGAATTATCCACTCCACTTCAGGAGGAATAGGTTCGGATCCTTCCGCGCTTTCCACTCTTGCACAAAATCTTGCCTCGAACTCGCCAAGAAACAGTCTTCTTATCGAGGACTCGTCGCCTGCATCCTCTACTGAGACATCGAACTTTCTCTCGCAGAATGTTATGTCAACACAAGCAAACACGACCTCGTTTCTATCCGATGGCGTCGCATTATCCTCTCCAGTTCCTTCGCCGCCGCCGTCTCCTCTTATATCAGCAGTGCCCCTCAATCAGCGGTATCCCATACCTAGCATTGCCACTTCTACCACAAGGACTGCGTCAAACGGAAGCTTGGCGGAGACAGTATCGGATACGGGAACTATTCCACCAATTCCCACCAGTATTCCAGCTGCTATGTTGGGAAATCCGGTTATAAATGAGAATGATCTTGAAGAGTTGGCAAGGGCTAGTAGATGGGGACTCGGCGGTGGCACAATGCCCCTAAGCCCTGCAACACTTCTCGGGACTATCGGGACAAATCCTGCGGCAGCGTTGCTCGCGGGAAACGTCGGGCAGCGGTCGCCAATGCATCACCGTCGACATCATACGGTGCCTTCTGCGCAAGACGCCTGGAATTCTATGGACTTGCTCAGAAGAGCGACCGCTAATAATGTTTTATCGCAAAACCAAGCAAGGGACATGTTAAACAACAATATTAATTTGGAAGAGGGACTAGGAATTAGAGACGGTCTTCTATATAGAACTTTTTCTCCCAACGGAACAATTCATCAAGACTCTTTACTTAATTCGCTTAGCAAAGGAGACGGTTCGCCCGACTTGACGCAAACGAACACTTTGCGTATGGCATTTTCTGTTAATATGACTTCTAGCAAGTGTATACCTGATATTCTTAGTGAAATAAGAAGATCGCTGGATCAGCGGTCTGCCAAGATTGCTTACGAACAGTCGGAGCAGACATTCACCCTACAGCAGGGGGGTGTGTGCGCTGAAATTGAAGTCTGCCCCCTCCGGGAGAATCTTAACGGATTGCGCTTGCGACGAGTCAGTGGCAACCAGTGGCATTACAAGAAACTTTGCAACGAGGTTCTTGCGGGAATGAACCTGTGACGTGACTGAAAGCGTATTGCGTGAATTGAATTGATAATTAGTTTTCTTTAAAACAAAGATTGCGTGAAAGTTGATGTAGATGGAGTGTAGCGCAAAACACTCATCTTTCACTCGCGTGACTTTGAGGTAAAGTGCTTTTATTGTGAATTTATTTCTTTCCTGAAAAAGAAGTTATACCCTAAATTAGGAGTAGATAATTGACTTACATAGCTCAAAAGTAAAAATTGTTCTCTTGTTTTCGTTGTAGGAAAGTTTTTTTTTTCTTCCCTTCTATTCGTGAAAGTCTAAACATGATATACGAGCAGTGTTTTTTGTGCTTGCAAATTAAGCGATTCATCTGCCTCTGTTATTGTTGAGCCGAAATTTTCATTCGGAAAAAAATTCCCTTAAAATTATCGTTAAATACTGATTCTTAACTTTTAATCCCAGAAATTGTTAACAGGCTCCTTGTATTTTCACTCCGTTTTCCAGTAAACAGGTCAAGAGAATCTAAGGGGAATTTTCTTAAATTTACAGCAAATGCTCTAAATTATTGAACAAAGCAACATAAGTTTGGTAGAAAGGAAAATTAGTTGACTAGATTTTCAGCGGCAGAGAACTATGGCGCAAAAACAAAGGACCTTGACCCCTGACAAATTCTCCTATTTTCATTCCCTTATCTTTCTCTAAATCGTCCTCTTCTGTTTGTCACGGCCTAACAGTATTGCAGAATTTGGTTAAAGCACAGGCCAGCGCGAACCAAATATTCGAGGACTGGGGAGAGTTGAGAAGAAGTGAGACAGGTTTATTTGGTTGAGATCGGCGTGATGTGGTCGAAATGTCTGGATTTTCTTTGAATGTTACCTTTGAAGTGCCCAATAACCTTTAAAGAAAGTGAATACCCTTGCTCTTTACCTTATCTTGTTCCTCATTTCATCCGAATGTCTCTGTAAACTCTGGCCTCTACCGTTCGCGAGAACTGCAAACTGCATGAAATTTCATATAGAGAAGAGGCTCAGAATGTTTTTTTTTTGTGTGTGTGTAGAAAAGGTTTTTTTTTAATCTGGTTCATTGCGCCTTTGCACTGGATCCCTTGTTCCAACTTGTGCTGATTTGACTACACGTAAATACTTTCACTTGATACAATATTGATTATAAAACAAGTTGTCTTTGTTCTGAATTTCTTACCTTAGCGGTTTCACCTGCATTAGTTGGCGTTCAGTCTGTGTATATAATTCCTAGGAATGAAATAAATTTTGCCTAAAATCGTTTGCACTTTGATTTTAATCGCACCACAAGCCCCAGCCAAATTCAGCAATAGTAGCCCCTGTCTAAAGACAGAAGTAAGGGTCGAGAACATTCCGGAAATGGTTCGGAAATATTCGGCACTTTTCGTAGCGTCTCGGGAAGTATTACATTTAGGTTAGGCTCTTTTCATCCTCAGAAATGGCTTGTTTTTAGCGATTAAAGTTGAAGCGTGGTAAATCTCGGCAGTGTATAAATAATTGTATAGTAATAAATTCCTTGCCTAGCCAAGTAAAATAATGTAATATATTTTCCTCCCGAGAAATATCACGAAGGTAAAAGATTGGTATTGCCCAACCACAGAATCTTTGTACAATAAAAGAGTATCAAAGTGCCTCTGATAAGGTTTGTCGAGGACTGCCATTTTGGCTGTTTAGGTGCATGGACCGAACGTGATCTCTTGACCCATCAGTATGTATTTTCTCCGCACTGTTCTCCGTACAATTCCTGGAGCGCTGACAAGGAGAATTTATTCAACGATCAGGAGCTTTTTCAGCTATAGATCATTTCCTTGATTCTCGTGACCTTAATGTTTAATTCAGGGGTGATATTGTGAGGAGAATTTAGAAGGTGGTCACTCTTAGGAGTTAACATTCGTATGCGTATTTTCCAGGCTGTGCTCTACACTTATCCTAGTGTGTTGACAAGGAGAATTTCTTTAACAATCAGGAGCTTTATCGTTCGTGATCATTTCTGTTATTCTCGTGACCTTTTTGTTGGAGTTAAGGGTGATATTCTAGGAGAGAAATTAGATGCTAGTCACTCTTGGGGATCATTCGGCCCTAGCTAACTATTTGTCGTTCTTGCATTACCCAGCGACTCGCTACTTCCCACTGCAAAAGTTTCTGTTGAAATTTATAATCTCTTACGCGAGCCTTTCTTCCAAATCATGAACACGAAGGCCTCAAGAAATATCACCTTTTGAAGTCCTGTTTAATACTTCCATATCCACCTTAAATTTAATCACAAATAAAAACGATTAAATATATAATGAATTACACAGCGTCTGGGTGAGAATCACGATGAGGTCATCCTTTCCACCAGTGTTCTGATCTGTTCTCACTCGGTTTGAAAAGTCCATACGTCTCCCTTATGAGTAGTCGCGGCAGTTATCACAGCATCAACCCGCCAATAGTATGTAGATCCTTTTAAAAGACTTTCAGTAAGGTAATGCACGTTACCATTATCGATGATTCTCTCCTTGTGCTCAGCTGAAGCCGGTGTTGCACTGGCGACGTTGGCCCTGTCTGTACCAAAGTACACATGATGGATGGAGGCTTTGTATGCGTTAAGCCACATCACTGCGTCTCTGTCGAACTGAGAGGGAAGAAAAGAAGGAATTACGCTTAGCAATTTGTGGTTTGAGTCCTGGAGTAGTAGACGATTGTTTGATGTGGCTGCGTGAATAGGACTAGTCCTGAAAATTACTTTTATCGGTGATATAATGAGTGAAGATCTAACAACCAGAGTAGAATCGAAGTTATCACTGAACAGATTCATCAGTCGAATGTGACAAGCCTGCTTCGATTACTTGAGATTGATTGTGCAATTTTGGCCATAAATTTTATTGGTTTTTGAGTAATTTTATCTCTGGCCTTGTTTTGTGATTGTTCACAATGAACTGCTAAAATTAGGAGTGTTCTGGCTCAGCGTTTGGGAATTGTCCAGGCTTGTAAGATTACCTTGAAGTCCATGTGCGTGTCTTGAGAGCCTTGTTTTGTCATGTGACGAAAGACCACACGTACAGTTTTGCTTTTGAGTGATTTGTCCTTGACCGTTATAATTAGATGTAACTCTCGGACGGTCATCGCCCTCTCTATTTATAAATGACCTTGTTTAGAGTCCCCAACAGGACGACTCGTTCGGGTTTTAGTTTTAAAAATACGTTTAATCTGCCAAGGCCAGTTGTCCGTAAGCCCACGCATGCCAACCCGTAGGATGTTTAAGAGCGTGTACTTACAGGTAAAAGAGGTCTCTTTAAAAGTATTAAGAAAAGAGTGGCAGCCGCCCGAAATAAAATTTCTTAATCAGACTCTTGGTGCCTACCGTTTGCGCATGATGTTTGAGCTAGTTTACGCCAACAGTCCATCAATATGTCTATTGGTCGACTCGTTTCATATTTTTTTTCGATGAAAGGAATAAGTTTCTAGGAAAAGTGTGGTGCTGAGGTATTACAAGAATTATTTAGTTTTAACAACTGACTTGATAATGTAAATTGGCCACTGTAAAGAATTCTTAAGCTGAGGTTTCGATTGTTGGCCGTTCGCTGTTCGCTCTGATTAAGGGCTAACGCTTTTCAGCAACTTTTTCACCGACTTACTAAGTCAGAGACTTTTAAAACTTAACACTAAGCTGATTCCATCATTCGCCGCATAGAAAAGGACGACGCTTTTTTTTTATTCGTTCTCTTTTACTTACTCGGTTTACTCGGTTTTTGACAGTTTCTTCTATTTAGGCGTTTTTTCGATTGTTATAAAACCAAACGTGCAATGTTCACAACTAAAAAATCAATGAAAAGGAAAATTTTTAAAACTCAGAGAACACCAGATATCTAGGCCATTATCGGCTTAAATTTTGCATCTGATTGGTGGAAAGGGTAACGAAAGAATTGAACACCAATTAAAGATACAGTTTGGAAAAAGCTTTGCAATCATTTTCCAAGTACAAAACTTGCCCTAATGCAAATATTTCGGGAGAAGTTTTGATCCTACCTTGACAGTGGTACTTCCATTCGGGGGCACAGGGGTATCAGCCTTGTAGAGCTGTCGCCCCGGAATCCAATAAAATCTGTTTCTGGGATCATACCTGTAGGGTCCGACGCTATCCGCGTTGTATTTGGAGGTTACACGGGGCCGGAAGTCTAAATTATCTGCGTCCATGACTTCCGGTCGTACAGGTCCTATCACGTTCTTTGTCACAATACCCGGTAGAGGCCATGAACTCCTGCCACCGTTTGCAACATCTGCGGCATTCTGCCGGATCACAGTTTTCTGGTTCATCTCAACCAAAGGCCTTGAAGGGAAGTACTTTCGAACACACAAGGTGCAGCCTGGAGCAGGGCTCGCCCCAGTTCCTTTGTGGAAGAGAAGGTTGTTCAGTACATGATGATAGTTACCCTTAACGATGATACCACCGCATTTCCAAATGACATTCTCTTTCATGGTACCATTTTTGCCAACTCGAGGTGGTTTCGCTGCATCAAAACGCAGTCCAGGTTTTGGACTCGTGTGCACCCAATTCTTCTGACAAGTAGCGTTGGTTTGCGAAGGGATCTGGAACTGGATACCCGCTCCATCGTGCTGCAGATTTCCCCAGCACTGGTGGTGAATGTGGTTAAGCTCCACCAAGGGGTTGGGTCCATTCGGACGATATCCATGCGCAGCGCCATTATAACGCAAAGTGTTACGAGTAAAGTTATCGTTGGGTCCCCGTGATATCACCGTTCCGAATCCACCATTCTGGGTTTGTTTGAGGGTAACAGACCAATCATTGTACTCGAATAAATTATTCTTTAGCAGCACTCCATCACCATAGTACTCAAGAGCGAGTCCATCAGTCCCATAGAAAGTGCTGTTTATCAACTCGAAGCTGCGCCTTCGAGATGCTCGGATGAATGTCCAGAGTGGAGGATCAGTAACACCGAGCATGCGCTTGGAATATGAAGGGAAGTTGAAATTGATCGAGTCAAACGTTAGGTTCCCAATAACTCTCCGTCTGCTCGTTGGGAGCGTTTTGAAAGTGGTGCCAAAAAACGTCAGTTGTTTGAATTGCAGATATTCGCAGTTTGAAATAGTGAAAGCATAGGTCTGCACCTGGAACGAAGAAAACAGAATGACGACTTTTACGTACTCGCGTATGATACATATTTATCCTGTTGGAAATGCAAAAATAATACCAGAGATATTAAGTTCGTCAAAGTATATAACCCTTTCGTCGGTAAAATAGGAGAACTTCTTCGTATCTTAGTTGATTTTCAAACAATTGTCTAGAAACACCAACTGGCTCATTTAGACTCTAGTTTCCTCATTTAGCTTTTACCCGTACAGCTAAATACGTTTGACACTGAAATGAATTTTGATAATTATTATTATAATTGGAAAAGGTTATGTGTTTTAAGACTAGAAAATCGGACTTTCGACCAAAAATTCGTGGATCCGCACCGGCTTCTTCAACTCTAAAACAATTCCTAATCTTTAAGAAACTCACAAGAAATACAAAACACGGCGACTTGTCACAGACAGCTGACTAGATTTCGAGATCGAGAGGACAATTTTGCGAGACTCACAATAATTCAAGGTGCAATTCGCCACTTATGTTTAAAAAAAAAGTAATGCTTTTTTTTTCCAGTGTAATGAAAAGTCATACAGCCAAGGCTGGACAGAAACTTCCCAGTTCCTTTTTTAAGTTATATAGGCAAGTCATGCTTGATTAAGTATTAGATCAATGATTTACCTTTCCACGAATTCTCCCTGCGGGGGTCGCTCCATCCGGGGTCTTCACATAGACAGTTTTCGTGCTTTGATTAAAATACCACTCGCCATCATTGTCAAGGAACTCAAGCTTGTCCTCTAAAAAGTACTGGTTACTGGCCGGCTTGAACTTTATACTTCCAAAAGTGTCGTTATATGTAAAGGAACTTCTTCTAGGCACGTGACTTTCGACCTTAGCAGTAAAAGTATTGAAGCTTCCGATATTTAGAACTGCCATTGCTCCTGTTACGTTTAATCTGCTTCCAGCCAAGTCTTTAACACCATTATCAACCATTGTTCCGCGGGTTGAGCTCGAAGCAGACTTCGCCCAATGGCTATTTTTAAACACAGTCTTGTCCGACCACAAGGCGTTTGGCCAGCGTGCGTTCGTCATCATTTCTTCGCCAACGAAAAGCTGCCAGATTTCCTGATTGATTTGGGCGCTATAGATTCCATCGCTTCCTCGCACCCACGACGAGCTTCCACGTGGCTTCAATGGAATTGTTCCGTCGATGACAGGATTCTCGTTTCCATACCCCCGTATGATTATAGGTTGGGACAAGCTGCCCTTTTTATTAGCTATAGGGAATTGTGGCTCGTGATAGCGCCCCGCACGGATATGACACTCGTCTCCTGCGGAGCTCAGTGCATTGATGCACGTGCGAATGGTTTTGAATGGTTTGTCGGTGGTTTGTCCAGTATTCGAGTCATTGCCTTTAGTTCCAGCGTCCACGTAATAAATGGTGCTGCTTACACACATGGGTAATACAGCGTAGATTGCAATGAGCATAAAGACTTCCATTTTATTTAAATGAAAGGTGGTGCCTACGAAGAAATTCATGATTATACTGAGTTACTTTCATCAATACAGCGTGATGTAGCTTTCTTGAATTTTTAGCAATATTTTTTTCCTGTCCAAAACCAATAATCTGAGTGAGATACTAATAATAACATTGTTAATAATATATATATAAAAAAGTACACGCGACTGAATGGCTGAAATCGAGTACATTTTTTATGTAACACGAGTGTAAGTTACAAATAGCGCGGGTGCGCCATCAAAATTTTATGTCTCGACTCTCTGCGACGCTTTTTTCATGTAAATCTTTGATAAGTAACAAAATGATTTCTCGTGTAATTTGGTGTAAATAAGCACTTGTAAATATTTCAAAGACTAAAATTTGCACTCGCCCAACGGGTTCGTGCAATTTCATTGTCTTTGAAAAATTTGCTCGAGCTTACTAAACACCAAATTGCACTCCAAATCATGTTATTACCAATACTTACACAGCGCAAAATACATCCAATATGATATAATGTATTTAACTTTATGTAAAGATTAAAATCGAAGAGCTTTTAAAAGATCTTTGTTTAAATAACACTAGAGAAAATCTTAAGACGAGCCGCTAACAAAAAAGACAGTTTTGGTGCTTTCTTAACATTTGAAATCGAAGAACTTTTTAAAAAGATATTTTAAGTTAATATGAGCAACAGGAAGAGAAAAAAGTATATTTATATCAAAATCAGTGCAAAGGAAATCGTTGTTGGCGAGCCTATCTAAAAAGATAACTTTTAGGTGCTTTCTTGAAATTGCACAAATTGCTCTCAGCTGTTAAATGACTGGCTTAGCCGTTCTGAAGCGCTGGCGCCGCACGGCAAATGGTTCATTTTTTTCGTCTCTTTGGTAAGTTCAAAGATATGACACGTCGCAATGGCCTGAAAATCGTTCTATTTGATCAAAATTACTCGATACTTTTAAAGGTAACCAGTGTTAATGGTACATAACAGGCGCGATGTGAGTAACGCGGTCAAACTCAAAGCACCAGGCGTTTCTTAGTTTTAGGGGAAATTGGTTCTTGACTTAACTGACTGTGTCAAATATTTTAAATTTCATCGTTTTACATCATTCATGAGTAACCATTCGCATACCACAACTTTTTGAAAAAAAAATAAACTGGTGTAGATCCGTGCATTCAAACATTTTTTGTCGTACATCTAAATATCTGGTTTTTTATGTTAGAACTACCTTACCTTCTGGTTAAAAAGCCGAATTATGACCTAAATTTACAAAGATGACTTAGGAATAAGTCTCGTGTGAGACTGATAGAAGAAATATTTATTTAGTTTTGTGAGATTTGCTTCACAAAGCCTTCGCCTTCTTTATTTTCAAGCTGGCACCTTTCAACTCATAAGCAGTTGTCAACCAACTGTACTAACATGTTGGGTGTTCTCAATTTGAGCCTTACTGTGATTTTCATTATTCAACTTTATTATTTGAAAATATATTTTAAAAAATACAAAAGGAAGAAAAAATCAGGTGTATTTTGCTAAAATGCTGAACGAACTCCATATGTATACAGCTGCGTTTCTGTTAGGTCGGTGGTTAAATTGACTTCGCTGGCGCGATAAAAGCTATAGATGAATATTACCCTGTTACCAAGCAGATAACTCTTCAAAGACTTGAGTTTTCTTTAAAAATGCTCGACTAGGGTAAGGCTTTTAAAATAAACCTTGATAATTTTTGTGAGGAAGGTTTTTTCATGTATTCCTTATTCTTTCCATATTCCTTTTTTTATTTCCCTGGAAACGACTTTGAATGAGTATGGTTCTGAACGGCTGTGAATATATGAAAGTCGTATTTGAACTGCGGATAAGTATGGTTCTGTTACAAAGCAGACACCTCCTCAAAGACTTTAATTTTTTAAAAAAATTACAGAACAAGGACCAGGCTTTTAAAAATGAACGTTCATTAATTCTGAAGAATTGTCTTCACATATTCTTAACTATTTTCAGTCATTTTCTTAAAATGAAAATCAGTATGGTTTCGCATGGTACCCATTCACATAAATGAGACTTAGGCCTTCCCCGTAAAAAAAGCAGCTACAGCATACAAATTACGCTTTTACCGAAATGTTTTCAAATTTTCTAAAGTCTTTTTTTTCTGTCTAATACTCATCTACGCCAAAGATATATTTAGTTAAACCAGGGTTAACTGAATGACAATCAGAAACAGAGAACTGAAAACTAAATTTTCCATAGAATTCACTTAAACACTAACTTGTAATAAATTTGAAGTCGACAAACATCACGAGGCTAAGCAGCTTAAATAATAAAAGAAATTTCAAACCGTGTTTAACAAAACAGCTTTAAAATGTGTTTCGGTTTTGGTGTCTTTGGGACATAAAATAAAGTTTAGGTCATGAAGATTGCTTAGGGTTTTTGCTCAACTACAATATCGAGTTCGTAAGCTAACGATATGACAGCATAAAACAGTCCTGCGTGCGATCTCGATTTAAGCTTACGCTTGTCGTCTAAATTTTTGACTTAAATTTGCTTTAAGACCATGAAAGTTATTGCGGCAAAACACGGATGCTTTAGAATTGTAAAAATGCTTAAAACTGAGACTCGTTCCAGCCAAAGAAAGTCGATTGAAGCCATGTTTATTGAGAGCTATTTACAAGGCAAAAATATATTTAAAAAGTATAAAACCAAACGTTTTCGACACCAAGTCATCATCAAGATAAATAATCGACTGACTCATAATTACCTAGTGTCTGGTATATTTTTTCGCTGTAAATAGCTCATTTTTACACCTTAACGAACTGTAGCTATGGACAATGTTTATAGACACAGTAAGAAAATCGCAGGCACACAATTAACAAAATCGCTTCACTAGTTAAGGTCACAGAGAATAAAACCCAGAAATCATCATTTTAATTGCGACCTTGAATAATTCCGACTTTTACCAAAATGCTCAAACTGTGAGTTTGTTCCTTTTGAAGAGCTTTAGGGCGGGAAAATAGCCGACGTATTCCACTGTTAAATTAAAAATGAGTCAACTCAAATTTGGGCTGTAACCTGTTACCTGTTGTTCGAAGAGCTAACACCTTGGGTCTCGCAAGGGAATGAAGTTTACCACTCCAAAAATATTTTCGTTTAAGCGATAGGATCTTTGAAAACTTTTTTCTTCTCCCTGTAAGCAAAGAAATGTGAATATCAGTATTAAATATGTTGTCTAACATTTGTGCAGGCCCGACGCATTCAGTTTTAATTCATTTTAGACTTTTTGGTAAAATATTTCATCCATGTAAGCCACTTTGTGTTATTACTAAATCTAAACTGCCATGGTAATTTGAAAGAGATAAATGAGATTAAATTTACGAAAAATTTTCCAGCCCAAAATTTCGCCTTGTTCAAGATAGCTTTGGTACTACAACTCTCGATGGCAAATAGAACGTATCCCACCGGGGCTTATCTCGGCCTCACGAAAAACCCGATTCTTATATTCTGCTCGAAAACTCTCAGGGTTAATCTTAGTATCAATTACCTGAGGGTAATTTACTCTATTTTAACCAAGTAATCATTACATTTATCATTCGTTGTTTGATGCAGTCTACTTCGTGCTCTTTCACCTTTGATTGTGTCTCTCTTTTTGAAAAATTAGTAAAATTGGTTTCTTGAAATTTTCGTTTTTGTCATTATTTTTTATTAATAAAAAGCTATGTTCGCTCTTGGTTTTGTTAACTTTCTGTCATGTCCTAGTCTTCTAAGTTGGAGGGCACTTAAATGGGCGTTCATCTAAAATAAAACAACTGTCTTATCACCTAATTTACTAAAAAATCTATCAAAGAAAAAAAATTAGAAAAAAGCTGCAATCCAACTATGAGACCTTGGAAAGTGAAACAATGGAGAGTTTTGACCACAGAAAAATAAACACAATCATGTTTTGTTCGAATACTTACCGTCCCTGGACTTTCCTTAGAAGAAATTCGACTGTCTGTAGACCTGCTCTATATTGCATATAAAGTCTTACACCGTAAAAATTAATATTTCATTATGTTCAAGGTCTTGTGTTCCCTGCCATAGGAGGAAATAAATTTAAACTACAATAGCGTAACCACTTCACATGAGTATGAGTTCTGGAGAAGAGGACTTGTGGTGTTTTTACAGTCCTACCTGTAAGGACTAGTCTTGTGAAGAGCAGTATGCAAAAAATAGTTTTAAGTTAAATTCACTAAGACCTGTCTTGTTCGTTGAATTTTTTTTTTTTGCCAGAAAAAAACAGAGGGTTTTTAAACAGTGCACGGTAGATTTTGGAACACCAGCGGGACGATAATTATCTTTTCTTCGAGTCTTAAAAGTTATTGACAAAGTTATTTTTGGATAGGAAAATCCCATATAGACTGATATGTCATAGCGCTTTTGGTAAAATGATTGATATGACCCGTTGTCTCTTTCATTCAGACCCAGCGGGGTTTTTTGTTTTTGCTTTGACAGGACATGGGTACCCCTGGAAGGGGGGGTCTTGTTACCGTCTGATTGAACAAAATGGTAAATTCTGCCTGCCAGTACAGCTCGTAAATATCGCAAATTCTGCCAAAGATTCTGCTCAAACATCAAAATTCCGCTCAAGTTCTGCTCGTAAATTAGGCATGGAGAAAAAATATTGTAGATATGTTATTTAAAACTGAATCATTGATTCAGTAAAATTGTTTTTTTTTTATTTCTTGTGTAAATGTATGAAACGGCAATAGAGGGACAAACGAGCGATGAGCAACCTTGCCTTCAAAATTAGACTGCTCACAAAAATCAAGAAACAGAACTTGCCCGAAAGATCATTTATCGGCATAATTTTTATTCAAATTATTAAATCTTTCCCACACTAGATTCATTGACAATAGATAATTTGGAGAGGAGAGGAATTCGTGGAAGGATGAAGAAAAGTCTATTTTACATCTCTGAGAAAACTCGTTACCACCCGTGACCGTGTAGGATGCCCACAACAACCAGAAGGTATATACATGCTTTGAAATGTAAAATTGATGATAGGTTTGAATTCATGAGAATTGTAAGCTCAAGCTAATACTTGCACAACACCAACCAAAGATTCAAGATCATGTGAATTGTTGTGAAGTATTTTGAATAATTAAGGTTTAAGATCTTTCAAGGTTATCATTACGGGTTGAGTCTAAGATGGTAATTATATAAATAAAATACTGAGACTTGTCCGTAACTAAAACCAGTACAAAATAGACAAAAATAACAGTACAATATTTGCAAACGAAGGAAGGAAATGAAGGGTATTTCCACTCCATGCGCGCGCTATTTGCACTCTACTTAGTGCAGTTGGATAATAACAAATTGATATTTCCTCTCTTCTGATTGACCGTTTGTAATTACTTTGATTTTTGTTTTAGGACTCTCTATCGAAAAGCGCTCTGTTGAAAAACATTTTGGTCGCCTAAGTGAGTGACCTTCGAGAAGGAGTCGACTGTATTCTGCTTCACATATCCATTTTAGTCAAATTCAAAAGACCTTTATCACCGATAGTCAGTGTACAAACAAAACGAAGCCTCTGGTGGATCTTAACGCTTTTCTCACAATAGCTGCTTTATCTTGAAAGAATCAAACCAGTTTTAGTTTTAATAGAGTCTCGCCCATTCATTCAAAGTCTTTTAGACTTCCTTTTATGTATTGTTGGTTTTGTAAACAGTATCGAGGCTGGGAGCTTTCAGATTTTACCATTTTGACACCAAGGTAACTGACAAACTTGTCTTGCTTAAATACTTCGTTATTCTCAGATGCCATTATTTAAATTTTCAAATGAATGTATTTAAATTATGTGCTAACAAGAATTCAATGATATTTCTTCAGCTTTAGGGGAAAAAAAACGGCCTCTGGCTTATCGTGAAATTGAAAAAAACTGACATGAGTAAATACTCTTTCAGACATAATTAACAATCATTTTATTTTATTTATTTGAAGTGATTGTGACTCCGCAAGGGCTTGTTCTCACACAAAGGTTTGCTTCGCTGCGTATGTAGACCTGCTTTGCTGCAGAGTTCAGTTTAATTTGAATCTGTACAGCAAACGACATTAGTTAAACTGTGACCGTATTTCTTTTTAGCACAGCCGACTTCTTTTTGTTCAAATGAAAGAAATTATTTTACTGTCGGTTTTTCTCATTGCTTTTCCACTTATCGCGAGTGGTACGGTCTACTTTGTCGATAGGGAAAAAGGAAATGATTTCAACACGGGCGAACGTATCAAACAAGCGTTTGCAACCATTACCAAGTGCATCAAAACGCTAAATAGACCTGGTGATGAATGCCATATTCGCCAAGGACGTTACCACGAACCGCAGTTCCAGATATCAGGCAAAAAAGGAACTCTATCCCAGCCTATTATTATACGCGGTTATGGAGAAGAAATTCCAATCATCGATGGCACCATTCCAATTATACCTCGAGGAAAATCTAGCTGGAAACGTGGCAAAGATGGAATTTACAGTGCCAAAATTGAGCGAGATATCTGGCAGCTTTTCGTCGACGGCGAAATGATGACCAACGCTCGTTGGCCAAATGCTCTGTGGTCGGACAAAACTGTTTTCTTAAACAAGTACTGGGCAAAATCTTCCTCCAGATCTACGAGGGGCAAAATGGTAGATAGTGGTGAAAAGAATTTGACCGGAAGCGGTATTGACGTGACTGGGGCAGTGGCTATCCTCAATGTCGGAAGCTTTAACACTTTTACTGCCATAGTCCAAAGCCATAGATCGGGACAGAATTTTTTTACTTATAAAGATAATTTTGGCGCCATAAAGTTCAAACCTGGTCATAATCAGTACTTTCTGGAGGATAAGATGGAGTTTCTTGACAATGCTGGCGAATGGTTTTACGACAAAACAACGAAAACTGTTTATGTGAAGACCATGGATGGAAAAAGTCCTGAAGGGAGGATTCGTGGAAAGGTATGGTACAGAATAAATGATAGAATTTCTTCATTTACCAGGAGTTTTTGCTCTTTTTTGAGCAATCATTAAAACGACAAATATTCGCTATCAATCATGTGTTTTGCGCACATAATATCCGTGCATATTTACTAGATTAATCGCCCTACGTTTGATAAACTTGTTAGCGTCGCGGACTTGGCTTCTATTCGAGACAGGATCATAGTTCTCTGGCTTGTAATGTTTATAACAAGGGTATATAAGGAATATTACTTATCTGAATTGATATTTCTTTTTATGATCCTGACAAAACTCCCTAATCTTCAGATTTGTTGCGGTGTTTTTTCGAGGGCGGCGTTCAATCGAATAGGCACTGTAAGCTGCACTGATTCTTGAATAAACAGCATAAGTTTCTAAAGAAACTGCGGTGCCGCGTCGGTGGGAAAATAAAACAGGTTAATTTAGTATTATCAACTGAGTTGATAACGTAAATTGGCCACCGTAAAGAGTTTCAAAGCTGACGTTCCGAGAGTTCGTCCTTCGCCATTCGCTCGAAACGCCAGCTTTAAAACTCTTTACGGTGGCAAATCTGCGTCATTAACTCAGTTGATAATACCAATTCACCCTGTTACACAGATTCTTAGCTTGTGTATGTAAAAAAGTGTCAATACAGAAAGACCAGCCTTCCTTGATTCTAGCCTGGTGTGAGAAAATGTTATCATAGAATTGAGTATTAAACCTTCCTTTTCGAAGAAATTATATCCAGATAAACGAAGTAAGATAAGAAAGCAGTGCTGGAAGAAACATATAAGGAGTCAGGTCAGAACGTGCAAGGAAATACAGATACTTTATTCTCGTATCTGGATCCCGCCACGCGATCGAACAAGCAAATACTTATTTGAACACTTTTCACCCCTGAAATGCTTTGGGTTCCTCTAGAAAAAAAGAGGCGGGGGGGGGGGGGGGAAGCACAATGAAATCATTCAAATAGACACACTTAGAAAAAGTCTGAAAAACAATGAAAAATAAAAAAAGACGCCAATAAAATTCCGTATCTGGTTCCCCACCTATAATGAACCAACACTCTCAAAAACATATTTTTCTAATGTATGGAATGTTCAGGAAATAAATATGTTATTCGCCAGCCGGGAGGTCCGTATTGGGAAAAACTGTGCCCGAGGTGTTGAATGCCGCCCGAGGCCGTAGGCCGAGGGCAGTAGTCAAGACACGAATCCTCACCTTCTGTCAACAAGGTGATTTGAGAGAGAGAAAAGAGAGGATTAATAAATTATTTATCAGTTTGAGTTAGTGACCGACGTCTTTGCTTAAAAATACTGCCCAGCCGGAAAAACGTGATATAGTTATGAAAAATGGCAACGAAGGTAGGGATGTACTCGGCGACCCACGAAAGCTTTACCGTTACCCGTGGCCAGAGATAGGAAAATGTGGACCGCCCTAAGAACCATTCAGATTGCAGGATTCGTTACCGTGCCCTTTGGGGGAAAAAAATTAAGAAGCAAATCAGAATCTTTTTTATTAACACTCATGACAGCGTTCTCGGCGCACCAGCATTTTAACGTCGTGCAACATAATACTAGAATATTAAGATTTGCTCTTCACTAAAAGAATGAAGAAACTTTGGGGTGCGCAAGCTCAGAAGTTCTGTTTTTCCATATCAGTTAAAGAATAAGAATCATTAGGCTCAGATAAAATATTTGCTATTTACTTATATTTTCAATATAGGTACAAACGTACGCTTTCACCATTTCAAACTGCCAGTATCTCCACTTCAAGCAGCTCTCATTCTTTGGCACCACAATCAAAGCTCGTCCAACACACAAACGAGACATCATACGGGGTCTTTCGTTTCACTCAATCAACTTCAAATTCCCATCGTACTCTATGCGCATGCTTGGTTCCACCTCTCCACCCAGCTGGACTATAATTGAACCAAGCCGTGGGAACAACTTCCAGTTGATTAACAGTACCTTTTATGGAACCGATGGTCTTGCCCTCCAGTACAGTGGCGATGGATCGCTGCTACAGAATAATCTATTCGAGTACAATGATTGGTCAGTTGCCCTCGTGCGAACTAAGATGGGAGGACTGGGAACTATTGTATCCAACGGCATAAATGATCAGTTCGTTAGGAACACGTTGCGTTTTAATGGTGCCAGCGCTGGCTTCCGTCCATCAGGACGAAATCCAGTGATCAAGCTCAACCATATTCACCATCAATGCTGGGGAATTCTACAACACGACGGATCCGGGATTCAGTTCCAAATTGGTGCACAGACGAACGCCCTGTGCAGAAACAACTGGGTTCACTCGAGTCCTAAGTATGGTCTCCGTTTCGATGGGCAGCCGCCGCGCGTGGGACGCGGCGGTACAATGAAGGAAAACGTTGTTTGGAGGAGCGGCGGGATCATGATCAAAGGCGAATCCCACACAGTGCTAAACAACCTCGCCTTCGACAAACGAAATGATAAAAGCGGTGACCAACAAGGCGCAGGTTGCTCTTTATGTGTTTTGAAGTTCGTTCGTTCGAATCCAGTTGAGATCAATAAACAAACGGAAGTTTTGCGCAACGCAGCAGATGTGGCAAATGGTGGCAAACGTAAGAAGCCCCGTGGCACATATCCTCTTGCAGGAAGCCGTGTTGCTTTCAACATTGTAAGTAACGTGAGGGAACAGGTTGAAGACGCGGATAACATGGACTTTCGGCCTCGTAAAGACTCCAAATACATTAAAGATGACGTTGGACCCTACCGTTATGATCCAAATGGTAGATTCTATTGGATTCCTGGACGGCAGCTCTATAAGACCAGCACTCCTGTGCCTCCTGATGGCAGCAAATCGGTGAAGGTATGAAATTAAAAAGACAGCTATGCGAAAATGAGACACCGAGTCAATAATTACAGCGACACATATTTCTTTCGTTTCCTTGAGAAAAACATTCTTTTTTTTTTTTTTAACAAACCACAGAAACTAGGAATTTTGTTGGGAGTTGGGAATCGGAGATTGTATTCATTTCCAAATTCATAGAGCACGTCGTAAAATAGAATGAATGAAAAAATCGTTTGCTATTACTTCAAAACCAAAATGGGTAAGACTTAAAAGAAGGAGAGAAGATTTTTCAATCCGGTCATCACTACGAAATGCAGACTAAATTTGAAGATGGAAAAATCACATCTTTTTAATTTCCCAAAGCCGAGGAAACCTTTGCAAGACTCATTGAGGTACTGATTCTATAATTGTTAGATAACTACATTTAATACACGTCTCCCTGTTACTGTTATTCTATTACGTGGAGACTCTCTGAAGTCATGCATACTTCTTTAACCTATCAATTTTTTTTAAAGTCTGTTAGAGATGCTGTAATGTGGTTAAACGCATTTGGTGCCTCAACTCACCATGTATACTTTGGAACGGACAAGTCGAAAGTTGCCGATGCATCACGGAACTCCGCCGAGTACAAGGAGAAGATCACTGCTGATGGCAACGTGTATTACTTGAAGGAAAGTCTTTCTTCCAGGTCTACCTATTACTGGCGAGTAGATGCTGAATCGGACGAGAAAACTATTTACAAGGGAGACGTTTGGTCTTTTCAAACCAAGTGAGACCAAGTTGATGATGAAAAATGCGAAGAAGAGAAAAGGTGGTAGCTAGATGATTCACTGTTTTTAAAGCATGCAGAAATAAACTCCAACCTGTTGATTATAGATTGGACAAAATATCGCCAATAAAGCATCATGATCAAGTCTACTTTGTGTTTCGTGGTTTATGCCAGGCAATTTACCCATTAAGGCCAAATTTGTTAGCGTAATGATCAGGTCTCATTTTCTTTTCAGAATTTGGTTAAGGAACAAGTTGTTCCAAGCTCGTGTTTTTTCATCTCTAAATTATGGAACCATCATGCATTGCTGACATTGCAAGAGCGAGATAGAGTCTCCTTGCATATTTATCAGGTTAGTGATCAGAGTCACTCACGAAAGTGAGGTAACGAAGAATATGCAAAGCTTGATATGCATAAAGCTTGATCTTGTTCTCTTATGGAGTGTACTAAATTTTACAAGGTTTTTTTGAACGTATATGGCTCTACACTTGCTTCAGTCTGGAATCCACAAATGCGCTACGCATGCTCATAAAATTCTTCTCAACACCCAACTCATGTCACGCAGTGTCACGCAAGTGAGATGAAGCATATTTGTTAGAATTCGAAGTACCTAAATTTTTCGACAGAAAGGTAGTGTTACAGGGTTCAAAATAACAGCCAGCTGCCGGCGGCAGCCAGTGTCACGGCGGATATGGACCCCCTTTGCAGATTTGGACCCCCCCTACCAAACTTTCCTTTTAAGCATCATTTGTATCAAATTTTGTACCAAATTCTAATTGCAAGCTTTTTGTCGATGTTCTTTTCAATCACAACACAAAATTCCTCAATAAAGGTAAAGAAAAACAGCCATTTCGTTCCAATTCTGCCGCTTTTGTTATAGCTAGTCGTAGAGTATACGCAAGAATTAGATGCAAACAAATTACTGCATTCGAACTATTGAAATTATTACAATAAATCCTTGCTTCTTCTGATGCGAATCAACACTGATACGAAACGTCATTATAATAGTGGAGACTATTGCGTCCAGTCACAAAAATAACTCCGTCTGATTTTCTTATTAAATAACATTAAACAGTTTCTGAACAAGAATGAAGTGACTACTATTACTACAAGTCGTTCGTAAAGTCTATGAAAAGTAAAAATGTTTCTATTCTGAACTATTGGAACTCTCAGCTTATTTTCAGATGCAAATCAACATTATTGTCAACGTCTTAACAAAAGTGGAGACTATCACATCAAACTCAATCTTATTTTATAACTGTAACGATTATCACATTATTAACTGTTGAGGGATCCGAAATAACACCTTAACAATTACGAAGACGTCTAGAGTCTGGAGGTCTGCAGACAATGAAGAGCTACTCGCGCCCTCCGGGGCATCTTAAATCCCCCGCAGCGTATGTGTAACCAGTCCTCGCACCGACTCGCAGCGTACCATGTCGTCTAAATACCCGGGCACTGAACAGTAACAAAATAAATTAGTGTCACAAGTTTGTCTCTTATTGAATCTAGCGGTGTTCGGCTATCGCGGAAAAGGTTCCAAAACGACCTTACTCAAACATTAAACTTAATGCTTGCGCATTTTCCCTCGGTCAAAAGAAACATCCGACGGGTCATTTCCAGCTGCCAGTTCGTATGCATTGACGATACACATTTTGAATCTAAAACATACTTTAGCACGCACTGTGACATAAAGTATTATCTATTTCTACTAGAACGTTAAGGATGATGTTTTCACTCAGTTTTGAATTGAAATTTGGATCCCCCGATCCATATCCGCTGGCGGATTTGGACCGGGGGTCCAAATTTAGAGGGGTCCAAATCCGACAGGACACCGGAACTTTTAACACATTTGCCAGCGATTTGTCACCGAAGAACCAGAATTTTATAGAAAATATTATGATTATTGATCGTTCGACGGAAGTAAAAGTCGTTGTCATGTAATGGTGAACATTTCATATTAGTCTATGAAGCAGCCAAGAAATGTTTTAAAAGCTTTTTCGAAATGTAAACGAATATAGAGTTTCGAAATTTGGAGTGTGATACAGGGAGTGTTTTCATTTTTAACTCGTGAATTGTGCGCATGCGCAAGAGCGAGTTATAGGTACGATGTGGGGAATGGCATTCGTTCTCTCGCTCGCTCGATTGGTCGATTCCTGTAAACTTTTTTAAGATTTTAGGCTTTTGAGTGCATTTGATAGTTTTTGGCGAGCAATAAACAGACGAAATGGCGACCTTTGTTGCTAAGAATAGTGGTGGGGTGAAAAAGAAGCCAATGATAATCTTAAAAGATTTTTTTTTTTCGTTTTAGTTTCAACAAGCGGCGCCAGCGACTGGCAGGCATGCAAGGATTCACACTGAAATAACAGAACAACCTTCGTTTTTCATAAAATTGTAATTTACAATCCTTGAACTTGAAAACAATCCGAAGATTCATTGAAAATATCACTTACTGCGAAGCGCTCGGAGTTTACAGATGTTCAAAAGCTTTTTCTGTTGTGGCGTGAGATTGAGGACAAAATTGATCATTACGTTTCGTCGGTGTGTTTTTCTTATGTAAAGCAACAAAAGATGCCGGCGACTGACGAAATAACAAGTTAACACGAAAATCAAATAACACCTAAACAAACAATTTTAGCTACCGATTTTCAGTGAATTTTTAAAGAAAAATTTTTTTTTAAGTTTCAAGACAATTTGAAGATTCAACATACATACAACGTACTAAAATGCGAAAGTTACACACCACAAAATTGATAAATAGGCCTGAAATGAAATTCTATCTTGTTATTGATTATACGTTGCCTAGCACGTGACTTAAATCTACACAAGCGGAGATCCAAAATGACGGTGGCAGGCTTGGCTTAGTTATATCACTCAAAACTCGTTCCCGTTTGTCTCATTTGATAAAGAGGGAATCGTTAATGTTTTCGTTAAGACAGTATTGCCTTGATTTTCTAATATTTACAACGAAAGACAGTAAATTTCACTTTTCACCCACATTTAGTTCCAACCTTTGCTTTTGAAACAGAAAAAAAAATGATAGACGTTTAAAACACATGGCATCATCCACCTTGTCAAATGTAATAGCATGATCATTTCAATTGTAATGCCTTCTTATTCCAACGTTACTTTGATTCTTTGCTACATTAGCGAACACTGAACTACTGCTCGTACTCTAGATAAAACAATCAACCACAAAATTCCCTAAACCAGATAACGTTAAACATAATCTAAAAAATCAAGTGTCAATTCACGAGTTTGCTCACAGAGCACTTTGATTCTATGTATTTGTTCAAGCGTGAAACATGCAAATTTGTGTACACACCGTCACATATCTGTGTTTATGTTTCTGCACGTAACTATTACCTTTATTCAAGATTTATTTTCTGCCAAATGCTGTTAAATGTCGTTTTTAAAGCCTTCTTATGCGTTCAAATTGAAGTCGGTACTTGACAGTGCGGATTTCATACAGCTGTGAATGGAGAAGCGCGACAGTTTATCTCGACAAAGTTTTATATTTCACACGAACAAACACTGAAAAAATTGAGCCCTTCACTACGCTTTGTTGGAAAAGGAATTGTCGCAACAGAACATGTTGATCAAAATAAAGATTCCGATGCTGAAATTAAAGCCTACAAATTCACGCTAAAAGCTGAAAAATTATTTTGAACCCTGTGTTATGATGAAAGCTATTCGTGAGGAGTCACTTAGGACGTTTTTGGCTCTAAGGACCATTCCAGTATTTTATCCAAGTCGTGTTTCAATGATTTATCTAGCAGCATTTTGGCTTTGAAACTCACTTTGTAAGTACAGAGGTAAGTGCATGTTGTACGCTCAAACGTAGAAACACAAGAAAACATTATGACGCCCTCTTCATCTTGACAGAAAGGACGACGTTCTCCATCCTAAACTTGTAATTGACTCCACAACTGCGAACAAAGTGTTTGGATACACCATATTGCTAAAGAGTTCAGGAAGTGATGAAAGTATGCGGTTTGCGGTCTTTACGGTAATGATGGCAATCAGCTTGCCATCATGCATTGCACCATTCAACTGAAAAATTGAAAGTTTCTTTCTTTTTTTGTTGTTACTAGCGAAAATATCTAGCGCATCTCGCTATTTTGTGATGAACAGGGGAAAGAAATAGGCCTTAAGCCGTTTCATTTGGAAGTTTCGCCAACTTTAACAGTCTTCTTTCATTTGATAGTTGTTTACGTAAATGAAATTATTTTGATTGAGTCAGGTAGGGGTAGCTTCAATTATTCATGGAAGACTTCTCAAAGCAGGAAACATTGGCAGAATATTGAAACAGAAATGGGTTGTTGACTTGAATGCATCATAGTTAAGAATAGACTGAGGCCGGAACAATATTTAAAATGAAATAACCCTGCAGAGACTACAAAGAGAAGCTTCCGCTCTGGATCACAGAAAATGAAATCATGGGATGTGGGGTAGAAAAGTGAAACTTCGAGGAAGATTTAAAACAGATCATTTCAAGAGCATATTCTATTTCGTGTGCCGTCACTTTTGGCAGGTGAACTTGTAGACAAGATGTCCTCTGTCTTCTTTTCATTTTTACTGACAGGTGATACGTTTATTTTGAACTGTAACTATGCTATCAATTAATTTTCCACACTTATATCAGTTGCTCTATTTTATAGGTTGCCTGATACAAAATTTTGTGACCGGAAACTTTGGTAAGCTACTTTAACTCATTGAGATAAATTTGTCTTGATCTTCTGCTTTATTACGGGAGTAATTATCTTAGGACTTGTTAAGATACACTTATTGATGGTATGTACTGTTATTACTATCAGCAAAAGAGCTTAAGATCTTTTTTCACGAAGTTATTGGTTTTGATATGGCAGACAGTGCTTCGACACATTTCTCAGGCAGCATTTCCCTTCGACTAAGCAAGGAAAAACTTCTTAATTCATTCGTGTTTTCAAAGCATATTCTTTCTCATTCAAGCCACAATTTCTTTCAATCTCTTTTAATCGTCTATCGGTTTCCTCTGAGCCACCACTCCCTTGTAGAAATTAAAGGTACGAGCAGACTAATTAGAATCGAATTACCCTTTTTCTAGTAACAGTTCGATTAGTTGGTGGTGGCGACCAATTTGAAGGGCGGGTTGAAGTGTGGCACGATGGTTCCTGGGGAACAGTTTGTGATGACCATTGGACACTTAAGGAAGCCAACGTGGTTTGTCGCCAACTAGGGCTGGATCAAGCCTTTTCAGCGGTCCAGGGAAGAGTTTTTGGTGAAGGAAGTGGAAAGATATGGATGGATGAAGTGAAATGTTTTGGAGATGAAAGAAGATTATCAGATTGTTCTTTTCCTGGGTGGGAAAGACACGACTGTAAGCATTCTGAAGATGCAGGAGTAATTTGTATGCCAGGTAATAAAAAATATGCTGTATACTAAAAGTTTGTTTTCGTGTTGCCATTTTGCTTACTTTTTCTGTATTTAATTGTTCTGTTTTGTTTTGCTTTGTTTTTTTTACACTAATATACGTATCGATGATTGCCTGGATTGAGGGGAAGCCTTACAGCCCCAGTTAGTAATCTTTTATTGGCATTCTTCTGACGCTAAATTCAGGGCTATTTTGAACATGTTTACATTATTCTTTACGTCGTGAACTGAGTTTTTCTAAAATCACAAAAAAGCTCGTCCTAGTTCATGGAAAAGCACTTGGAAATTACATTTACCAAGCCTGCTGAAGCGTTCTCCAAACTTTAGGAAGCTTTGTATTAAGACAGGTAACTAAGGTCTAATTTGAAGTTGTCACTAAACCAAATACGTTTGATGATTTTACTCTTTGGTTGTGTGGATCAGCTTTTCCTGGCAAATCGACGAGGTTTTGTTCGGTTGTTTTTCTCAAAATTAGCAGAGAGAAAGTTATTAATTTAATTCATGCATCGACTCATGCAATTATTAGTTAACAGTTTACACTTTTGAGGGATTAACAGTTAGTGTGGTGGTCATCCACATCAACCAACCCCATCTAAGATTATTCATCGCCTTGTCACGGTAAGTTCTTCCTTAGCCAGTCCCACTATCTAACCGTTTGCTTCTCTCGTCGCTCAGTAACGCAAAACAATATTCCTTCCGCCTCATCACCTCACTATAGAAAATAAACTCAAAAATTAACTCATGATGGCATCTTATCTTTCCCATTTGACAGTTCGATTAATTGGTGGAAGTAACCCATTTGAAGGGAGGGTTGAAGTGTTTCACAGAGGCTCCTGGGGAACAGTGTGTGATGACCAATGGACGATTGAGAATGCTAACGTGGTTTGCCACCAACTTGATTTCGAGCATGCTTCGAAAGCAGTCACGTCGGCACGTTTTGGTCAAGGAACTGGAAGTATATGGATGGATAACGTGAATTGTGTTGGAAATGAAAGAAAATTGTCAGAGTGTAAACATCAGGGATGGGGAATACACAATTGTGGCCATAGTAAGGACGCAGGTGCAATATGCATCATGCCAGGTAAACAGGAAATGCCCACGCTGAAAAATTTTCTTACTATTGCCACTGACCTTCCCTGGTTCTTCCTTTTATCATAATAGTGTTTCCACGAGAGGACCGGGCAGGCGTGACACATGCCATCTCACCCATTTCTATCAAACTCTCGCAGTTTATGAGTGTCACTAAGTTATAATTATTCAAGAATCCATAGTAGTTCGGGTTCCCGGCTTATCCCTGGGGCATTAGAGCCCCCACATTAAATCCCTGGGGTGAAAGGCTAAAATTACATCGAAAAATCACTTTCAACGAATCTCTTTCATACTTACAGAATGCGATGGATTCTAATCTCATTATGTCCGACGGTTGTTTGGACCTCAAGGCAACAATTCCTTAAAGTTGGGGTAATTAAATAAAGCATCTGTCAATTTAGAGCAGTCAGTCATGAATTGTGTCATACAACTCCCCCCAAATAAGGAAAAAGTTTGCAATTAAAAATCCTTATGTTTTCTTTTTCGGAAGAGTTGTGTGACACAGTTAATGATTAACTACTCTAAATTGACAGAAATTATATCAAATTACCCTAACGTTAAGTAATTGTTTCCTTAAGGTTCAAACAACCATTAGACACAATAAGATTAAAATCTATCGCATACTGTCAGTGTAACCCTCATAAACTGTGAAAGTTTGAAAGAAATGGCTGAGATGGCATGTGTCACGCCTGCCTGGTCCTCTCGTGGACACACTCTTTAAGAACATTTCGTAATAAAAAGACAGAATCTTTTTATTTTCTCTTGGTAATAATGATTTCATCAACTTAGGCAAGCCTAAAACTTAGCCCCGATTAGTCAAACTGTGGAGCTTGTTTGATTTTTGATTGGTTATCCACTAATCAAATCAACCAACCCATCCGTGAAAATTCTCAATCGGTCAGTCACAGCATTTCTCCCTCAGCATATCCCTTCGTCTGAGCGAGGAGAAGATTGCAATTATCCGCGTCGTAAAGGAAATTTTTCCTTCTTTTAGCCAAAATTTATTGCAGTTTCCTTTACGCGTCTATTGGTATTACAAGACGATAACCCCTTGGCACCACCATTCTTCTAGAGAAACTAAATTTGCGAACGTATTAACTATAGTCTAATTACTTTTTTTATGTGGCAGTTCGATTAGCTGGTGGAAGTAACCCATCTGAAGGGAGGGTTGAAGTATTTCATAATGGTTCCTGGGGAACTGTATGTAATGACTACTGGACAATTAAGGACGCCAACGTGGTTTGCCGACAGTTGGGTTTTACGGGTGGAGCTTTGTCCGCGATTACTTCTGCAAGTTTTGGTCGAGGAAGTGGAAAAATATGGATGGATAACGTTGATTGTGATGGAAATGAAAGAAGGTTAAAACTGTGCAATCATGTTGGTTGGGGACAACATAACTGTGACCATGATGAAGATGCAGGCGTTTTATGTATCCCAGGTAACTGGAAAATACCCTTTACATTGTAATTCATTGTTTATAAAATGTAATAACATAGCGCGCATGCTTGCCCTCTATCAGTCCCATTGAGCCGCTACGAACAAAATCTTTATTTACGCACGCCCGTGCGTAAATAAGATGACGTGAGCATTTTTTTCACCTGGCTTCAGAGTTTCCGTCCCGTTAAGCTGCCGTGCAGTTTTCCCTCTCTTTGAAAGATGGAAGAAACCAGGGAAGAACTGCCCAATTTTTCTATCGGCATTGACCTTTTAGGTCCTTATCCAACGAGCAACAAAAATATAGCCGAAAAAACTCGCAAGTTGCATGTTTCGTAAATTTGTCGGAAGACCAGCTGCAGCATATGTGGCCGAAAGACATTCACTAGGAATAAAAAAATTCACCAACTGGCCATTAATAACATTTAAAGGTAAAATTTCCGTTGTAATTGTTGTTTTTAAATTTATTCCACCTGGGGAATAAAGTACACAGTTGTTAATTGGAAATTTACCAAAACCAAAACAATCAAAGCCGCAAAAAATCTAAATCTAAAACCGTTTCTCCGCTTTTCATACACAGTTATCGGTTAACTGGATCAAATGTTCTCGTTCAAACCAAAGTATAAAATGTGGCGTGTTTTTGACCAGCCAATAGGGACGTTTGTTTACTTTTTTGTGCATTGTGAGAATTTTTGCACTCTATCACAATAAAAGACTTCTTGGCGCAGATCCTTGTTGTCGCTCTCTTATAAAAGAATTTGCTCATGCTTTTAGCTGTGCGTATATCGAGTTATGGATGCACTTGGGAAGTTTGGAGAGCAAAAAGCTAGAGTTGCTCTCGGCTGCGCCTCGAGCTACTCTTACGCATTTCTCGTGCTCTCCAAACTTCCCGCGTGCATCCATAACTCGATATACGCACGCTCTCCCCATACCTCTTCCCTCCCAAGAGTTTAAATGGGTACTGGTAAATTGTCAGGGAAGCCTGATGAAATATTGGGGCGTAATATTGTTGCGATGGATTACTATCCCATCTAGGGAGGAGTGATAATACTCCTAGTTGCTTCTTGTTAAGGAAGCCGGGATAAACTCTGACTGGGTGGTTCACTTGTCATGACTATAGACTTGACCTTTTTTCTCTAACCATCATTTCCCCATAGAAACTGAAGTCACAAACTAATCAATGATAGTCAATTACCTTCTTTTGTAACAGTTCGATTAACTGGTGGAGGCAACCTACATGAAGGGCGGGTTGAAGTGTTTAATCGAGGCTCCTGGGGAACAGTGTGTGATGACCATTGGACATTTAAAGAAGCCAACGTGGTTTGTCGCCAACTAGGATTCGAAGCTGGAGCTTCCGAAGTGGTCAGGTCTGCAGATTTTGGTGAAGGAATTGGAAATATATGGATGGCTGAGGTAAATTGTGTTGGACATGAACGACGACTAATAGATTGTAATCATCTCGGACCGGGAAAACACAACTGTGACCATAGCAGGGATGCAGGCGTTATATGTATTCCAGGTAATTACAAAATGCCTTGTACTATAGAATTCTGTGGGCTTCTCCTAGTATTTCCTTTAACTTCGAAAAGATCATCTAATAAGGATACATAGATTCAAGCTAGCTTTAAAACTGAAGCCCAGTTAATCAATTCTTAATTACTGACGGAAAAGTTAAGTTTGATTCAAGGCTCGATGGTTTTTTCATGCTTGTATACAGTTGCCCTCTGTAAGAAATTCTGCAGAGTTTTGTTAAGTAAGGCTTCTTTCTAACATTTGACTGCATTCATTCGTCATTTCACAGTTAGATTGGTTATTGGCAGACAAATCACAAAGTTGCAAGGGCGGGTGGAGGTGTTTCACAATGGAATCTGGGGAACAGTTTGTAATGACGACTGGGACATAAAGGATGCCAACGTAGTTTGCAGTCAACTTGGATTCGTGAAAGCTGTAGAAACACCGAGTTCCTATGTATACGGTACAGGATCCGGGCAAATATGGTTGGACAATGTTAACTGTGTGGGGAACGAGAGTTCACTAGCAGAGTGTGATCATAACCAGTGGGGAACACATGACTGCTCTCACTCTCAGGATGTAAATGTAGTTTGCGCTCCAGGTAATAACAGCAGTCTCGATGCTGTTTAGATGCATTCATTCGTCATTTCACAGTTCGATTGGTTATTGGTAGACAAATCACAAAGTTGCAAGGGCGGGTGGAGGTGTTTCACAATGGAATCTGGGGAACATCTCCAAAATCTCGTTTCAGCTCACATTCACACAATGTGTCTGTTTAAGTTGCCAGCTCCAGTGTTTAAAACACTTTTTGTACTAGAAGAAAAGGTAAAATACCAAGTATTTCAGTGCTCGTAGATTAGACAAAATGAGCTAAGTCTGCGTTGATTTGAAACTGGATATCCCAGGATTATGGGCGCGCGTGGTAATTCGTGATGGACGTGACAAAACTACCTTCACTGTTAAGTAGCTTCCATTTACGTATATATTTCAACTTTTCCATTTTTGGTAATTATTTCTTCCTTGCGGGTTTTCATAATGCCTGGCTTACTTTCATTTTGAAAAATAGAATGACAACGGTGTAATATGAACTTAACTTCACATAGGCTTTAACATTTGTGCGTTTTTTTTTATTTCCAAAGGTCCTCACTATTCGCCTCCTACTCCTCCTAAACCTAAAGGTATGTACTTTACTTTTATTGCGAAAAAGTACCAGCAAACAAATTGTGGCGAAAATGCTTTCTCTAAAGGACAAGTTTGCGCTCCAGGTAATAACAGCAGTCTCAAAGTCTCGTTTCAGCCCACATTCACACTATGTGTGTTTAAGTTGCCTGCTCCAGTGTTTAAAATACTTTTTGTACATGATCAGAAGGTAAAATGCTAAGTATTCCAGAGCTCGTAGATTAGGGAAAATAAGGTCAGGAATCTGCGTTGATTTGGAACTGGATATCCAAGAAGTATATGCGAGCGTAGTAATTCTTGATGGACATGACAAAAATACCTTCATTGATAAGTAGCTTCCATTTACGTATAATTTTCAACTTTTCCTTTTTTTTTTGGTAATTGTTTCTTCCTTGCTGGTTTTCAAAATACTCAGGCTTACTTTCATTTTGAAAAATACAATGACAACGATGTGATATAAACTTAGCTTCACATAGGCTTTAACATTTGTGCCTTTTTTATTTCTAAAGGTTCTTACTCCTCGCCTCCTATTTCTCCTAAACTTAAAGGTATGTACTTTATTTTTATTGCGAAAAAGGACCGGCAAACATGTTGTGGCGACAATTCTTTCTATAAAGAACAAGCAATATTTGTTACGTTCTTCGTGTTTTCGAATTTTTAGATGTTACTGTCTGAGAAATATTTAGAGGTTGGGAACATAGGTCAACTTGGTATCCTTGGTGAGATATTCCAAAAGCAAAATAAGTTTTTGCTATTGCTTTTTGTTCCTTTTTTATTTCAATTAGTTAGTCCGTGGATTTCTTTCGGTTGTTTTAACTGAACGCATAGCAAAACTTACCTCTTTAAAGACATAAATTTTCAAGACTCAGAGGCCACAAATGGTACCCCTCTGAAACACTGGTATCAAATGGCAGAAGCGAAACTAGTTTGGATCTTGGAACATCTTACCAAGGACAACATATATAGTGAGTTTTAGCAAAAGCGGTTAACCCGTGTTTCCATGCCTTGGAACACTTTCTCAGACAGTGACACACTTAGAAAAAAACAGGACTATTGTCACTCATACTGGGCACTTCAAATTTATTGAAGGAGATTGGCGCTTCGAAAAAGTATCATCTTTATCCGAATTCGGAAGCCGCCATTTTTGTACCTTGCTAAACTGCCAGGCCGCTTAATTATTGGGCAACAAAGCTTCACTCCTATTTTTTTCAATTTCTTGGCGATCTACTCGAATCGTTAGAAGTGACACAAAAGGAATTTTTTGTCTCAAATGGTTACCTAGAGAAGCATGTCTTTGTGAACTTTCAACTGAACAACGACCATTCAAATGGGATGGATGAAAATGGCTGTATAATCTTAGGCACAAAGAAAATGACAACCACAAGTGTATATATATAAGTGTATATATAATATATAAATTTAGCCGAACCTAAAAGCGGAGCTCGAATTTTTTTTCCCGCACGTCTTAAGCGCACAACGCCTTGCTCCGGCCAGGACTAGAACCCGGGTCATCCGACTCGGAGCTCAGTGCACTGACCACTAGACTACTGGACAAAGCCGTGGTGTTGGTGTGCCTGCGGTACAATTGACCACGCATGTTAAAAGTAGTATCTTGTACGGTCGATCGCAGGGTCGTACGGTCGTAAGTCCAAATTTTTTCGGCTTGATGGGTTACTACTATTTGTATAATTATGGGGCTACGCTCTGCGAGCTCCGCTATAAATCAAAATCATCGAGTGGGAGGCAAGACCGTGGTCGTTCCCCCTGATGCGACCCGCGGGTGAAAAAGGGTGGGTAAAAACAAAGGCGAGTTATCAGGTCCAAGGCTAGCTAACAGTGATGCAGTCGATAACAAAACCAGCGTCCATGATAGAGGCACAGTTAATGTATAACTAACGGTTGCTACTTATTATATTGCCATTGGACAGTATCCAATACCTCACATATAACTTCTTAGTTTCAGGTGAAAGCAATTCACAGCTTTTTGTCGGTACCATTATCACTTTGTTCCTTTTTATTCTCGTGTTAATCGTGGTAATTGGCCTCCTGAAGTGGCAACAGAGGCAAAAAGTACGCGCTGAGAGGAGAAATGCTGAAGCACGTCTGCAAAGACCTCGACATGCTGATACTGCGATTCGTCCTCCAGAGTACGCACAACTGACTGGACAACAAGAACAGACATACGAGAACGTAAGAAATTTGAGCCCCCTTTTTCGTTTAACTTTACAATGAATTTTCCAGTTTTGCTGATAACAGATATGAAAATACGAGGCGTTGATGGCGTCTCACTTTCGCGTTCTGTTAACCAGTTTCAATTAAATTTCTGCGTCCGTTAACTCATGTTCGCCTTCTTCCTTTTGCAGGTGTTTCCAGGAAAAACACCAATCTAACATCCCAAAATGCTTAGTTGAAATCACTGAAGACATCTAATAGTTGCGCGTATATAACACTAGCTTCTTGCTAACCGAGGGTGACGGCCGGGAATATTGGCTCGAGGTCGTTTTGATACGGACCGATCGCAGCGAGGTCCGCACATAAACGACCCAGGGCCAATATTCCCCAGTACGGCCTGAGGAAGTGAGGTTTTTTTTTAATAGTTAATTACATGGCGCTCGGGCTAAACTTGTTTATTTCGAATTTGCCGACTTTCGAGAACAAAACTACGCCACCGTTTCCGTGGAATCGGTCCGTATGGCAAATCCTTAACCAAGTATCAGAGCGCTCGGGTTCACCTTAGAAACTCTTGAGAAATAACAAACACCCTTATATTTCTTTTAAGTAAAGATAAATTTTTTGGTTATATTTGTATATCAGAGTAGACCAATAAGGAAGGTATAAATACATTATTAGATAATAAAATGGAGAAAGTCTTTGCTGAAACAGAAAACCAAGGAAAACTTAATTTACCTCCAGCGCTGGAAAACGCGAGCGAAGAATTTGCGATCGGTTTTGGATTTGCATCTGATTGATTGATCAGGTAGTGAGAGATTTTTTAGGCCAATGGTCGAGGATTTTGAAGGAAAACCAGAGTGGCCTTTGCATTACTTCTGGCTCACAATTGAAAACTGCTTCGTTTGTATGGTTACAAGTTTGTACAGTAATAGCACTGCAGCTAAGTCATTGAGATAATGTCCTGGGTGAAAAAAGAAAGAAAGGGTTTCGATTAGGGAAATAAGCTTGTAGTCTTCAATTAAATTTAAGCTGCGAATAACGCAATTTTTTTGGCCGTAATATTAAAGCCTCCAAGGAATATCTTAGATTTGAAAATAAAACCGCCATTTTTTTTATATTCATTGTATGCATGATCAACATATTTATACTTAAGTGTAATTTAAATACATGTAGAAAAAAACATAAAGAAATTGCTGACAAGAAGCCTGATCCCAGGCTTCGACGGGATTCAAACCCGCGCCTCCCAGAAGCTAGTTCCACGCAATTTGACAACAAAGCTACCAAGGTACATGTTAGGAGCGAGACAGATTTCATGTACTACGTTCTTTGTGACAGGAAATGAGTCTGGTTTAATGAGATATAAACAATCCGATCTTGTAAGTGTTGATCCGCTTTAGTGACAGGAAATCCGATAATCTTAACTTTATCTTAACTCAGAGTAAGTCACTGGGCCCTCCGAAATGGGAGCATAAAAACTTATATTAGAACAGAATGAAAACAAGTGAGTGCATGAAGTTCAGAGATTCAGAAAGCCATATCTTGGGGATATCATAAAGTTCATAAAGGTAACGTAATGGTTAAGAAAATCGACAGAGGTCTTTGTTAAGGATTTTTTTTGCCGTTTTTCGGACGCGCAATGCGTTAATACATTTTAATCTTGTTGGGCTGACTAGCAGATGAAAACATTCTATCAATAAATTCAGTCCAATATGTGCATACTTAAAACTGTTCGACTTATTGCTTTAGGCCCTTTTTGGGCGGTGGATGGTCATCCACTGATCGAATCGACCGATTCATTCAAGGATACCATGCGGCGCATGAAGAGTTGGGAGGATTTATCAATATGTTGAGGCGCTCTCGAAAAAACAGTTCTTACACTCGCGTTTATTGAGAAAAACTATCCATCGTCATATCCAAAGCGCACTCAAGGAGTAGTTCTTGAATAAAATAAGTTTTAGGTAAAAAATTGTCAATGACTGAGAATTCCTACTGTTGAGTGGCAATGCCCTCCATGATCGACTTAGTAATAGACTTAAGCACCTACCACTAGCAGTCTGCCCAAAAGATCTCAGCGTGAGTCCAGATTAAATAATGTAAAGAAGTTTTGTGGTCCGTTCCTTGTCCGCATCACAGAGGTTCTATATTACTAGAGTCCTTCATATATGGATGAAATAGGTCAGAAATTTTTCCGGGACATAGGGAACTCCTCGAAAAAGATTGGTGTCCGTAAAGAGAGATCTCCCTTGCGAAGTTTCCTCTGGAAGTCACGCAACGTTCTCTAAAGAGCGTTGCGTGATTTCGTATTGTCAGTGACCTCCTCGCCCCAATTTCCCTAGCACCCCTCGGACGATTGAGCAGGTCACCATCTTGCACACTGTGGTGAAATTTTCTTATCTTAGCGAAATGGAAGGCTCTCTGTACCTAGCGTTTTCTGCACTTTTGGTCTCGGTCATTGTCTGGCTTCTTAATCCTTTTCATAAACTTCACAAGTTCTTGAATTATTCCTTAAGAAGAGACGGTGGCATGCGAACTGATCTTCCGGATGGGGTTCGCTCGTTCAACAATATGCCTGGCCCAAAGGGATGGCCTATCTTAGGCGATATGCTGAACTTTCTACGAAAATCTGAGTTCAAAGAAATTATAGCGGAGCTGAAGGACTCGTTTGATAAGTACGGTCCTGTTTTTAAGAGGAATTTTATAGGAACATCAGTGGTTTATGTCAAAGACCCAAAGGATATCGAAGTCGTCATCAAAGCAGATGGAAAACATCCCATGCGACCTCCCTCAGCTGTAAGCACGGCGATTAATAAGTACAGGAAAAGCAGAAAACTCCCTAAAGTCCTTTTTGGATTGTAAGTATTGAGAAATTTGTGAATCAACCGATGAAAAATATAGGTGGCAAAATTGGGGGGGTTGTGGGGGCAGCCTCCTTCCCCCCCCCCCCAGGAAAAATTTGGGGACTCTGTACACCAACGTATAAGTGTCGATGATATTACTAACGCAGCATAAAATAAGCTTCCCCATATATTCAGTCTAGGAGTCTTTTCAAATTGTTTCATCAGGATCATGTAAGGCAAAATTCAATGTGAGATGAGTTTTTTCATCTGATCAACTCCACCTTGCTGGATTTTTCCACTAGACTTAAGTGAAGTGGATTAAATTTTGCATTGATGTGATAACATGTGAGGAATGGAAACAGACAGTCTTTATGAGAACTCAACCATTTTTTAAGCTCTCTTTTTTTATTTTCTACAAATTTCATAACAGTGAGGTGTATTTCAGCTTTAAAAAAATGAGGAAGAGGAAGAGAATCAAAAGCAATCCAAGGAAATAAGAATTTTGCTTATTTGGATGTTTCTGTAATAAGTTAAATATGATTTGAATTCCAGCTGCTTTAGGAAAGTGCAACAAAGAAATAAAGTAACAAAAATACGGCAGTTAAAACATTACATTACACTGCAAGGAAAGGATATTTACTTGAACTACTCAGGGGACAGCATTTTAGAAAAATTTGAATCAGGGTATGCACTTGGCTTAGTATACTGGATGAGCTAGAAATGTCCCCCTCTCCCCTCACTTCAAAGCCCTTTGTCACCATTGAAACATTAAGGAGAGAATGAGATAATTCACTGCCTCTGAGCCAAACAGAACTTGACAGAAGATCAAGTTGGGCAGTGTGGCAGGGAGTTTAGCCCTTTCATCTCAAAGTTACTTTCTAACAGAACCAAAATGAAAATCTTGAGCACAAAATACTGAAAAGGCAACAATTTGTTGGTAGGATTTGACAATGACACTGCAAAGAAGTTGGAGGAACTGTTAACTTTTTTGAACCTTTACATAAATAGCCATATTTTCTGCACTGTTCTCTCTGCATTTTCTACATCAGTAATAACAATAAGGAGCTTCAGTTGGTGATCATTTTCCTTATTCTCATGATGTTTACAGTTTAATGAAGAGTGAGATTGTAAGGAGAAATTAGAGGCTAGTCATTCTTATAAGTTAGAGTCTTAAGCTTTTACACCATAATGTCAGTATGTATATTCCCCATACTATTACATACACATTTGCTAAGGTGTTGACAAGGAGAATTTGCTCTATAATCAAGAGCCTCTTTAGTTGGTGATCATTTCTTTTATTCTTGTGACCTAATTGTGTGATTTAGGGATGACTTTGTGAGTAGAAATTAGCAAGGGTTTTAAAATGCTTTGAAGTAGGAGTCAAACTTGGCAAAAGTGGTTGACTGTGAAAAGTTTATTTAAGGCCAAAAGGTAATTATTTTGATTAGAGTAACCAGCAACATGATGTCAAGATGAATATGAACTCCAGCAGTCACCAGCTTGTTTTGAAATCCTTGAATTAGATGCTAGTCACTCTTAGGGTCATAGGGTTAAGAAAGAGAGCTTTTAAAAGTCTTTGAGAGTGTAAGGTATTGTGTAATGGTAATTAGTAGGTTATAGATACTATAGAGTGTAACAATCTAAGAGACAAAGAGATCTTGATCATGTGGTAATTAAGAATGAGTTTTACACAAGATATCATGACAATTTCATGTATGATATACTTGAGCTCTTGGGAAAATAATAGTGAATTAAGGAACAATTTACCTCAAGTGTTGACCTAAGTGGTAGCATAAATGAAATTTGTAACTTATGCTTGAGGTGAATCAAAATGAAAAAGGACTACATCTTGATCAATTAGTAATGCAACCACATTTTTAATCACATTGGTTAATAATTGTTCACCAAAGTAGAGATAAATATCCACCACTTTCACTAGCACTGAAGTGAATAATTTTTTAATTATATACCACACAGATACCTCAAAATTAGTTTATTTCTCTCAATATACCAAAAACTGGTTGGAAATTGAAATCTTGATTATTCACCCCTGGCTGCTCCAGGGGTTAATAATACTTGCTATTCACTTCCAAACTAGCCAATTGGCACTCAGGAAACACTATAGTCTACTTGTGTGGTATATACTAATAATCAGTATCCACAGGGACAAACTAATATACATTTTTTTGTTTTTATCATGAAATGTGTTAATATTGTAATGTTTAACCCAGCAGTATTTAACCCTTTCACTCCCAAGATCTAATTAGTAATTCTCCTTACTATCTGTCATACAATTCTTATGATGTTAGTTCAGAGAATTTGGTATTGGATCAACTAATAAACCCATAATTGATATTCTTCTCTACTCTCATTACCTACCTGCTTGATATTGTATTGATATTGTAAGGAGAAATTCTGTCTTGGTCACCTTTGGGAGTGAAAGGGTAAACCAATAAGGTGAATATGTGTATAATAACATAGCATGTGAATATTGTAGTCTATATGCTGTGAGACATTATACCACTATCTGTATAAAGTACATACAGACTAGGTTAGTGGCTTAAAATCCCACAGTTGACAGACTATGATAATCACATATTAAGCTGTTATCTTATTACCAACCAATAAGTAGTTTCTCCATACAAGACCTGTTCATTATCAAACAGAGATAATGAGAAGAAATGGAAAGAACAATCTAGGGAATATCACTTGATTTTATACTGAATTCTCACAGCTAAAATCACAAGAGAGGCATGAGATTCAGTGAGGAAAACATAGATATTGAGAGTGATAGAGAAAACTCATTCACAGAAAGCTCACATGTGGTCTTTACTGATGTTTGGTTCATTTTGTTGTAAAAAGTAACCATATTTTAAGGACTGTAAGAGAGAATTAAAAATTAGGTCTTCGGAGTGAAAGGGTTAAAGCAAACGACCCTTGGTTGTGGTTAAAATTTGACAAAGTCTTTAACTGTTTAACTCATTCTCAAACTATTCTTGAACGACCTTCCCGATTTTCTGATGCCCAAGCTTCTTATCGAAAATTTCTTTATTGTCGGACAGTTTTGGATGCCCTGGCTAGATCCAAATAATAATAGGATCAATATCAGTATCTGGGCAACTGCCCACCTACCCCTCCCCTAACTCAGCAACTGTCAATTGACAACAATTTAAGGTTAATGTTGGGTTAGGGGAGGGGTAGGTGGGCAGTTGCCCAGATACTGATATTGATCTAAATAATCCAATTTTATACTCTTCTTTATCAAATTTGACAATAATATTTGGTCTCGTGTTTCCCTACAGGGACGGTGAGGAATGGAACCGAGTACGAAAGGCTTTAGCGTCGAAAATGCTTCGACCGAAAGATATCCGAGACAACCTGGAAAGCTTTAATGGAGTGACAAGAGATGCTATAGAACATATGCTTTCAGTGCGGGGTGCAGATGAAGAAATTCCAAATCTCGAGGAGGAACTTGGAAAGTGGGCGACGGAATGTACGTAAACTGTTTCACGAAAGTGTGAATAGATCCATTAAGGCTGTGATCCCAGTGAATGAGGTGTATCACTGATGCAAGTTGCTCTGTAGGTAGAGCCTCTCCCAGTAGGTATCTCCAAGGGACCCTAGGGAAATGGTATAAATACCAATGGAAGAAACCAAAACCCTTGGCGAGGGAGCAAATTACAGCACGTCTAAAACGTGTTTCTTCCTCCACTGATCGGGCGACAGGAAAACAAAAGGCTGAGCATGTTACATGCGCAATCTGTAGGTCCCACCAGGGGTTTGGATTCTACGCTGACCGTGGGCAGAATTTGTTTAGAGTTAGTCCTGGGTACCACTCCACAGTTGTAAGTAATGAATAAAGGGAATGAGTTTTCAACGAAACTGTTGTGCTGCGTCAGTGGGAGAATATAACAGGGTAATGAAATATTCTCAACTGAGTTGCTAGCATAAATTGGCCACCCTCAAGAGTATCAAAGGTGACGTTTCGAGTTCTAGCCCTTTGTCATTTGCTCTGACGAAGGGGTAGTGCTCGAAACGTCAGCTTTGAAATTCTTAACGGTGGCCAATTTATGCTGTTGGTAGCCATCGTGTTTGCTCCCTTTTACCACTAGATGGAGGATTAAATCATACAACGTTTGATTTTGGTTTTTTTTTTGTAGTTTAGTTGATTGCAGTGCCTGTGATGGCTGGGCCTTTGGTCCAGGAACTTCTTGGCCCTTTAAATTTTTTTCCTTAAAAGGTTGGCCCTCAGAAGTTTGGCGCCTTGGCCAAATACCCACATCATGCTTTATAAATGATAAATCAGCACAAATATCTGTTTTTGCTATTTTACATATAGCTGTGGGTACACTGGCATTCGATGTAAGAGTTGGAATGTACGATGACCCACCGAACAAAGAAACCGTGAAAATGATTAAGTCGAGCTCAGACGCCTTTTCACTTATGGGAAAACTGAACAAAGGATGGGAAAGCTTTATCCTCAACTTCATGACGACACCCACGTACTTGAAGTTTTGTGAAGCACAAGACACCTCCATAGGCATTGGTCAGCATATAGTGGACCAGAAAATTATGGAACTGAAGAAAGCAGCCGAAGATGGTGAAGCTCTCAGCCAGGATCAGGGTTGGTAAAACTTGTTAGTAAATGCTAATCTGTAGTGACCTGACCGGTGGAGAGTAAGCCTTTGGCGATTTTCCCCGAATGCCATCGACGTGGTTAACCAAAACCACTCTGCATTGGCATAGCGGCCAATTCAGGTGAATTCATTTGCAAGTATTAGTTACCAATATCGTCTTTGTGTTATAGCGGTGCCTCTGCTGACCTACCTCATAATGAAAGGCGAACTTACACCACAGGAGATCAACACACAATCTATTGGGATGTTTAGAGCAGGAGTAGAGACGGTGAGATGATAACATATTAACTAAGGAGGGGCAAAGACCAAATATCACGACCACAATCTTGAAAACGAGCGACAATATAATCAAAGCCTCAGGAGAGGAGTTGCTTTTCTAAAATCATGCTTTGTATTATCACAGAAACTGCATTTTCTTTTAAATTATTCTTCAAAAAAAGCGAAGTAGCCATCAATAAAATCAGTCTATCAGTGTTAAAATCATCTTGCACACGGTGAATATGGCAAAAAAACAGTGACATAATTTTCGAGCAATCAAAGCGCGTGCATCTGCAATTTCACCACATGTAATTTTCGAGGATGAATGAGGATGGTCTAAAAAGAACAACAAACCAAAAAAATGCAGATTTTTATAATCAGTATACTTTTGGTTAGCTCCCTCACCTTTCAATTACTCAGTTGTCGTTATAGATAGATAGATAGATAGATAGATAGATAGATAGATAGATAGATAGATAGATAGTTTTACAGTTTTATAGTTTTATAGTTTTATAGTTTTATAGTTTTATAGTTTTATAGTTTTATAGATAGATAGTTTTATTGACTAAAAACATAGCAGCCATAGGCTGAATTACGTCAAGCTTACAATTACAAATATATATATAAATATAGGGTATATGAATACAACAAGAAAACTATAAAGACCCTATAATATAATATATAATTAAAAATATGAATACAATTAATTAAATATGTAGTTATTAAAAACGTGACTTAGAATAAAACTGTTCTTGCAACGTTCAGTCCTACATCATGGTAGTTTATATAGTCTTTGGTTCCTAAGGCTGTAACTAGATATGTTCACTTCTGGCAAAAGTGAATGTAATTTGTGTTCCTTATTTGTAGAGATCTCGACGAAGAGTCTCGAGGAGATTTTTCTTCTTCCTATATACTTTCATTACCTCGAATTTGATTCAGGAAATATAATTAGATTCCTTCGGTTGATTTTTAAGATAATTCTGCAGTAGAGAAATCCAATTTTCATGAAAAATCCTGAATAATTTTCCCTTGACTTTTCTCCACAGACGTCCACTGGGCTACAATGGCTCCTTTACGATCTGGCCCGTAATCCAAAGGTGCAGGAGAAGGTGTATGAAGAAGTGACCTCGCTAATTGGGCCCCATGGAGATTTTACGCCCGAGAGTTTTGCCAAGTTGACTTACATTAAGGCTTGTGTCAAGGAGTGTCTGAGGTAGAAAGATGTTTGTGTTCACAAATTTTTTGTAGGAACACCAGCTTATTGAGAAGTCTGTACACAAATTGTTCTGCATGTTCAGTTTGCATGATCAATGTTGATAGAGGGAAGGGGGGGGGAAGGGGGTCCAAGCTTTGATTCGGTAAGCGCAGATTTTTTAATATATATGTATTTTTTTCACTCTGGATTATTAAAAAAAAAAACCAGCAAATATTCCAAGGCAAGTGCAGTGAAAAACTTAAAGTTGAGTAGTAGTATGTGATCCTATCATTGCAAGAAGTTTGGTGTCGGAGAAGCACTGAAAAAAAATCCTACAAGTCTGAAGGGGAGGAGGTGCCAAGCCCCTCCCTTCCTCCCCCCCCACCTCGTCCCAGAACCCCCCTGCTGGATCCGCCACTGAGTTTCTTCCCGATACAACGTGCATTTCTCATCAAGTGTTTTTTTTTATATATATATTTCAATAGAATGCACCCTCCTGCTCCCGACTGGGCACGCCGTCTAAGCCAAGATGTGGTTCTTTCTGGTTACCATGTCCCAACAGGTGTAAGTCAAATCGTTCAATGTTTTTGAACAAGGTTGCACTCTAGTTTTTATTAACAAGTTTTCTGCATCAATTACTTGCCAGTTGAGATGAAAAGGGCATGAAGATATTTTCTTGACAGATCCATTAGTCCAAAGACTGTCAGGCAAGTTTTTGAACAAGCAGATTTATCAAGAGAGAAATCTGGAAACGTAGATGACTTAAATCATATAAAAGTTTTCTTTCCCGCTGTCTACTTTACAACTACAATTGCAAAGAATGTACCTCGATTTTTTAAACGGTGTTCAACAGTATTTGGGAATCTCGCCCCAAGCCCGCGGACATCCTTTCGGCGAAGCTTCCGGCCGAAACTAAGTTTTTAGCTTGCACGTTTTTTGTCTCAGGGCCATTCTTTATCCGAATGAGACTGACGTTAGGCACATGGCTCTTGACAAGTCTGTTGGGAAAAGGGTTTTTTTTCAGAAAACAGTCCAATTCACGGCTGTGTTTTAAGAAACTAACTATTTGAACCCATGACCTCTGAAAAACCGGTGCACTGTTCTATCAGCTGAGCTAACAAGCCGACTGGGAGTCGGTCATTAATAAACCCATGTAGTGATGAGTCAATGACTTAGAATATATGAAAATCATATAGGTGAACTGTGGTTTTCCCGTGCAAGCCTCAATGTTTCAGGCCTTATTTCCACTACTGCTTTGTCTTCTTTCTTTAAGGCAATCGTGGTTTATTCCAACTATCTTTCTGGGCTCTCTGAGGAGTTGTTCAAGTTTCCTTTGGAGTTCAGACCTGAACGTTGGTTAAACGAAGATCTGGGAAAAGTTCACCCTTTTGCCATATTGCCATTCGGAGTTGGACCACGCATGTGTATTGGTAAGAAGTGTAGTAGTTGTGAATGACATGGAGAGTGTGTTGTTTTAAACGAGTCTTAAAAAATTGAGCATGCATTGAGTTTGCTTTTGCTTTTGTTTTTGCTTCACTTCGGTGAGTGATTGGTCTTACAAATTAACGCCATCATCTCAAACAATCAGAGGCGAAAGCGAAACTAATGGTGGCCAAATCTGTCGCGTTTTCAACGCTTCGGACCTTTGGTTGTTTTCACTCTGAGTTCTGTTGTCCATTTCTGACAAATCTTGTGTTATAATTTAGTGTTAGTTTGTTGACTTTTTTAAACCCAAACGAAAGCCTAGTAGTCAATTTCATTGCCATGATTGATGTTCGTCCTTCGCTAGCGAAAACGACCATGACTTCATTTGTAACTGGGCTCCCTTGAAACAGTCTGTCACAGTGTGGACTTAGGATTGCCGGAAGTGGGCCAGGCTGAGAGGTGGCTTGATAAACCGTATATTAACAACTCTCATGTAACTCTTAGTGAAGTCTCTACCTTAGAAAACACACACATCAGCCTCTGGCTTGCTCTAAGCCAAGCACTACGCCCACACCGGCTCATAATGGATGCCAATGAGAGCATATTTTCCCGCCAATTCCGGCGTCAAATGCAGGGAAATACAATTCACTTTACCCCTTGATGGAAATCGAAGATGAAACATGGTAGAATTTCACGAGGCCTTACGACCGACTAAATGGCTTTACTAAATGATAAATACTGAACTGCGAAAAATAAAGTGAATTGCAGGGTTGCAACGTAACTTTTTTTAATTGATGATGGTAATGATAATGATACGAAAAGATGAGGGTGCTGATTGGGAATCACCATAGGCATGAAAATAAAGCACCAATTGTTACCTTGATTGATGATGGTTTAAACTGTCGTAATGCAAAAGTGATCTCACCTTACCCCTTACATCATCAGTTTTCAATGCTAAGACTGCCTTAAGGAATTTAATTTAACAAGGCCACTGAAAAAGATAAGCTCAAACCATTTGTATTGTGACCTGATATATTTGAATAATCTTTCCTCTAGGGCGTCGTATCGCTGAGGCTGAAATATATCTTTTGGCAACAAAGGTAAGCTTATTAAAAAAATAAGAAGGATAAAGAAAGATGTTTTTTCATCTCTCTTACTCTATTTACAAAAACCACATTGCTGATCCAAGCAGTATACTGGACGCGTGCCATATATGAACCTCGTAATGGGCCTTGCTTACCATAGAGTCTCTGTAGCTCAGTAGTAGAGCGTCGGAGCGCGGAATCCGAGGGTCTGAGGTTCGATTCCTCACAGGGAGTCAGAATTTTGTTCTTTGTCCCACGCGCGTGACAGGACGAAAAAACATCTTTCCCTACAAGGAAAACTTGTTTGATCACTTCAGTTTGCATGCATGATTAGCACGTTGTAGCAATATCAACTAAACCTGCCTGCCTCATTTTTTGGCCTTCCCATGCCTTGCCCATTTTCTGGTTTTGCAATCACGTCCAAGCGTTCCTATATTTTTTACTTGAAAACCTTGCAAGTCAAAGATTGAAAGAGGCGCTTGACTTAAATTTAGTTTACGACTAGCGGTATAGCCAAGATTTGAATAAGGCAACCCTATTCATTCACCGACTGAATTGCTGCGAAATTCAAAACCTGACACGTTTCCGACTGTTTTTCTTGAATTGATCATGACAACTTTTATAAACAGCTTTGGGTAACGACATTTTGAGTCCAACTCGGTTATCCTCGAAAATTTGGTTTTATCAACCGAGCTGCTAATCTAAATTGCCCATGGTAAAAGAGCTTCTCTAGCTTACATCCCGAGCGTTACCACTTCGCCCTCGTTAGCCCTTTGCTCTGACGAAGGGCTAACGCTCGAAACGTCATCTTTAAAAACTCTATACGGTGGCCAATTAATATTTGCTACGAGTGTCGATGTAGAGCAGGGTTGTTCTTAGACAAAACTCAGGTTCGTCGGTAACAGCATCAAACTGATTTATTTCCACGTAGTTGACTTATCAACTTTACAGCAGTAAGCTTCTTCACAATCCTCTTTCCCTATTTTTTGATGAAACTGTCGCTCTTATATATATAAAGTACAAGGATTTAGAAACTTCTCTAAAGAACTAAATTTAGTAGATTAACACGGTTTTCAAATTTCAATAATTACGTAAGAGATAGAACGTTCCAGAATGTTCTTATACCAGAAGGTCACGTCTGGATGACTTCGGGTTCTAGACTGTTCTATAGAATGTTCTAGGACTTAACTTAGACAATTTTTCGTAACAATATTATCAACCCAGTTGATAGAACCAAATTTTCTTGTAACACCCCCCACCGACGCATTACCATGGTTTCTAACCCCCTCCCCCCATTTCCCTCTGTTATCATCGCCCCGACTTCCTATTAATTATTTTGAAGGATCTTATTCAAGCTTATGTGTGATCATTTTCAGCTGGTACAGCGGTTTGTCCTGGAATATCACGATGCGCCAGTCGGTATGAAGTCGAGACTGTTGTGTGTTCCTGACAAACCACTGAAGATCAAATTTATTGACCGTGCGTAACTTGCTTATATGGATGTTCGTTCTTGACGGTGGGAATAAATAAAATAGACATTTTTTATCAAAAGGTATCGGCAGGATACACTCCATAAGATGTGTTTTACTCAGCGAGAGTCTGTGCAATTTTTTTTTTTTAAATCAAGCCCTTCGCATTGACGACTTCCAAATTTGAATTACGCAGAAATGAGTACTTGATTGACTAAAAAGAATCAATGGAAATAATATATTTCACAGCAAAGTGACTATGTGGAAAATAAGAGGTCGTATTAAATTTTTAACTCCAAATATTGCATTTCTAGTGTTTTGATTGGTTCCGAATGTTAGCTCATATTTTCGGGCCAAGTCATCTTATAAGAAAACGCATTGCGAAGCGAAAAAAAGGCTCCAATTATCCAAACGTTCAGGATTTACTGAGATTTCATAAAAACAATTATTCTTTTCGCGGATGTTGGATGTGTGATTGGCTATTTATCATCTCTATTGACGATGATTAGGTAGAAGCTGCAGATTGTGGCTCGCAGAAGGCTTTTCACAGCGCAACCGAGAGAGGAAATTCGTGTATGTCTCAAGCTTACGCGAGAACATTGGGTATGACAATATAGAATGGTGGTAGTACTGAGTGGACTCCAATTCGATCTGTAATGTTTCGACCGATTTTTTTAATCACCAGTATTATTACAGACAGAATTGGACGACACGAAGTCCTGTTACCAATTAATCACGACCTTTAAAATTTCCGAAAAAAAAACCAAATATATCTATTACAAATATCTCCAGTGGAGACAATGTCCCAGGTTAACAATTTCTCCATTTTGGAAATTCCCCAGTTTTTCGCAGGATAAGTGGTTGTTGCTATGGTTTTTGTGATGAATTCGGTGATTGGTGGATTTAGCTGAGTGGACTGGGTTGCTTCAATTGTCCGACAACAGCCAACTGTCAGATTACAACTTTATAAAGTTATTTGTGAAAAATAAAGCAGTTACTGCACCAATCACATTTGAGAAAATTGTAATGATTATGATTAGACGGATTATTGAAACCACATGCAATTTTGTTTACAAGTTACAGTCGAACTTGTGTTAAGTGGTCACGGGAAATGTCAAGGTGACCGCTAAATACAAGTGAACCGCTAAATACAGGTTCCACAGTAAGGGGGTTTTATGAAAGACAAAAAATCGCAATTTTATGCCTTAATCGACCGCTTAATGTAAAAAAAAACGCACTTAAAAATGCTTCTAGCCTTTATTTTGGGAGATGAGCGTGGGTTTAATATACTTAAAACTTTGTTCTCAGTTTTATTTGAGTGGTTTGACTTTAAGTGACCGTTCATTACAAGTGGAAAACAATACAAACAGGCCGTTGGGACTCAATAAAAGGTGACCATAACCGCTTAATAGAGGTGAAAATTATATCGATTAAGGGGAAAGAATTTCGTGATTTTGACCGTGTAATACAGGGTGGCCGCTGAAAAGAGGTTCCACAGTAGTTCTCTTACAAGTTTATTATAGTCATAGAATTCATAGTTCGTGTATTTTCTTCAGAAAGGTTGCGACGCTTTTATCCTTGTTCACCATAACCAGCTTGTAAGATGATACGACGTCAACCACGCGCCACACTCATGTGCTTATCTTAAGTTCATTTAACTGTTATCACTCGTGTCTGGACTATGAGGCATATGTCATTTCACTTTTGAGGTCAATAGTGTATGTCAATATCAGCCCTTGAACACTTAAGCGATAAACTTCCTACACTTTGCGAGTTTTGGTTGTTGAGGTTCAGCAACTCGTCACGTCACGCAATTTTTGACAACACGACCTAAAATAAACCGACTAGTCCTTTCGTGTCACTTGCTTATCAGTACCTAGAGTCTGCAATCTCGCGATATTTTTCTATTACCATGGACGACACCCTTTACTTTATGACCACAGCTTTGCTGATTTTAGTTGTGATTTTGATTGTGAATCCCTTCGGCAAGCTCCACAATTTACTGAGGCAGCTATTGAAAGACCCAAAGGAAAATCTTTCCGACGGAGTCCGATCGTTTAAGGATCTCCCAGGTCCCAAAGGATTGCCTTATTTTGGTGATATTCTGAACTACATTAAAACGAGCTCCGACTTCAATCGTCTTTTGAAGAATCACCTGGAAAACTTTCACAAGTACGGCCCGATTTACAAGAGGACTGTCATCGGACGAACCGAGATCTTCATAAAAAACCCAACCGATGTCGAAGCTGTGTTCAGAGGCGACGGGAAAAATCCGATGCGACCTGAGATGATTTTCAGGGCTCAAAGGGAATACATGAGCAGCAAGAACCTTCCAGAAGGTTTGGCTTCCCTGTAAGTGAACAGAATGACTGCATTACACTTAGAATGGAATTGTTTATTTTTGTCTGGGATTTCTCTACACTTTTTCAGGGACTGCCATATTTATTTATTTATTTGTGTACAAATAATGTACACAGAGCAATGAGTCTGTCACGTGGTCTCTGGTTCCACAAGGAAGAGAGAGGACCCTGGGTATGAGGTTGGGTGTTTTTTCGCAGCGGCCATTACTCTTCTCGGCTAATGTTTATTTGGCAAATTTCGACTTGTTTTCGCGGTGTGATTAATCCACAAGTTGAGGAGAAGTCGATTGAATTTTGCGACGTTTTCCATTTTTCTATTAAGTGAATTGTGCCAGCTTTATTGCAAGGAGTCATTGTACTCTGATATAAAAGCCTTCTTGACTTGATTTGTGCGGGTTGCACGACGGAGTCTCAAATTGCTTAGACTGTCTCACAAGTGTCACACAAGTGTCTCAAACTGAAAGAAACTGTAACTTGCACTGTATCAGCTGATCGGTCAATGATCGGCTCTCGTGACAATTGCGTGAAAACCAAAGACGTCATTTCGCGTTTTAAAGATCGTTTTTGGAATGTAATGCTCGTGATGTTTTATTTAAATTTGTTTTGTTTGCCGACATCGAAGCAAGTTGGTAGACACTACAAGATGTCGAATCAAGTGATGTTTTGGTTTACACAAATGATGCGCTTCAATGTTTAAATTCCATTGCTTATAAGACAGGCAAATAATGTGGAGAAAAATCCAGGCCCTACGACATTTTATATCATTGACCCAGTAAGTATAGTGTCTGCTGAGTACAGTCAAGGAAATGAAGCACTCTTTGGTGAACATGCTGGTAAGCAATATGTAGCAGTGTCACTTGCTGCCATTATTTACCATCAAATAGAACATATCAGTAAATGGACTTCAAAACTCACTGATAAAAGTATTTCAAGTTCTAGACTAAACTTTAATTGTTGTTTTTTAACTGTTGGCATCAATGCAGTTGCAGTGTTCAAACATTCTGAACAAAGCTTTAAAAATTTTACTCTTATGCAAAGGATTTTTATGGTATGTCACGTTCATTCGGGAATGACTCTGCTTGAAATCCTTGTATCATATTTGCAAATGTCTTGCTTAGAAACAGGGGTTGTTCCTTTGGAAATTAAAGGTGTCTTTATAACTGACTGTCAACCTGAACTGGAAAATGTTCACAGTAACCAAGAGAATGAACAGTTCTCTTTGAGTGTTAAAATAACCCAGAACAACTCGTTAACAGAAAAGTGTTCAGATGAAACAGCAGAAATGAAGAAAAAGTTGATTGGGCAACTTGAATATGAGAAAAAAAAAAGAAGGGCAAATGAAAGTGAGGAATCTAGGCAAAAGAGGCTGGCACAAAAGCGTGAGAACAGGAGAAAGAAACAAGAATCGAGACAAAAAAGGCTCGCAAGTCAATCTAAGTATCAAAAAGAAAAAAAAATGCTAATTAATCTGTTAAATGCAGGCAAAAGAGATTGACAAAGCAGTCTCAGTATCAGAAAGAAAAAACTGCAAATGAATCTGTTGGATGTAGAGAAAAGAGACTGGCAAACCAACGTCAGTATCAGAAAGAAAAAACTACAAATGAATCTGTTGAATGTAGGGAAAAGAGACTGCTATCAAAACAAGAGTATCGCAAAAGTATTTTTCACCAATTTAACCAGTACTTATGAAATCTGAAAGTTCCATGCTGCTGTTTCTAGGGGTCCACTGCACATTTGTTCTTGTTGTGACCAGTTGTGGTATAGACACAGTATTCTTGCTGCTGAAAAGCTAAGACTTTTCAACCTTGATGCAGAAAAATGTTTATTGATATTGAATGGATCTGTCAGTCTTGTGACAAACATCTGAAGAAAAGCAACACCACCCTGGGCAGCTAGGAATGGTATGTCTTTTCTAGTGAAACCAGACTATTTTGATATAAATGAGTTGGAATGCAGACTTCTAGCACCTAGATTAGCTTTTCAAAAGCTTATGCAAGCCCCAAGAGGAAATCAGTTGAAAATAAAAGAATTGTTGTCAATGTACTAGCAGATGTTAACAATACTGTTAACATTTAACCATGGTTACCTCGAGAGATTGGAACAATAAAAGTTCAACTAAAAAGGCAATTGCAATATAAAAGTTCAGAACTGTCTTAAAATGGAAGATCATATCAAAATTTACAAGCAGCAAACTGGCTGGCTGATAACAGTAACCTTTATAAAGAACAAGGAATATCCTTCTGTGAAGACAGGGTGGCAAGCTGTGATATAAACTTGCGAAATGTAACTGAGAGTGAAGATAATTCTCAAGCTACCTGTAATGAACATATAAGTTATACATGTAATGCTGAAAAGACTGCAGACGAAGAAACAAGTTAAGTTTATGATGATTGGACTGAAGAGGATGCAGAAATACCTGCAGGAGTAATTGATACTTTGTTAACTGCAACTGACTTTCTTGATGACAATGAACGGCAACAAATTCACAACATTGCATGTGGGGAAGGTAGTGTACCTCTGAGTATATTTAGAGACAAATATTCTAAAGATATAGCCTATCCAGGAGTGTTTCTAGGTCAAAGGCGGCCCAAAAATAAAGAGAGAGTAGTTGATGTTCATTACAGTGATGTTTGCAAATCAGAATTAAGAAGATCAGATCGACGAGCTGCGATGTCTGTGGAGAATATCCTTTTTAAAACTAAAAAATTACAAATAAAGATTCTGCTAGGAAAATCTCAAATAGCACTACGTAAATGTAAAGGGAACAATAGATGTCTTACAGCTGGTCAGGTAAAGCAAAAATGTACACTAGAAAGATTAGTTCATTTTGATTAAGGCTAGAAACTTTAAAGAGCACTTCGTGGCTCACCTCCTTATTTTGAGAAGGCCAAAAAAAGACATCTTTGCGATGATCAGAAATCTAGGACCTACTACTTTATTTTGTAGTTTTCTTAGAACACTTGGCAAGCTTGTTGACGATAAAGAATATTCAGATAACGAACTAGGAAAAATGAACTGGGAAGAAAAGTGCAGGTTAATTCAGAGTGATCCAGTAACTTTGCAAGGCATTTTGTCTATCAATTCAATCAGTTTTTAAAGCATTTTTTAATGAGCAATGCTGCTCCCTTGGGGAAAATAACAGACCGGTTTTACAGAGTCGAACATTAACAGAGGGGCTCTCCTCATATTCACGTGTGAACTTGGCTTGAAGATGCGCCAGTGTTTGGATGTGATGACGACCATGATGTGACATCATTTATCGATAAAATAATAACTTGTAAAAAATCAAAAAATGATCTAGGATTAGAGCTTCTTGTCAGTAGATAGATTCATAGGCACTGCCAAACTTGTCCACAACCACCTATGACGTCAACAACCATTTTGTATCTTCTTGGTGATGATGTATGTGAAACTGAGGTCAGAAAACATAAAGATACTTGGAAAAATAGTATGGCATGAAAGAAGGTGAAGACGTCACATTTGACAATTGCTGATTAATCTAAACATCACTAAACGGAACTACCATCTTGGTATTCAATCAAGTCTCACTTCTCCTACGATATTTTAAAAAAGAAAACCAAATGAACTAAGAGTAAACAAATATAATAGTCCCTGTCTGAGTGCCTGGAGGGCAAATATGGATATCCAGTTTGGGTGTGATGTTTATGTTTGTGCTGTGTACATTGTGTCATATATTTCAAAAGCACAAAAAGGAATGAGTCAGCTTTTACAAAGATCAAATGAGGAAGCCAGAGCAGGAAATTCCAGTATAAAGCAATATATAAGAGACATCGGTAACCAAATTTTGCATGCTGTGGAAATAAGTGCCTAGGAAACAGTTTACATGGTCTTTTACCAACGAGAAAAAGTTCCAGAGAAGTGATTTTGATGATGACTCAGAAGTTCACTCATTATTCCAATAATGTATCAACACCTTATGGAGGTACAACTGTGTATAGAAGAATCCCGTACTTACCTGGGTATCCCTACTGTCACAACATACGTAGTATTGAAGTTACTGTAATAAAGATTACCATTTATGAGGATTGGACAATACTAGGGATATATCGCTCACCAAAGGAGCCTGTAAGAAAGCTTTTTCCAGTAATTTCTGAAATATGAAACGGCACTTTAAAAGATAATATTATTGTGACTTTCAGTATCAACGGGCTCACTGAAACAGAGACAAGACCTTTACGTAATCTAATAGTAAGGGGCAAGCATTGCAAACAGTGGATACCAAGTTATACAACTGACCATAAAACAGTACTTGATCAGATATATAGAAACATATCTCACTTACATGTAGATATACAGACAAATGTATTACAAACATATTTCACGGATCATAGAGCCGTTTGGGCCTCATTTCATGCTATTCAGTAACAAAAGATCATATTACATCAACAGTACAATGTGAACTTATAGAGAACAAAAGAAACAAACCATCAAAATAATATAATACAGAGAGTTGTCCCTCTTCTCAAGACAACGCTTTTATTAATTAATAATAATAAACAGATGCCGACACAGAGTTTGATTAAGTTTCTAAGATACATCTATTTAGTTGGCCTCTTTCTAAACAGTAACTGCATTCAAACATAAACAACATTGCATTTTTAAGGCAGCGAATTTTGTAAGTTAGTGGAAATCCACAAACTACTCCCTTCTACAAGCATCATCCACAAGTAAATCTTCAACCCCCACTCACTACACCCTCCCCCTAAAAAAGTCTCGTTTGAACACCCACCCTTATCATGTAACCACAACTTACTGAAACTCAACATTTACATTATGAAAATTATAAAATTAACCCTGTAATCATCAGTATGGTGACACTTAACATAATTACATCGCTTGTCAATTTATTGCAAGAAACTATGACTGTGAATAATTGTATTATTTTTGTCATGTTCCAAAAAGATTCAATCAGAGCAGTATGGAATTCTACATTTACAATAGTGGCACTTCACTAGACATGAAAAGACACATGATGTACAAGTAGCATGATAGCTGTTACATACAGCAAAAAATGCAAAAATGGAACTAAGTAATGGCCTTCCAGGAATTTCTGTGGAAGTTGAGTCTTAAATAAGAATTCAGAAACCAAAGCAGTGAAGCTCAATGAGGAATGGAAAGAGGAAAACTCCACTTATATATTTAACTCTGTAATCTTTATTTGACTTCATATGCAAGAACTTAGATACATGCACACTGTAGATGTACTTTTCTTGCAGCACAATTACTATGAACATCACTTTCTTCTGATCATCATTCCCCTAACAACCATCTTATCAGAAGAGGCATTGTAACAATATGCTTTTCTTCGTACTAGATTTACAATGCAATTTTACCACATCTGCTAAAATATTAATGTTGACAAGCCAAGAAAGATACTTCATTGTACATATAGCAATCTCTATACAATGATCACACCAACTTGTTAGGACTACACTGGATTTTAATACTGCTGGCAAATTCTAAATTCAACACTTGTGAGTAAATATCGTTGCCAAAGACTCGGTTACTTCATTTTGCAAGAAGCTGAAGTAATTAAAACCTAACCATGTTGGGAGGTGCGATGGTCTTATGTTTAAAGCGCTGGACTACAGATAGAACGGTCCACATTTGAGCAGTTGTCAAGGTCATTGTGATATGTTCCTGGAATATACTACTCGTAACTTGATGCTAAGGACACCAGACGTAAGGGCCAGCCTGATGGGCCACTTTGCTCAAACGCAGACTTTCTCTTCCTTACCTATATTAAGACTTCATGAACAAGTTATTGTCACATCGGTAATTAATATTTTGCCTATAATGTCAATTTTATGTACAACTAAAAGTATTTGACTTACGTATCTTAACAACCATGTGAAAACCTATGTTTTTTTGATTCACAAATTTTACCTCAATTTTTGTATTAATTAGCTTCCATTCCCTACTTTCACGCAGCACCTCAACACAAGGATGGGTATTATAACCATTGCAACAACAGTATACTGATAATTTATTTGAGAATTAGCAACTACATGCAGACCTGTTTTAAAATCCATTCGGAAATTGTAGACTACCTCCAAAGGTAGTCCTCTTTATCCGTTCTGAACGGAACAGTGGAAATTTCCTTACCGTTTGCTAAATTTCTAGTTTCCAGTCTCTCATCAGCCGAAGACAATTGCAATTGCAAATGGTAAGCGCCATCTCGTTCGGCCGGTCATCCCAACCGGGAAATCAAGTCGTTAATTTGAAAGAGAGAGGAGGCGAGGGGTTCCAAGCTTTGACTTCGACTCTATGGCGTGAATAAACCTTACGCCTAAATAAGATATTGCAAGAGATGTAAAGATTGAATATATCATGCGATCTTTGCTCACATGAATTTTGGTTTCAAACAAGCTAGAGGTAAAACTCACAGGTCCGATGGAAAGGAAGATCAGTACCCCCCCTTCCCCCCTCCCGATTCTTCTTCCTTGATTCATCATTGCATCTTAATTATTATCACCCTCAACATCATCCTCATGCACGGTTATAATCACTGTCGTCGCCATCTCAGCCATAATTATCATCCACATCAGTAAGGCGTTTCCTGAATGGCCCCAAAACATTCCAGCACCATATTCCATAGAGGAAATGCCTAAAGTCTTTCACAATGTTTGTATTTTGAAGAATAAGAGGCCTGATGATTCACCTCCTGTTATCTTTTTCTGATTCTCAGAGAAGGCGAGAAGTGGAGTCGACTGCGCAAAGCCTTAGCACCCAAGATGCTGCGTCCTAAAGGAATACGTGAAAATCTACACAATTTCAATGGGGTCGCTAGGGATGCCATAACACACATGGCTGCACTGCGAGGAATTGGCGGTGAGATTCCAGATCTTGAAGGGGAACTTTCAAAGTATGCTTGCGAATGTAAGTCTTAAATGTGATTTATTCCAAATTGATTTGCATTAATGAAGCTACTTTTTCTGCTTGCATTAATCACTCAACCTAGTAAATATAGAAAACTTTAATGAATATCCTGAAGGTAGAGAATACTTTGATCCAATATGACTGGCGTGGTGGTGAGAGCACTCGCTTTCCACTTAAAGGGCCTGGGTTCGATTCTTCGACCTGGCGTCACATGTAGCTTGGGTTTATAATTGGATTTCCTCCTCGCTCCGAGGGTTTTTTCTAGGTCCTCTGGTTTTCCTCCCTCGGCAAAAACCAACATTCTAAATTCCAATTCGACCTAGAAACAGTGGACGTTGAAGACGAGCTAACTCGTGGATTTTCCACTGTTTAATCGTTTTTATCACGTGATTATTAATCGTTATCATTATTAATCGGGTATTCACGCGCACACATGGAGCACTCATCCCGTTTCTGATTCGATAGATGCTCCAACCTTTAAAATAAATAAATAGCCAGAAGTAAGTAATCCACTACAAGAAAATTTTGCTTGACACCTTTCTTTGCGAGGTCACCTTATGATCTCATCATCGTTTGTAACGCAAACATTTATTTCGTTGTTACGTGAACGATTCCATTTTCAGCCATCTTAGCGTACTCGACGTGTGTGCGCTTGAGTGAACACATGTGTGTTCTTGTTTAAGCTATAGGAACGATGGCGTTTGACGTTAGAGTTGGACTCTTTGACGACCCACCAAGCAAAGAAACTAAGAAAATGCTGAAAATGATCAAAGCGGTCTCTGATGGATTTGCACTCTTGGCAAAACTGAACAGCGGATGGGAAGAACTTCTTCATAGATTTATGGAGCCACCATCCTACAGAAAATTCGTCGAAACTCAAGACATCACGTTCTCCGCCAGCCAAGAGATTATTGACAGAAAGGTTATGGAACTGACCAAAATGGCAGAAGAAGGCAAACAGTTTCCTGAAAATCAAGGTGAGCTATACGAATATAAAAACGACACCTTTCAGTCATAAAGCTTCTTCAAGTGCGGGCCTGTTAATTTACCATTCTATTTTGAGCTTTTTTCAAAATGTTGTATGTTTCTTAAACACCGTAGTTCAGTGGCTTGTGCTGTTGTTTGTTACTCGTGTGAGACAAACAGGTTCTGACCGCCTAACAGCACATCACCCAGTCATTTCCACGCTTGACCGCTGTGTTGGCGGAGGCAAGGAAAACGACTCTACCGTGAGAACTGACACTAGTCAAGAGATTATAAGCAGTTTATGACCTCTTGCAATAGTCATTAAGGAAGAGATTTGATTCCCTTCTGAAGATTAAAGTTATTAGTACTCTTTACTTTGTTATAGCTGTTTCTATGCTGGCGTATCTCATCATGAAGGGTGACCTCACGCCCAGGGAGATCAGCGTCAATTCTATTTTCATGTTTAGGGCGGGCGTCGAATCGGTAAGTTATAAAGCAATTGCCCCTTTATAGAAAACAAGAACATCAATTCGACCGGTCAAATAAAGTAGGAAAATTATTTCCAAGTTAAAAGATCCGTCCTAATGACATATGTCCACTTTTTCTTCAAAGACCACAAATGGATTGCTGTGGCTCCTTTACGATCTGGCCCGAAATCCGAGGGTGCAGGAAATGGTGTTCGAAGAAGTAAACTCCCTGATTGGGCCCCATGGAGATTTTACTCCCGAGAGCTTTGCAAAGTTGGAGTACATTAAGGCTTGTGTCAAAGAGAGTATGAGGTAGAAGTAATGTTGTTGTTGTTGTTTTTTGATCTTGAGAGGTATTTTTAATTTTAAAATAAGCGAACAGAAAGATAGTGAATGGCTCCTCGCACAATTCCCAGTTCAAACTGAACCCCTCCGATGCGAACTAAGTCTTTAAATTGTTCTTTCAGACTGCATCCAGTTACACCAGCCTGGACACGTGTTCTGACACAGGATCTTGTTTTATCCAGTTACATGGTTCCATCAGGGGTAAGTGCTTAACGATAAGTTATGAGTGACGAGGACTATGGGAAGAGCTATAGGTCCTTCTTCCAATCGCCCACGGCATAGTTTCTTTTCCCCTTTGCCAAAACCCTGCATGTATATTAAAAGACTCCCAAGAGCCAGGATATTTAGGCTACTGGTTCAACTCTTGAGTCTTAGTAGCAGAGGGGGGCGGGGGCAATCGCAAAGAGGGGAGTATCCTCAGGACACCCCCTTCCGGCTCGGGTAAGCTCCTTAGTGAGTTATGTGTTCGAAAGTGATTCAATATTCCAATGGTGTTAAAAGAAGTCTATCAAGTTGGTGAATCTTCAACTAATCGAGGAAAAAATGAAGCCTGTGACGTACTTATGGCTTACTTGATCATTTGTTCGCTTGCGTTCGTTCGACAATTGAAATAATAATGATGACTATACCGGAAGTAACTACCGACTGATCGTGTTTGACCATGCATTCTATTCAGACCATCGTAAGCTATTCAAATTACCTTTCTGGGCGCTCTGAGGAATTGTTTAAGTTTCCTTTGGAGTTCAGGCCAGAACGTTGGTTAAACGAGGATCTGGGAAAGATTCACCCATTTGCCAGTCTGCCATTTGGAGTTGGGAGTCGTATGTGCATAGGTGAGGTTTTTTCTGTATACAAAAGGTCTACATGCAGCAGGTTTTTTCTTGGGCAACACATCACTTTGACCCCTCACCTATAGCTACGCATAAAGCTTAGTTTGTAAAATTAACCTCAGCTTTGAGCAAACAATGGTGACATCCGTATGAGCGCGACCTAACAGAAGACTTAACGAGTAGAACAATGATGGGTGTGCTCGTGTATTTTAAAATTTTAATTTGTAAATTTATATGTTCTCTAGCAAAAGAAAAACGTGAAAACGTTGATTTTGGCTATGTATTTGAGAGAACCCACACTGAAATCTTTCATGTTTTCTTTGAGAGTTTAAAGCTACTTAGACCTGTACCTCCGCGGTTGTTTTTTCCATACAATTACCTCTCTGGTTCTTTCCAGGGCGTCGTATTGCAGAAGCCGAAATATATCTTCTAACAGCAAAGGTAAGCGTGGGAAAGAAAAGTAGTTTGAAGGAGAAGAAAAATAAAATAAATAATCGCATGTAAAAACACAATTGTATTACGGTGACCCCACTTTGGAAGGGCAGCGCTTTGGGAAGGAGGTCGAGTTATCGATATCTTGTCTTAATACACTAAATAAATACTTAAGTGAATTGTTATTAATTTAACCAATGTTTTTCTCAATGACTACTTTAGCTGGTCCAGCGATTCATTATGGAATACCACGATGAGCCAATGGGGACAAAGCTATCTTTTGTGGCTGTTCCCGACAGGCCTCTGAGGATAAAGTTTATCGATCGGGAATAGTTGTTATGGACGTGTAGTCATCAAGTGTCGCGAATGGTCACAGCACCAAACACTATGGCACATAGCCAATATAGAATAGGATGATGTACCACGTGGTACAAATGAACTAATCAGATGGCTGGATTGCTTTACATCAAATCGCCATCTGGATGCAAATTCGGCCATATGATTGGTTCATTTGTACCCCATGGTACTTAATCCACCTCTCTGATTAATTAGTTGTACACCATAGTGCTTCCTTAAACTACTCAGACTGTATGGAAATCAATATCTAAATACCATATTATATAAAAGGTGTTCTAGAATAGAAGCCGCCTTTTAATGAAGGCTGCCATAGAAATACTTTAAACATCATAAACGCCGTAGCGTAAAGGAAAAAAAAACACGGTACCGGTTGCCTTCATCAGGAATGATTTGATAATCTTATTATTTGAACTTTTTAAAACACCTTAATCTATTTTTAAAAACCTTTCCTTTTGGTGACAAGTCGAACTTTTGTTAAGTGGTCACCCACCACTGGAAATGTCGAGGTGACCGCTAAAAACAGATTAACCACTTAATGCAAGTTCCACAGTAAAGGGGTTTTATAAAAGACAAGGAAAGCGCCATTTTATGCCATAATTTACCACTTAGTGTACAAAAACGCGCTTAAAAATGCTTCTAGCCTTTGATTTGGGAGATGAACGTGGATTTAATACACTTGAAAGTTTCCTCTCGGTGTTATTGGAATGCCTCCGCTTTAAGTGACCGTTTATCACAATTGAAAACAATACAAACAGGGTGTTTGGACTCAGTAAAGAGTGACTATAACCGCTTAATAAAGGTGAAAATTATATTGATTAAGGGGAAAGAATTTCGTGATTTTGACAACTGACCGCTTAGTACAGAGTCACCGCTAAAATACGGTGCCGCTTAAAAGAGGTTCTACTGTGGTTCTCTTACAAGTTTACTATAGTCATAGAACTCATAGTTCGTGTATTTATGCCTCGTGGTAACGCGTTAGATAGCGTTGACGTGATGAAAAATTTCTTCAGAAAGGTTGTGACACCTTGTTCACCGTAACCAGCTTGGGGAAATTCACTCCTTTACGACTGTTCGTGCGATGATACGATGTCAACCACGCGCCTTGCTCACGTTCCAGTCTAAAGTTGATTTCACTGTTATCACTCTTGAATGAACTAAGAGGCATATCCTATGTCACTTTTGAGGTCAATAGTGACATGGGAGTCTAACAGCGTCAATATCAGCCTTAAAACACTAAGTGATAAATTCTTACACTTTCACTTCGTTTTAGGTCAGAAATTATGTTTTAATCGTGGTTGAACCAAGGTGAAAGGAATCTTGTGACTGTGCGGCATCGGTAAGACTCGGTGACTCGCAGCATGACAGATTGACTGACTCACGGACTCAGTGAGAAACTGACCTAGTTATGTGACTTGCAGTGTAAATTCCCTCTGCGTGTTTTGGTTGTTGACGTTCAGGAACTCGTCCCGTCACGCAATTTTGAAAACACGACCTAAAATAAACCGATGTGCCCTTTCGTGTCACTTGCTTATCGGTAACTGGAGTCAGCATCTCAAGATCTGCAATTTCGCGATATTTTCATTGCCATGGACGGCACCCTTTATTTTATGACTACAGCTTTGCTGATTTCAGTCGTGATTTGGATCGTGAATCCCTTGGGCAAGCTCCACAACTTACTAAGGCAGCTATTGAAAGACCCAAAGGAAAATCTCCCCGACGGAGTCCGATCCTTTAAGGATCTCCCAGGTCCGAAAGGATTGCCTTATTTTGGTGATATTCTGAACTATATTAAAACGAGCTCCGACCTCAATCGTCTTTTGAAGAATCGCCAGGAAAACTTTGACAAGTACGGCCCAATTTACAAGAGGACTGTCATGGGACGAACCGAGATCTTCATCAAAAACCCAACCGATGTCGAAGCTGTGTTCAGGGGGGATGGGATACATCCGATGCGACCTGAGATGCTTATCAGGGCTCAAAAGGAATACATGATCAGCAAGAACCTTCCAGAAGGTTTGAATACCCTGTAAGTGAATAGAATAGCCGAATTACTCTTAGTATAGAATTGATCATTCTTTGTTTAGGAAGTGCAGTGATACGGTAATTTCACGTTTGCACAATCGTGTAATCGTTGCATAACTAACTCGTGCACTTTTTGAGACAATTTGAGACAATTGAGTTATGATCGTCTCGTGTGTTTACATAACCCATGCTCATCTAACTGATCAAGCATGACATTCCCTTAGCAACAAAACAATACTGAACCAATCAAAATTCAGCTGAACGCATTAGAATGCTTCTTGTCTCTTTTTGTCTCCGAGCACTCGATCTTTCGAAAGCGGAGCGTGTAATGCGCAGTTTTAAACACAATTTTCCTGACTTTTAACATAATTTCTGAATTTTTTTACCTCCTAAAGTTTTTAACATCCAAGGTCATTAATATTCATTAAAAAAAACGGGACCAGAGAAAAAGTCCGGATAATCGAAAAGTCCGGATAATCGAGGTTCGACTGTACTATATAAAAGTGCTTAAATGATATAATATATGGAGCTACATAAAATTGTAGAACTATAGTACTTACATACCAAAAAAGTAAGGGACTATAAACTTGCAAGATCGAGCTCCTGGAGTCTACGTTTAAAACTGCGGTAGCCATCGATATTTCTTAAATTATTAGGAATAGTGTCCCATAGTCGGGCAGCCTGCTATCTCCATGACTTGATCTCGTACTTTGTAAAATTTACTTTAGATAATTTAAAATAGCATCACCACGTAAATTATGGTTAGAATTACGTGCCGTCAATAACTCGGAAATACTTGTAGGTGCGTTTCCATTCCCAATTACTCCAAACACTGTATTTAACATTTTTGCAAGTCTTTGATTTGCTAATGTGCTATATCCATTATTAACAACTAGTGTCTCATATGTAGAGATTTTGTCCTGATAAACGAAGCGGAGTGCCCGCTCGTTCAGTTTTTCGAGTTTTTCTGTTGAGCGATTGCTACAAAAATGCTAAGACTCGGCACAGTAATTAAAATGTGGAGCAATAAATGCTCTATAAAAGCTTTTCTCGCAGCTCTAACCGAAGCAACTTCTTCATTCTTTTAAAAACGGTGATTTGTTGGCTCACTTTCAAGATCGCTTCCATATTCACGCTCGAGTGATTTCCTACATACTCCGTCAGATCTTTATTTGCTCATGTAACATTTCTGTCTGCTGTCTTTGTTTCCTTCCATTTTGTATTTTGTTCTACATTTTCTCCGTCAGCGTCGATTTTGAAAAGCATATCAAACTTACGTTTAACATCTGCCTCTGTAGATTTTCGTGACATGTCACGCAGTCTGAGGTCAGTCAAAAACACGCTAATTTTCGAACATTTTCCTCTTTTTCGTGTATTTCATTTGAATTGCTATCTTTCTTACCTTCAGTTCCTAAAACTAACGTACATAAGCTTTCTATACCACTTCATTTGAAGGCAATCATTAAAATATTTCGTTCGGGTTTTTGAGACTTATGGTTGGCGATTCAGACATGTCGAAGAGGGGTTCGCGCCACATGCAAGCAGTGGCCATGGAGTCTGGGCTGGCTCTTCTCGCGGTGGCGGTAGATGCACAAAACGATTTCGGCGAAGAAACAGATGGTCCAAAAGGGGAAAAACTGAATTGGTTTACTTACGAAATAAACAAGTAAGTAAAAATTGCGCTTTTCGCAGTGTATTCAAACCTGTTTCTTTTTTCTTTTTAATTTTTTTCAATTTTTTTCACCGAACTGATTTTTTTTTAATCAGCTATCTCATATATTCCCTGTCGAAGAAGTCTGATCAAGAGCCGAACGACGAAAGTGCTGATTCTGTGATTGTGGGAATCGTGGAAAAAATATTGAGGGGATCTGAGATTCGCGGAGTTGTTATAAATTCCAGAATTCTCAACGTCTTCAGGAAAAAGATTTCTCTCCTCCATTCAGCGTTCAAGAAAGCGTCAAAAAGTGGGGGGGAAAGTATAAAGAAGCCTATTGATGCGTGGAGGGCAAAAAACTACTCCTTCAAAATTTTCTATCATGAGCTTGAAAACAACTCATTGATTGAGGAAAACCAACAGCTTCGTGGGCAGAAAAGGAAAGCTGAACTGGATTTAGCCGCAGAGCAGGCAAAGCGATTAAAAATTGAGCAGGAGCTTGAAGATGTTATTAGGAATTCGGAAAACAGAAAAGAACAATACAAACAAAAATTCAAAAGATTAGCGAAAAAAAGCAGCAAGAATGCAAAAAAAGAGACAAAGAGGTCCAAACAAAAGCAAACGTTTCACTGATTATACCAAACAACATCAGGCAAGATTAAGGCGAGGATTTAAAGAAGACTGCCAGTCAGCACTGTCATTTTTAGGCCTCTACAATTTTATTGCCACCAAGGTTGAGGTATTTAATAATGACACTCAACAGTATGAAACTATTTCATTGGTAGAAGAGGGAGAGTTACAACTATTGGAAACAGAGCCAAGAGAGCTGACTGACAATGATATTGATAACATCAATATGTGGGTTTACTTGAAGGACAAATTGAATATATCTAATGAAGTTTGGCATGAGTTGGCTGAAGTGTAAAGACATGCCCACAAAATATAAAATATGCAAACACCTAGATAAGCTAAATGCCAATTGGAATCTGAGAAGTACACCAGGGGAGGCAGAGGGAGTACAGATTTCTTTCAGGGAGAGTCTTGAGGAACAGATAAAAAGGCTGCAGAAAAATGGAGTATTGGACAAGGTTACTACTACTAAAGTAAAGCTCAGTGGTGATGGTACCAACATTGGGAAAAGGCTTAAACTTGAAAATGTCACATACACAATTCTGAATGAAAAGGATGCAGCAATGAATGAAAAAGGGAACTATGTTCTAGCAATAATTAAGAAAACAGAGAACTATGACAATCTTAAAGAAAGCCTTGCTGATCTAAATAATGAAATGTCAAATTTAAAAGAAATAACTGTAAATAGTCATAAGTATAGTTTTGAGTATTTTTTGGGAGGAGACTGGAAGTTTCTAGCCCGTGTTTGTGGTTTAGGGGCTGCTAATCAAAATTTCTCTTGTATTTGGTGTAAGTGCCCAGGAAATGAAAGGTTTGACATCAGTAAAAAGTGGTCTATAACTGACAAATCTCTTGGGGCAAGAGATTTACAAGAAATAGGTAAGTATACAAAATCTAAGCAATATAATTGTAAAACCAATCCATTATTTGATTTTATTCCTATTGACCATGTAATAATTGATACTCTACATTTATTTTTGAGAATATCTGATAATTTAATTGAACTTCTGATCAGGGAACTTCGCAGGAAAGATGTCATTGACAAGGTATCTACTTTTTCAAATGGGTTTTGTCGAAATAAGTATAGACATATGGCTGGGTATGAGAAATTTGTAAAAGAACTTGGAATTAATTTTGAATGGAAAATTAATAGGGACAGCAAGAAGTTGGAGTACAGAGACCTTACTGGACCTGAAAAACTCTTGCTTTTCCAACATATTAATTTTCACTTACTATCACCAGTTTTTCATAATGTGGACAAGCTGCAAGCCCTTTGGGGTAATTTCATAGATATTATGGGTGATCTTAAACTTAATTACACTACAGATGATGCTATCTCTAGCCTCAAAGACAAAATCAAAAAATGGTTTCAAAAATTCTTAGACCTTTACCAAGCAAAAGATGTAACACCATATATGCATTCTTTGTATGCTCATGTACCTGAATTTTTAAAGCTCTACCAAAATTTAGCTTATTACACTCAGCAAGGTATGGAGAAGTACAATGACACTGCATCAAAGGACTACTTTAGATCATCTAATCATAGAGGGGTTTCTGCTCTAAAGCAACTTTTCTTGAAAAAACACAGAATACAGCTTTTGGAAGTTGCTGGTTTGGAAAGGGTGAAGGAAAGCTACAACTGTGGAAACTGTTCAACTTCTGGCCATACCATCAAAACATGTACTGCAAAATGCAGCAAATGCGATGCTCCCACTTTCTGTGCACATCTTGTTAAAATAGATGGTAAATGGAAGCCAAGGTGTGATTTAATCAATCAATAATCATATAATATATTAATGTATTAAAGGAGTGTATTACCCAAAAACTGTTAGTAGAAGTTGTGTAGAATAATTTGCTATGCCTGTGAAATGTTTCTTGTATACAGTATTCAAGGAGTCTTTTTCAAAAATGTTACTGCATTGATTACAACAGAATCACAGACTGAAATATATGGGTCATTTATAACCACATGTTTACATTTTATGAAGGTAATTCACATGCAAGTAAAACATGTGCTAAATCACATATATTAATGATGGACCATATTTTTGTATCCACATCTGTTGCCATCTCCACGAACAAATGTAAAAACGACTTGATGCCCGTCTTCGATTTCAGATCTCACGTATTTATCGCCAATTAATTTAAAATCCACTATGGGGTTTCTTTTTGTCAACCAAAATCTCACAGTCCCTGGTACAACATAAGCAAAATCGCCGTTTTCATTCATGATCCGCTCATTCCACTTTGTGCCGATATAACAATCCAGAGTTTCATTTGAAAGAATTTCGTATATTAGTTTATTCCTCTGATATTTTTTGGAAGAAATCCTTCCAAGTCTTTTATAGAAAACGTCGTCATCGACTTGAATTTCAATACGAACTTCTGGATCCTCTCCGCGCCCGGAGTACAACTTTCGCTTGATCTCCCTGTAAACGCGTTCATAAAAAGTTTGCAGGCGATCGCTGAAGGAATCATCGGTTGGTTTTGACATCGGTTCCAATCGCATTACGGGCAAATTATGTTCATCGCATGGCCTCCATTCGTCAAATTTCTCGCTATACCCTTTGAAATGAATTTTGACCATGTTTCTCGCTTTTTCGACCTGTATTATCTCTGCAGGATAAATATTCTTATCCGTAGTTTTTATTTTCTTGCATTGCTTAGTCTTAGCCTCTGCGAATTCGTCAATAAATCTCTTCGGAGTCTTACGCTCCCGCTTCACTCTGTTGGCCGCCATTTTTAACATTGGCGCTCTTTGCATATTTAATTGCTCTACGCATGTCAGGTGAGTAATACGGAGGCTTGGGACCAATTTAAGCAAATGTTCAGTTTTCTATAGGATAAGTTTGATATGATATAATTAATGCGGAGTTCGGCGTAAGAATTTAACAGAACTTGCATGTCTTCAGAAATTTTTAAATAAGTTTGGAAATTCGCCTGAAGATCGGCAAACAATACAATCAAAATGTCCGATTTCTTTGTCTTGATGATAATTTTCATAGTTACATGTTCCTTATTTTGCTTGTGAACCCTAATTTTCTTATGTCAATAATGACTTACTTACTTTTCAAGAGCATACTTAAAGTAAAAGTTGCATAATTTTCGAAAACAAGCATAATTTTGAGAAAATTTGGGGAAAAAAATCCAAGGGGGGGAAGAGGTCCAAAGCTTTGACTTTTACTCTATGGCATGAATAAGGTTCACGCTTAAATAAGATATTGCTAGAGAAGTAAAAATTAAATATGTCATGCGATCTTTTCTTACATGAATTTTGGTTTCAGACAAGCTAGGGGTAAATAAATCCACACGTACGATCGAAATGGGAGATCATTCCCCCCCCTCCATTCTTCTTCCTTGATTCATCATTGCATCTTAATTTTTATCGCCTTCAACATCATCCTCACCTTTGTTATAATTACTGTCGTCACCATCACAGCCATAATTATCATTCACATTAGTAGGGTGTATCCTAAATGGCCCCAAAACATGCGAGCACCACACTCCATAGGGGAAATATCTAAACTCTTTCACAATGTTTGTATTTTGAAGAAGAAGGGATCTGATGATTCACCTCCAGTTATCTTTTCTTATTCTCAGAGAAGGCGAGAAGTGGAGTCGACTGCGCAAAGCCTTAGCACCCAAGATGCTGCGTCCTAAAGGAATACGTGAAAATCTGGACAATTTCAATGGAGTCGCTAGGGATGCCATAACACACATGGCTGCATTGCAAGGAATTGGCGATGAGATTCCAGATCTTGAAGGGGAACTTTCAAAGTACGCTACTGAATGTAAGTCTTGAATTTGATTTCTCCAAATTGATTTGCATTAGCACTTGACGTGTGCGCGCTAACAATTCTGTTCTTGTTTAAGCTATCGGAACGATGGCGTTTGACGTCAGAGTTGGACTCTTTGACGACCCACCGAGCAAAGAAACTAAGAAAATGCTGAAAATGATCAAAGCTGTCTTTGATGGATTTGCACTCTTGGGAAAAATGAACAGCGGATGGGAAGGACTTCTTTATAGGTTTATTAAGACACCATCCTACAAAAAATTCGTCGAAACTCAAGACATCACGTTTTCCACCAGCCAAGAGATTATTGACAGAAAGGTTATGGAACTGAACAAAATGGCAGAAGAAGGCGAACAGTTTCCTGAAAATCAAGGTTACTTATACGAACATAAATACGAAACTTTTCAGATATAGAGCTTCTTTAAGTGCGGGTGTCCTGTTAATTTATCATTCTATTTTGAGCTTTATAAAAAATGTTGCACGCTTCTTAAACACCGTAGCTCAGTAGCTTGTGCTGGTGTTTGTTACTCGTGTGAGACAAACTGGTTCTGACTACCTCGAAGCACATCACCCAATCATTACAATGCTTCACTGCTGTGTTGGCGGAGGCAAGGAAAACGACTCTCCTGTGTGAACTGACATTATCCAAGAGATTATAAGCAGTTTATAACCTCTTGCAATAGTAATGAATGAAGAGATTTGATTCCCTTCTGAAGGGTAAAGTTATTACTAATCTTTACTTTTTTTATAGCTGTTCCTATGCTGGCCTACCTCATCATGAAGGGCGACCTCACGCCCAAGGAGATTAGCGTCAATTCTATTTTCATGTTTAGGGCGGGCGTAGAAACGGTAAGTCATAAAGCAATTGCCTCTTTATAGAAAACTATAACGTTAGTTCGACCGGTCAAAAATAGTAGGAGAGAGAACATCCGCCCTGATGACATATATCCACTTTTTCTTCAAAGACCACAAATGGATTGCTGTGGGTCCTTTACGATCTGGCCCGAAATCCGAGGGTGCAGGAAAAGGTATACGAAGAAGTAACCTCCCTGATTGGACCCCATGGAGATTTTACTCCTGAGAGCTTTGCAAAGTTGGAATACATTAAGGCTTGTGTCAAGGAGAGTATGAGGTAGAAGTACTGTTGTTGTTATTTTTGTTATCGTGAGAGGTACTCTTATCGTAAGCGAACAGAAAGATACTGAATGGCTCCTCGTACAATTCCCAGTTTATACTGAACCCATACGATGCGAACTAAGTCTTTAAATTGTTCTCTCAGATTGCATCCCGTTGCACTAGACTGGGCGCGTGTTCTGACACAGGATCTTGTTTTATCCAGTTACATGGTTCCAGCAGGAGTAAGTGCTTAACGATAAGTTATGAGTGACGAGGACTATGGGAAAAGCTGCACGTCCTTCTTCCAGTTCCCCTCAGCATAGTTTCTTTTCCCCTTTGCCAAAGACTCCCAATAGAGGAGAGAGCGTAAAATGTTCAAGAGAAGATTATCCTTTCAACATTCAGGATGAAACAGGATATTTAGGCTAGTGGTTCAACTCTTGACTCTTAGTAGGAGAGAGGGGTGGGGGCAATTGTAAAATGGGAAAAACCCCCAAGGACACCCATTCAGGTTCGGCTACGCTCTTAAGTGAGTTATCTTTAAAAGTGATTCAACACTCATATGGTGCTAAAAGAAATCTATTAAGTTACTGACTCTTCAACCAATCGAAACAAAAAAAAAATGAAGCGTTTTACGTGCATCAGACTTACTTGATCATTTGTTCACTTGCGTTCATCCGACAATTGGAATCATAATTATGCCTTCACCAGAAGTACCTAAGCTTAGTCAAATGATCGTGTTTGACCTTGTGTTTCATTCAGACCATTGTAAGCTATTCCAGTTACCTTTCTGGGCGCTCTGAAGAATTGTTTAAGTTTCCTTTGGAGTTCAGGCCAGAACGTTGGTTAAACGAGGATCTGGGAAAGATTCACCCATTTGCCAGTCTGCCATTTGGAGTTGGGAGTCGTATGTGCATAGGCGAGTTTTTTTTTTTCTGTATGCAAAAGGTTTACATGCAGCAGATTTTTTCTTGGGCAACACATCACTTTGACCCCTCACCTATAGCTATGCAATGAGCTTAGTTTGGAAAATTTTCCTCAGCTTTGAGCAGAGAATGGTGACATCGGTATGAGCGTGACCTAAAAGAAGACTTAACGAGATGAACGATGATGGGTGTGCTCGTGTATTTTAAAATTTTAATTTGTAATTTTACAATATGTTCTTTAGGAAAAGAAAAACGTGAAAACGTTGATTTTGACTCTGTATTTGAGAGAACCCACTTTGAAATCTTTGATGTTTTCTTCGGGAGTTCAACCCTACTTAGACCTGTACCTCCGCGGTTGTTTTTTTCCATACAATTACCTCTCTGTTTCTCTCCAGGGCGTCGCATTGCAGAAGCCGAAATGTATCTTTTAACGGCAAAGGTAAGCGTGGGAAAGAAAAGTAGTTTGAAGGAGAGGAAAAATGAAATAATAATTGCATGTAAAAACATAAATGTATTACGGTCACCTCACCTTGGAAGAGTAAGCACTTTGGGAACAAGGTCGAGTTATCGATATTTTGTCTTAATACATTAATTAAATACTCAAGTGAATTGCTATTAATTCGACAAATGTTTTTCTAAATGACAACTTCAGTTGGTCCAGCGATTCACTATGGAATACCACGATGAGCCAATGGGGACAAAGCTATCTTTTTTGGCTGTTCCCGACAGGGCCCTGAAGATCAAGTTTATCGATCGGGAATAGTTGTTATGGACGTGTAGTCATCAAGTGTCGCGGATGGTCATAGCATCGAACACTATGGTGCATAGCCAATCATAGAATAGGATTATGTACCACGTCGTTCAAATGAACCAATCGGATAGCTGGATTGCATCAGATTGCTATCTTGGATGCCAATCTGGCCATATGATTGGTTCATTAGTACCCCATGGTACTAAATCCATCACTCTAATCGGTTGTATACCATAGTACCTCCTTAAACTACTCACACTGTATTGAAATCAATATCTTAATACCATATTATATAAAAAGGTGTTCAAGAATAGAAGCCGCCTTTTAATGGAGGCTGCCATAGAAATACTTTGAATCTGATGAACGCCGTAGCGTAATAGAGATAATATGGTACGGGTAGCCTTTATCAGAAATGATTTTATAATCTTATTATTTGAAATTTTGAAGACACCTTAATCTATTTCTAAAAACCTTTCTTTTGATGACATTTTAAAACACCGAGTCTGCAAAATTAATGTGGGACTTCGATGTAAGGGAATTTCTTAAAAGAATTTTGTTTAATTCCAGCTTATTTCCTGGAATAGTTTCTTACAATAATTATATTCTTTATGCAAACTTCTGTGAAAAATTGATCACGTTGACATATTGGGATTTAGAGGAGCTCAGAAGAGAAACAAACCGTTAAACCGAATTAAACTTAATAAAGCACTTAACGATTAGGCGTCGTGAGAACTCCGAGCGCGGTTGCCAAGTAACAAAAGGTTTAAGTCTTTGATTTGATTGGTAAAAAATTGCCACGAAATTTAAGTTTTGAAGTTTCTAAAGCAAGTAAAGTATAAGATTAATGCAAAGCTATTTAGTTAAGTGAAGCAAAATCAATGATATCTGGGATTACCTCCAACACCTCGTTGAAAATTCTCTAATCAGATAGAAGCTATTAAATCGAGTTGTGTGTCTCAATGAACCGTTTCACTTCTGCTATTAAGAACTGTGCCCTCCAAATCAAGGGCATTTTGAAAGTTATTCTGCATATCGCTTTACTAACTTGTAATTCTACGTACGGCTTTCATTTTAAAATGAGTCTTGTCGTTCTTGTATACTACACACAGGGTGTTTTTCTCTTAAATTGTGCTGAGTGATGGGTGAACTTCTTAAGTAGGCGCGCTGGTTTGAAGCTGTGTTTCTCCAAAATCTTTCAGTGTGATTCTACTCGACTGTAGCGAACCTCTGCTATCTGCCATGCGCTGGAGGTGAAACACTCGATCATCGACGCTCATGCCATTTGTTATATTATTCGTTTTCTCAAGAGTCATTACTCGTAGCCTTTTGCTCGAATCTAGGGAACTGAAAAAAAAGTAAAATACTCGACATTATTATTCCACATATCTTCCTCCATTTTCATTGACCAAAATCCTTCCACGTGACCAACAAATACTAAACTTATACGGACTGTGTTCCAAATCCTACAGAAAAACAGTAAATCCCTGTCCAGATTTCAGCAATGAAGCAACTGTGAGGGGAAATGACCACACTCTTTATTTTGCTGAATTCCACACATTCCATAACGACTACCCTCTCCCTCCCCCCCCCACCTTTTTTTTTTCAGAAACTAGAAGAAGCAAACTTTGAGTGATAGTCAATTGAATCATTCAAAATGGCGCCCATTGTGGCGCGTGAAGAGAAACCATACAGTCAGTGACAAATGCTTAAGCAACAGCTATCTTATATATATATTACCAATCTGTTTTCGTGTTAAGTTTTACTTACTATTCTTTTGCCCCGTGCTTGCTGGCTTGTGTTCCTTTGACAAAGAAGATAACGAAAAGGACAGCTGTCAAAATGGAGATGACTGCAACTGTCACCACCACGATCATGATAATCCGGGTTTCCAAATCCGCTAGAAGAAAAAGGATTTATCAGAGTTAGAGACTGTGTGACTTTATGATCGACTGCTGACAGAATGAACAATATTAAACGTAAAAGGGTGAGAGTGAGTGAGAGAGGCACCGAAAACACGAACGAACGAGCTGACTAACGAGCGAACAAACGAACGAATGAGAGAGGGACCGGAAGCACGAACAAACAAGCTGACCAACGAGCAAACGAACGAACGAGTCAGAGAGGGACCGAAAGCACGAATGAACGAGCAAACGAACGAGCTTACGAACAAATGAACGACCGACCGAAAGCACGGACGTCTGCCAAAAATTATATAACCAATGTTCGGGAATCCTGACAAGAAACAAGGAAACAAACAAAGAGAACTCAAGGAAAGAGCTTTGGGTCTGACACTATTAATACTTTAATTATGTTCTAACCGTGACAAGGTATTGCGTTACAGCTCTCTATTTCTTGCGTAGTGTTACAGGAGTCACAAGTTCTGTTTCTTACACGTATTCCTCCCTCGCATGTCCGAGAGCAGGCGCTCCAGTGACCTATGAAAAAATGTGTAAGAAAATAAAAAAATAAGAATGGTAAAAAGAAAACCTAAGCGAAGGTACTTAAAGCTTCTTTAAGAGAAAAAAGAGCCTCTTCGTTGATTCTCAACAGGAAAATGCTATAATTACTCGATTAGACGCAATGGCGTTGTGGCTCTCCAAAGCGGCTTCCTCTCTGACAACAATGACGGTAAATCATTACATCATGAGACAAACGATAAAACGTTCAGTTATCTACTGTATAAAAACCTCGCTGTTAAGAGATAGAATCCAATTTGTCTAACTTGCAATATCTACAGGGATGGTTGAGTTAATCGCGTTGTATCATACTCCTTTTCTAACAAACTTCGAGTGGGCACCGCGTTTCTCTCATGGAGTACGGCGGTTTTCATCGAAGACTATGCTTCTGTTTGCGACGTTTTATTTACTAGCGGCGCTTTATTTGATAGCGGCGTTTGTTGACAATTCTGCATCCCTCCGCGATACGGTCTTTATTTGAAAGCGGCGTTTTGATCGAGTAAACCCAGGATATTACAAATACAGTTATGCCAGCTTAAAAACATTACAGATAATTTTTTTCATCGGAGGGAAATTTAATTCCTAACCTTAAGAATTTTATAAAATTGCCTCAATCTCACTTGATTTTACAGAGAATATTGACAACAAGGATAGTTAATCAAGAAATCAATAAATTGCGAATTGAATGAGTCGAAGGAAAGTGCCGGCTTGTTGACGTCACGGAACAGTGACCGAAAAGTCACAGGATCTCTTGTCAAGTTTATAAGCTGTCGTCTCAGTTATTTTGGAAAGTTCTTGTAAAAGAAAAATCCATTTTTGTGATGTGTACTGATTATTTTATACAGTATTCTTGGCACCGTGCCCTGTTGTGTCTTGATGAGAGGGTTCCAACAAATGTCGATTTATCATGCACATGATTTTCACATCACGATTATATCGTCGAGATGTTATTGAAATCTCCTCCAGTTAACTCTAAGTACTACGATGGCATCAAGATCAGATAAGAGTAATGGTTTAACTACACGAAAGCAAATATTTATTCCAAAGCAAATATAAACCTAGTCTACATTTTGACTCTTGCGTTTTTCTTCAGTCTTCATTCATTTCCGGTTTATTTGTTCATGAGATAACTGAAATTTTCCACGACTTCCTTCGAGCAAATTTTGCCATTTTATTCGATCAATACAGGAATCCAAAAGAAAAACAGAAAATCCGCACAATTAGAGGCGAACAGGAACTCATTTTAAGCTATTTTGATCACGCTAACACTACCAGGCGCATACTTTGGGAAGATCGTGATGTGTTGCTCGGAAGGTAAAAGCTTCCTAAAGAATTATTCTATCAAAACACGGTTAAATCAAACGACACTTTACTTACCTAAATGGGATGAAAATGCGAGCGAAAACCAGGGTGCGAGGAAAACGAGCAGTTCTTTGTAATCAAGCATCTTAATGGTGAAGATTAAACATCATGTAAACATTCGGAATCTTCTGGCACTGTCAAATCAATTCGCCCTCATCAAGCGTACGTGACTCTCTTCAGCTCAAGTCAATTCTGCTTTGCTTCTCTCCAGACCAGTATTTCGGAAGAAAATCCTTTCTTTCCTTTATGTTTTCCTTTCGATCGATGAATGAAAAACGACTTAAGCGCTTAGGATCTCGGCCGACGATCATTACATGAAGCGCTATGCTAATTTAGTGTTTATGGTGGTGAATTATAAAAGGCGAAGTTAATTATGCAAAAAGTAAATGCGCAAAAAATAATTATCCATCCTTTACCGCATACATTAAGCATTACGTCACACGACAAATGATTCCCTCAAAATCATTCCATACAACTTCCTTGGAATTTCTTTTCGCGATAAAAGCCGAATCTTTTCTTTTATTTGTGAGCGAAAATGATGTGTGTCAATGATGCGACTGTTAAAAATGTTGCTTGTCTCGTGATTTCTTCCGTAATCTCATTTCCCGTTTTGATGAGCAAGACGGGTCTCAAGGCCATAAGGAACCTGTCTCAGCCAATCAGAATTAGGTATACCAGAAAATATTGGCCTACCAAAACCCTCCATTTAAGACTGTTTACTATGGCATGGTGCGAAACAGGAAATTTATGAAAGAAACATGTTCACAGTTAGATTGGCGGCCTGCATGCGCTGAGGGGCACTCCAGCCTTTATTTGGTTGAGTTTGTGCCAGCAAATGTGGTATGGTTTTCGAGTTCTTGAATCTTAAACAGGATGTGCAACTTCACTATTTCTAATTTTCAAAATAACATCTTTCTTGACTACAAGCTCCTAAGATATACGGCACAAGCATCAGCGATCACAGTCTTCATTTCAGGGGATGAAAATTCTTCTCGAAAATATATTCTCTCTGAATATGTGCATGTGGCCAAATGAGGTTGAAAGACAAGAATCTCCGATAATTTCACGGTATTAAAATGAGAGGATTTTTTTCGAAACAGGAGCAAAGTCTTATGTATTCTGCCACACAATGCCATCCAAACTTCAATCCAACCCCCATCCCACCCCCGGCTCTACGACGCTTGAATGGCTACATGGCTTTCCCGGGGTTTCTGTATTGCCTGAATGAAGCAGATCTGATTTCCAATTTTCCATTGAATATGCAAAGGCCAATTTTTACTCTAAAAATAACCAACCTTTATTTGACTTACTTTTTGCTATTTCTTTTCGAATTGAAATGTACTGAATTCTTTGTCATCACAACGATTTAGAAAATAAGACTCCTAAATTCACACGAACGCTAGGTGTAAGTATTTGTCACAAAGTCACGCAAGCTATTTATAAATCCTTCTGTACTGTAAGGCCAAAGACCATGCCTGTCACGTAACCCGTAAGGTATTATATACTTCTCACACAATCATTAGGTATTACAAAATACTGCCTAGGTGTTGAAACTAAACTTTTTCTTGACAGAAAAAAAAAATAACGATAGTCATGAAAAATCATTTCCTCTTGCTACAGCTTGACATCATTTGGAGGTTTAACTACTACAGCATAAACAGGTTGAGGTTCCTGAGAGACAAGATCCTGGTCTCTGTCTATGATTTGTGTCTCTGTTACGGACACAACCTTAAGAGACATTCTTTTTTCATTCTTTGGCTGCTCTTTAGGCTGAAACTCCTCGTCTGCGCCAAAAGAGCAGCTAACTTCTCTGATGCTCTCATTCAGGCTTTCAGTGTCGAAAACGAAGTCGTCAAGTCCAGTCTCCTCGGGTTCCGGGAGAGGTTCGGGGAAGCTTTCGACTGATGGCATGTGACGAATGGTAGAACTATGGGTACTAATCGAGTTGTCGTACATTCTTTCGATAGCTTTAGATATGTTGCTGAAGAAATGGGACGAAAGGATAATTCAAAGTCAACGTTTAAAATCTGCAGCTAATTAAGGCAACTTTAGCTACATTTAGCTACACGGGATCTGGGCACGAGACAAAGTTTTGTTCATAGCTTACCTGTAGCCGTACCTCCTTTCCCCTCCCCTCCCCTCCCAGGTAAAAACGGAGGCGAGGTTCCCTCGCTTCCATTTCACCTTGGGGGGGAGGGTACAGCTACACGTAGGCTATCTTGTTCAAAAAAAGTCCCATACCCAGACCTTACACGGCTGAGTGGTTTTTACAGTCAAACGGTCGGATGCGGATACAAGAGAAGCCCAAAGGTAAGTGTCTTTTTGTTGTTAGATGGTCGTAAATGAAGAGAGTTTCGGTGCAACTTACTTATCTGTTTGGGGGTTATGTCTTGTTATCAGGCCTTGATTCAGTTTTTTTTCTGGAAGCCTGAACTACTGGTTTCAACTATTGGTCGAAAGACGTTTTGCAATCCAACAATGCCTCTCTCAAGTGAACTCTTTCAATAAGCCATCTCCGAATTACCTTTAGCCTCTTTCACTGTTCTCTTTTGATGAAATGAGATTTCAATCACGAGCTATCAAACTCACTTCCACATGATGCTTGTGTACCAAGTCTCCTACTAATCAAGAGGCTTACTACCAGGAGGTTGCTAGACCATCAATTTATAGAATGGACTGCTTCGGCTCCAGTCTCCCAGCCAGACTAAACCTATTCACCATTCTATTATTTATCTCGAAAAGGGAGAAATGCTTCGCGTGAACAAAAATCTACTTTATCTAAAATGGCGACCGCATAGGAAATAGTTGTGAGGCAAATGAGTGACCCTTTCGACTCACCTTTCTTCATCTTTTATTGCTGACTTTTCCATTTTGATTTTAAAGAGAATCACAAAAATTACAATGATTACCGCAACAATGGCGGCGCAAATCAACGCCAACGATAAAATCATTTCCAAACCTAGATAAAGAGAAATAACTGTAAGGTGCTGCTTTACTAAAGGACTTCTTAGGATAGTCGTTTCTCATTTATTATTAGGGACCTTAAGCAGTCATGACTGTAAGGCCGAGGAAGACGTCGTTAAAAAAATGGAATTCATTCTTTTTCTATTTAGAATTTCGTGCATGCCTGGATGTTTTATATCGTCTCTTACGGAACCACACCTGAGCAGCATTGAGTTTTTAGTGGAAACTCAAACAATTTGCCGTCGGGTCTTTGTTATTAGACCACGCAAATTTTGGTAATTTCAAGTTGTTGTTTTGCAGAGGGCGGTTAAGAATTGTACTGCCCATCACGTCTTCATTTACTCATTTATTTATTATTTTGCCACGTCCTCAGTCATAAAATTATAAAAGCTGCACATTTAAGATTTAGACTAAGTACAATTATGTAACAAAAGTCAGTAAAGGGAATTTTACAACAATCACTTACTAAAACAAGATGAAGAGCTGCATTCTCTTCTATCTTCCAATCTTTGTTCACAATCAGATGAGGATGTACATGTACGAGTCCTCGTTTGTTCACCATCACAGGACTTAGAGCATTTGCCCCAGGGACCCCAGTTACTCACAGACTGCCCAACTGTAGGATAACAAAAAGTCACTCTGTTAACAGAAAATTGTGCACTACTTTGATCGAGCACTGAGCGTTGCATAAATGAATGATCTGGTCAAATCTGACCGACAAGAATTGAAATCAGCAGGTTTGAGATTTTTAACCTTATCTTCGATTATATCAGTCAAATACGCTTAATTAAGAATTGAAGATGAACCAGTAATAAATGACGCATGCGCCATGAGGGTAAAAATAAGAGCACATAAATTTGATCCGAATTTTATTTTAATTGGCTAGCTATACCCAAAAGTTGTGAGAGTGAACAAATTTTGCTTTTTTTTGTCACTTGAAATTGATTAAGCAGCCTCTTTAAAGAACCATTGGCTGGTAGACGTGAAATTTAATTCACCACATTTTCTTCTTCCTTTTAAATTATCGACTTGAAAAACTGAGTTTAGTTCAGCAGCTTCTCAATATCATGCAATTTTTTAATTTATTCATCATTTGAAATAACTTTCAAGACCTACTTGAGGGTCTATTAAAACATCTGCAGATTTGCTGATAGGCATAGTTTTCAAAGACCATGTAGCAGACAGAAGGGACTGTGAGAAGTATATGAATGCATCGTAAGGTAATTTTTAAAATACACTTAATTCCAGAACTAAGAAGCCTTTGGTGGGTTACCGGTTGGCTAGGAACAGTAGTGTTTGAACAACTACAGAGGTTTCAGAATGACTTCATCGTCTCGTTCCCAACAGGTGTTCTGAGAGTCCTATTAAATTCACTGCACTTTGAGTATTCAAAAGATTGAAAGCTTTCGATAAATCATTGTAAAACGCCAACGTAAAACGCCATAGGATAGCTTTAGTGGAATCCTCTAGATCTTTTTAGTAAAAAGAAGAAATGAATCTGTACCGGGGTTCTCAATTCAGTTTGCTTTCGCAAAGCTCTCTAAAATTCACTTGCTAAATTACTGTCTTAATTTCGGGAGATATTGATTAGAGTTCAAGAATTTCGAAAATTGGAGGGATAAAAACCCTTGAATACAACACCATTCATGTTACGCTTCAATTCTTCCAGTTGGCGTGTTGGTAATCATGAATATTCCACCAAAACATGCAATTGCCGTGAACAAAATCGAAATGGATGACACTTGAAAATAAATTATTAATCAAAATGGGTATATTTGTTTACTTGTTCTTCGTATAAACTGAAATTTTTATTTTTCAATGCGAGGAAGTATAAACGGTTTGTTGCGGGAAACGAAACCTTACTGCTGTATTAATAATAACCTTTGAAAGATTATTTAACGTCTGCTAACGCTAATTTGCCAAATGATAGGCGCGAATAACATTTTGACGAACTGATTGTCAGTGAGTAACAGTTTCCAAGGTAGCCAAATACATTACATATATCCTAGATAGCTTCAGAAACGGCGTGTGATGCATTTAAGGACAGAAACCACCGACTAGAGCACACGCTTGATTAAACATATAGCAGCAATATTCCATTTAGGAGTATTTTGTATTGCTAACCATGCACTAACCCGAAAATGTTAACTTCCTTCGATGCATATACAAGGCAGATCTTACTTGAAAGCTCTCTAATTGAACAGATAAATAAATTTACTACAGCAACGGCAGTCTGACGCACTCACCTACGTCGTGGAAGGGAAATATTATTTGGAAAACAGCTACAAAGCATACTCTGGTTGAAACAAATGCCATCTTTGCTGTAAACCAAATCCTTTTGAAACTTTTCCCTTTTTCAACCGCAGAATCCTTCAAAATGTCACCATTCGGAGCCAAAAGTTGTAAAAGCCTCTTAATTTGCAGGTATAAGTCATAAACAAACGCCAGAAAACAAAGGCTGGTTTATGGCCGGATTGAAAGAGAATACCTTTCTACAGCAAACTAAAGACCTCTGAGTATCATAATTACGTGGTTCCAACGGAGTTTCGATGCTCGAAATTAAATTTACGAATGTCGCGTGGTTGAGTAGACTCTAAATGACTATTATTTTCCAAACGATTGCTTTCGTCATAGCCGTCAGAAATAGCCTCTGTTGGAGAGAAAAAAAAACAAAGAGAACAAATTTTTGCCAGAGGCATGCAGCAGTTATCCAATGAAAGTGAAACAGCAGCAATTTTATTAAGGCATGACTTCACTCTCTTGTTTCCCTATTCGACCGCGGAAATGCTTGTATTTTCAAAAATATTTCTAGTTTTTTCTACGTGAGATTTCGATTTAACCATCTATTTTGGCAATAAAAAACAAAACTTGGTTTCAAAGAGTACTTCAGATTGGAATTTATTGGTACTTGGGTAAAATCAGTTAAAGACTCTTAAACAGTCTCTTTTCAGTTTTTGGTCTCAGACTGCGCACAGCATTTTTGGATCGATAAAGCGCTTGAATTAATTTTTTTCGAGGTCAGTTATTTACTGATGTTTGGGACCGCTCGTCATATACCTCATTTGGGTGAGGTCGGATGATTTTGGTTGTGTCACAACGAAATTTGCACGATTCCTGCCTTCAATTAAGGCTCTGTATAAATCTAATGATTTCCTCTCACCGGCAGTGAATGAAACAAAATAACACATTTCATTCTCCCCTCCCCACCCTTATACTCTGTCAGTGATCCCCCTTCTTTACAAAGCCACGACTTGATCCTCCACAAAATCTTTCGACCCACCCCCCACCCCCTACGGCGATAAATAACTGATCCTTAAATAAACTTTTTCATTTAATTATTTTTTTTTAACGACGATAAATAACTGATCCCTTAAATAAACTTTTTCATTTAATTATTTTTTAACTTATATAAAATACATATAGCTATGATAAGAGGCGAATTCCTCTCTAACAAGCCTGGGCCTTTCCTTAAAATCGTACAAAGAATACTCAGACCGCATCATGCGCCAAACTGAATTACAATTTACTTACGACCAATGGCTGTGAATGTAAAAAAATCATATGTGTGAACCGTGGTTTATGAAATGAATATGAAAGCGATCTTTTACAGTAATGAACACTACTTAAGCAGTAGTGAAAGTAAGATCGCTTTCATATTCATTTCTTAAACCACAGTTCGCACGTATGATTTTCATATATTCGCAGTCATCAATTCATCACTTCATAGTCTTATTACGAATCAACATAAAAATCAGTTCCCAATTGGCTTATTAGCTCAGTTGGTAGAGCACTGCAGCCGTATCTTAGAGGTCGTGGGTTCAAATCCCGTACTGGCCTGAATTTTTTCGGGGTTCACCACTGCTCAAGTAGTGTTCACTATTGCGAAAATCGCTTTTATATTTATTACGTACGACCATCATATGAAATATTTTTTTGCTCGTACTCCGGGCCCGGAGAAGTGGAAAATGGGGACTTTGAAGAAAACGTGCCTCACAGAAGATATTCCTAAGCGGAAATAGGTTAGAAAGTGTGCCGCTCTCTAAGCCAAAAATCCATGTTTCTACCCTGAAGCGAAGGGGGGATGAAAGGGAAGTAGCTCGACGGGACGAAAAAAACAGATTTCCACTGAATGAATATTCAAATCACAATGTAAAACTAAAGGTTACGTCGGAAACAGATCGATTAGATTATTGTAAAATAAGAAACTCTAAACGCACGTGCATGACATCCACGCGCTATCACGCGATGCGTGTTTTTCCCACAATGCTTGACGAACCACCGGTACCCAGACTTCCCTCCAGCATAGCAGGCATGAGCTTTGATATTTTCTAATCAGTGTATTCAAGATTGTTTAGTAATTTGCCCATTTTCTGAACTTTGGGGCCTCGATAGGCCCAGAGAGGAATGAATGCTGCCAATAACGAAGCATGCTGACTTATCTACGGGGTCTAACGCACACGAAAGAGAAACAAACGTGGCGGAAAACGGCGGACCAAGGAAGAAGAGGCGACTGAGCAACACTGTCAAGAACGGAACGTGTAAGGCAAGCCCCGATCCTCTGCAGAGTGAATTGAATTTTCACCCTCACAAGAAACAAAAGACAATTCTTGTTCCGGGAGGCGTCGAAAACGCTGGTTCCTCGATGGCTGAGCCGCAGAGAAAGGCGAATTTTTCTGCTTACGGAAATCACTTTCACGAGCGCTCTCCTCTTGCAAACAATTCTGCTAAACCAGGCCAGGCCAAGAAGCTCGTGATTAAGAACTTCAAAGGTTAGTCTTATTTCTCTCTCCTTTTTTCTGATGCTCAAAGGGCTGAAACCTTAAGTTTTTAACTATTTTATCCCAGAAAGACATACGTGAGCATACTTAATGAAAATGTACGCTTTATTCAGTCTAAACGTTAAAATAACAAGCCTAATTGCATGGCTTACACGAACCGCTTCGTTTTGTGAACAGAAAACAGTAATTCTTCAGCTAAAGCATTGGCGTATGAATTACTTTCATTTCAGTTATGTGATCAAAAGCCTCTGTTTACTTCTGTCGTGCTCAATGTACATAATGACACTTCCAAATGGAAAGCAAAATGTTAAATTTAAAAGTTCAATCGATTTAGCGCTGTATAACGTCATTGTTTATAACTTACTACTATACGTACATCAATTGTTACTTATATTTAACCTGTTTTTACGTTTGACTGCTTAATCACCGACGTGACGGTAGTTTTGGTTTTTAACGAAACGTCCTAAATCCTACAAGTACTTGTTAAACTTTTTGCACAATTTTCACAGATGTACATTGTGCCTAAAAGACATTTTGTGTACAACAGATAATGTCAAGGCTAAACACAAACAAATTTTGTCTCAATTGTTGTTGTTTTTTCTGTGGTATTTGATACAAGAATGGCAAATTTGTGGTCTGTGACAATTCACTTTGCTGTAGAGATGCCAGATTTTTTAAATGGCACCAACAGTAGCTCCAATATTGTAATTTTCAGGAACATCTAGATGCACTTTCATTCTCTGAGCAAATATTTAAATATTATTAGCAGTTACATGACTTTAAGCATGAAATCCCAAAAGACCTAGTTCTACTACATAGTTTTAAGGTTAAACCCAGAGCAAGAGGTCAAAAGTTTGTATTTTATTTGAAATTTAAAACTCAACAATTACCTTGTGTACTTCATTTAATCTGGCAATTCTACAGGACTTAAGTTATATTTGAGAGGCTACAGGAATAGAAAATGACTTTTTTTGCATTAGTTACAAGATTATCAGTCAACCCTTTAATTCCCAGAAGTGATTAACAGGTAACTTCTTCCAATAATATCCAAACATTATCCAGCTAACAGGTCACGAGAATACTTAACCCTTTAACTCCCATGAGTGACCAAGGCAGAGTTTCTCCTTACAATATCATTACAGTATTAACCAGGCAAGTGATGAGAATGAAGAAAAATATCAATTTGGGGATAATTAGTTGATCCAATACTAAATTCTCTGAACTAACATTATAAGAATTGTATGGTTGACAGTAAGGAGAAGTACAAATTTGATCTGGGAGTCAAAGGGTTAACTAGTCAGTTAGAAGTTGTTATCATGATATAGCACTAAATTCATGTTACTTATTTACAAGGAAACATTTAGCCACTAGAGGCGAGAATTAAAAATCAGATCTTAGGAGTTAAAGGGTTATCTAATACTTGGCTAGTTATCAATGTGAGTTTTTCTCCTCACTGCAAATTTGTTTTTACTGAAAATTTAATTTTTGGTAAATATCATTAATTCATAGATTGGTTATTTGAAATTTATTGAAATCAGCATTCAGATTGAATTATTAAATGAGAAAGGCTGAATTATTTTCAGACAAGTAAGTTCTTCTCTCACTTAAGGATAAAAAAGCACAAACATTTATGTTTAAAATCTGTATTTCAATCAGCAGGAAAACTCAACCTGATATTGTAAGAGGAATTTTGTATCTTGTGAGATTTTAAGGGTTATTGTTAATCTTTGGAGTCATTGAAAAATTGACTTGATTCATGGAAAGTCCTGAAAATGGATACAAGCTTAGTAAAGTGAGGTGCCATGCCCAAGAACTTAATAAATTAAGCAGGCCAGTCACAAACCAAGACATTTCAGTCCAGTGGAGCAGTTTCCTAACTGCTAGTCCACAGAATATCTTAGAACCCAACTTGATCAATGACCTATCTATTTGTGTTTGTCCTTCTAGCCAAGCCAAATTTGCCCGAGAACTTCAAGGAAGCAACATGGCAGAAATTAAAGGAAGCTGTTCAAGCAATTCACAAGAAAACATTTGTCATTTACAGCTCAGAGGAACTTTATAAAGCTGTTGAAAACATGTGTTCCCACAAAATGGCTGCCACATTGTATGACTTGTTAAAGGCAGAGTGTGAGTCACATGTGAAGTCAAATCTTCAACAGTTTGTTTGATATCCTTTTTGAGTTGCCCTTTATTTACATGTAATTTAGGGCTTTTGTACGAAAGGGTAGCATATCAGTTTTGGGACTGACTTTCATTTTTTTGCGGGATCAAGCTATTTAACTTTTGGCAGACAGGTTGATTTGTGCTTACTTCAAAGGAAATTGCACTGTTTTGCCGATAGGAGGTGTTTTTTAAAAGCTTTAAGATATTGTGTGACAAGAAACAAAAGCTCATGTAACAGTGGAATTTCAAGCTCAGTTAATTTGTGGACGACATAGCACAAATCCTCCTTTTAATTTTTCACATCAAAACAAATTTGTCTGCGGAAAGTTTTTTTGATCCTTTTTAAGTGAAAAGCATCACAAAAATGATACACATCCATGCGGCAGTGAAAAGGGCTTCAAGCTCAGTGATACATTATGTGTGAGTTTATATACTTTTCATTTTTGTACACATGCAAAATGCATTTCAGTGTTCCTGTTCACTTCTGGTGACTAGGTGCTTTAAAGAAGACTTAAAGCACGTTTCAAAATTTTTGTTGTTTTCTTTCCCTTGTTCTAGTAAAGTTAATGTCCATGCTACAGTATTAGATAGTTTTTTCTCTTCTTTGGCTTAAAAAAAACAGTGCAGCTGTCCTGTGTTAATCCCAACTGTGTCTCGTTAACCTGTTAGACTCTAAGAGTGACTAGCATCTAATTTCTCCAAACATCACAACTTAATCAAACACTAAGGTTATAAGAATGTAGGAAATGACTATCCACTCAAGATGCCCTTGATTGTGAAACAAATTCTCTTGGTCAGTACCATAGGAAATGTATAGAGAACTGTGTGGCAAATATGCATGCTGTTGTGAAAGTGTGGAGGGTTGATTGAGAAGGAAACCCTTAGCTTGTACAAGCCAAGCACAAACCAACCCTTACAAGCTAAATCATGCATGTCAGAAGTATGGCAAATACTTGCCTGTTACAGGATATAAAAACTATCAGAAGGAAATACTTCTTCAAACTCCTTAACTGTCAGTTACTGATTCAATGGATAGTGAGTTGTACCTGTCAAAACTAAACCACTGTTGGGAAAACCATTGCAGAGACATGGTATGTTCACACACAAGACAGGGGTTTCAATAAGTTTTGAAGTAGATGGCATAAAACTGCAAAGTAGTCAGCTAAGAGAAGTTGAATCTTTACTCAAATTTTTCTACTTTCAGAGAAAACATGTGGAAATTTTGCTTGACATACATGTACATGTAGACTAGTGGAAATTTCAGTGGTGTAATAGTCAGTGTGCTGAACTCTGAGTTCAGAGGTCTGGGTTCAAGACCAGGGGGCGAGAAAGGTCAAAGTGTTGTGTTGGAAATATGGAAATCAGGATTATCTCTGGCTGGGGGGGTTGGGGGTCACTTTGCTCAAGTACAGGTTTCACCTTTCATGAATTTGCAGGTTTCTGGCTCCCTTTGAAACCCATGGAAGAGGAATGTAAACTTAAGTGTGGCAGTATAGCTGTTAATATACTAGAATATGCACAGAAAAACAAAGAAGTGAAGAAATCTCTTTCCCTCTTTCCTCTCTCTTGCAGATTATGATAAGAAGCATTTTTCTGTATCTGGACAGGACGTATGTTCTTCAAAACTCAACAATATTATCCCTGTGGTAAGAAAAATCTGACTGTTTAAAACAAACTTGTTTGTTCTTGCTACTTTTGTATTATTACAGCTCTATGGTAGTATTTTTCCAGAATTGACACCAAAATTCTCTCTTTTTTCCCATAACCCCTTGGAGATCATGGAGAGAAAAGTATCATCTATACATTGTCCAGCTGACAGTTGATAAGAGTACACAAACTTATCAGTGGCTGAGAGTTCTTTTGTGACGGCAACAAAGTTTCTTCACCCTTTGACCCCTCAGACTGACAAAGATCTAATTTCTCCTTACAATACTACCCCTGAATCAAGCATTAAGGTTACAAGATTAAAGGAAATGATCAGCAACTTAAGAAGCCCTTGATTGATAAAGAAATTATCCCTGTCAGCTCCTTTGTAAATGTATACAGAAAGTATGGAGAATATGTAGCTGCAGCAAGACAATCAGGTTAATAGATGTATAATATATATTGTATTGTTTTGTAGGGATATGAGTCTGAATTTGTTTCGTACACACATCATGAGTAACAAAACAGTACAAGAGAGGACGGTGGATGGTTTACTGCAATTAATAGAAAATGAAAGGTGAGAATTATATAAACAAGATGATTGTATGATTCTTAGTATGTATCATGCACTCAAGTAAACAACAGTTTTTATGCATGCTGATTGGCTACTTCCAGAGACAGCATGGCAAGATTTTTATCAGTTTGATTTAAGCTATGTGTTTGTATATTGTCAAAAGTAAAGAAATTTTAGCACATTTGGTGATTTAGGCTTTGACGTGTACATATTAGATACAAGCAAAACAGATATTTGCCTTAGGTGTAAGTAAAAGTGGTGAATGTTTACCCTATTACCTCCTGGCTCAAGAATTGTCCATCATTATTTACCTGCTCCTTGTTGAGGAGTGAAAAAAACTGGGTTGCTGCATTGCTAGGGGTGTAACAAGATAATTTGGCTTTATCAACTGAGTTGATAATGAAGAAATGTAAAATGGTTTCCGTGTTTACATAGCCTGATGTAAACACTTAGGAGGTTGGGAGAACACAAGATAAGCGTAGGAAACCAGGACGCGAAGCGGAGTGGTTTCAAGCTTATCGAGTGTTCTCCTAACTGCCTAAGTGTTTACATCAGGCTATGTAAACACGGAAACCATTTTACGTTTCTTTTATAAAATAACTAATGAAAGAGGATCGAAAACCGTGTTTACATACGCTCATGTAAAATGGTTTTATGGCCAATCAGAGTGCGCATACTATTTGAATTGTTTTATAATGTGAATTGGCCACTCATGATGTTTCAAGAATCAGCCCCTGGCACTCTGACAAAGGACTTATACTCAAATCATCAATGTTAGAATATCTTAACAGTAGCAAATTCATATTATCAATTTAGTTAATAGAACCACATTATGGTCAGTTATTATTGTTTTTTCGTGTGTGTTTGTTTCTTAATTCCACTCTTGTCCTTGGTTTAAATGGCTTATTTGAAAAAAAACTTTCTAGTTCATTTAAGTGATGGTTACATTGTATGTTCTTTTCATATTTCTAGACATGGTGAAGCAGTTGACAGAACATTACTTAAAAGCTTGTTGAGAATGTTAGCTGACTTGCAGGTAAATTCATGAATGTACAGAGCCCGTAGTTTGTGGTGAAGTGGTAGCTGAATGGTTTACCTGTCAGACTCGGGGTGGAAAGGTCTGGGTTTGGGATGTAGCTGAGTTTTTCTGTTATTCATTACAAGTCATATCACTGCTTGTGCAGTTGATTATTAAGTTGTTGACAGAATGATTGTGTGCTCTTGGATTAGATGTATGAGGATGCATTTGAAACAAAGTTCCTAAAGGCAACAGAAGCTCTTTATCATGAGGAGGGAAACAGATACATGCAAGAAACAGATGTAAGTTTTCATCCCCTATACAAAGATAAAACAACATTCAGTAGTGAGGATCACATTGGCTTTGCTTTACTTTGCAGTACTTTTTTTCCTTTTTAACCCACCCCCCCCCCCCCCTCCTAGACAAATCAGATGCCAAAAAGTTAAACCTGTTTCAATATCAACACTTGCATCGCTTTGCTCTGGTGTTTTAGAAGCATGTTGTAGTTCAAAACCAACTTTTGTTGCATGCAAATTGCTGCTTGTAAACTGGTAACAGGAAAAGTTTTATGTGAATAGCAGGATATACTTTAGCTTGTGTCGATAGTAGCTTCATGGAATTGTAAACTTGAAAATCACTGTAAGTTTAATGTGTCCTCCTTCCTCTCTCTGAAATCACCAGGTACCAAAATATCTTGCTCATGTGGACAGAAGACTCAAAGAAGAAAATGACAGACTGCTTCACTACTTAGATCAGTCTACAAGGTAATAACTCCCCTTACTTTGAGACAGAGTTAGGAAATGAGGTTGTGCAATTAGAAGAGTTAACAATGAGAAGGGGAGGTGGATTAGAAGAACCTTTAGGAAAAGGATTTTTGAAGGGAATGGAAGCTTTAGCCATTAAAAAGCTTGGTGTTGAAGTGCTGTTGTGCACCTTCAACTTCAAAGTTTGCTTGCTAGTGAGAGGCTTGATAAACATGTTTTTACAATTGCATGAAAGCTTCTCGGTACACTGTTACTACAACTGGTGTTTTTTTTATTTATTTTTCTAGAAAACCTCTGATTCCTTGTATTGAAAAACAGTTGTTAGGCCAACATTTGACCAGCATTCTCCAAAAAGGTAAGCTTATTAAATGCACTTATATTAAGGTTCGAACAGGTCCTGGAAAAGCTAGAAAGTCCTGGAAAAAGACTACAGGTCCTGCTAAGTCCTGGAAATCTGCTTAAAACTCGAGAAATAAAGTTTTCAGAACCCACGTTATGAGAAATGCAAGTGGACTGAAAGGAGGATTTATTTTGAATTCTTGGGAATGAAAGGGTTAACGTGAAATTTGAAGTCCTGGAAAAATCATTCTGAATCCTGGAAAAGTCCTTGAATTTGTCACAGTAAAAGAGTGCGAACCCTGTTTTATATATATATATATATATATATATATATATATATAAATATTATGAGAGGAAAAATATTGTTTTGTTTTTGTCAACGTATTGAGCACTGTTCCACTCGAAAATCGACTTGCAGACTTCCTATATATATATATAGATATGTATGTATGTATGTATGTATTTTAGTGGTAAGTTGGACAATGTGCGCATGCTTCTGCATTACGAACAAAAAACTTTGTTGTCGTGCAAGACAACGTTAGTTTTTACATGTACAAGTCTTGCTTCTGTAACTGATATGACATTTATTTGTGTTGCCGTCTGATCTTTCGCGCGTTTCGAAAGTTCTCTTTTATTAGACTTAGAGCATCTTGGAAATCTGCTGATCATGTGTTTTTGGGGGCGTGTTTTTCTTTTAGGTTTTGACAGCTTAATGGCAAGTTACAGGCTCGGTGATCTGGCCCTACTATATCAGTTGTTTAGCAGAGTGAAAAGAGGACAAGATGAATTATGCAATGCTTTCAATGAATACATCAAGGTAAAGTGGAGATGCAGGAATTTCATTTTACCGTTAAACTCGTGTGTTGTCGCTTTATAAAGACACTATTTACTTTGGTTGATATGGGTTATCCTCGTGAACAGAGGTCTTGTTTACGTTCGTTTCATGCCGAGAGTTTAAGCTGCCTGTGCATCACCTCTAACAGCCTCCTACTTATCAAAATAACTCAAAGAAAGCAACGTGCAATTGAAAGTTAAATGTAATTCAGGGTTGCTTTTGTTTTCGGTACTTCTCTCTGTGATTGTTCCAAAAAAATTCCGTCCACTTTTTCAACAAATCAGATTCAAAGTTGAAACCAACAATGACGACCTGGTCACCCGCGTTTTCCCGCGCTTTTGGCAGGCCGCCTGTTTTTACTTTGAATTTTCATTGGTTAATAATGATGACAAGCTTTGCTCTGATTGGCCGTTGTGGTCACTTTGGGTTTGGATTTTTGACACTCACTTAAAGCCTGCTTTATTCTTTTCCCGTTTTTTTTTCTTTTCAGAAACAAGGAACTAGCATTGTTCTTGATCCTGAAAAAGATAAAAGTATGGTACAAGATTTGCTGGATTTCAAAGAGCAGCTTGACAGCATCATAGAAGACGCTTTTATGAAGAGCGAGAAATTTGTTAATGCAATGAAGGTAGAACTGTGTTTTGTTGTCAAGAAATTGGTAATGTGTTAGGATTCCCTCTCTCTTTCTAACACTCGATATCTTCACCTGCATGTTGCACGTGGGATTATAGCAGTGTAGTTATGGTAAGATGAGTAGCACAATCACCATGCCCATAGGGGGTTGACTGCAAACTTTCAATGATTTCTTCTGTTTTACATTTTCATTGAAGCCAAATCTTTGCTTACAGGTAAAGTTGTTCTTATTGATTATTGTAAAAGCAAAAAATCAGAAAACCACATTACTGTCTTCGAGAAAATACCCGTGAAAGATGAAAAATCGAGCCAATTTTGGTTGTAACGCGTAACACAATCTCAGTGGTAAAATTTTTGAAATACATTTTTCAGTTAAAAGAAAGCTCGTTTGAGCAAACAAATTACACCTAATGATAACACACAATAAACACTACATTTGAGCAAAACTTTGACATTTCAAGTTTATTAAAACGCATAGAAAAGATTTATCATTCTTAAGTATCCTTTGTGTAACGCTGCGTTTCAGAATTTGGAAGTACACCAAGTTGTTGTCCGTAGATTGACTGAACTGGAATCCTGTGGGAACAAAAACACATCAACCAAATGCTCATACTTGGTGTTCTAAAATAGCGAAAAATCAGTCTAAAGGATTGACTATAAACGGAGAAATATTAGTGTAAAACAGTCGCTACGGTTTTCTAAAACCTGATAACGCAATAATATTTTTCATCAACTTACCTTCTCCTTCGCTACTATACTTCAAACACGGCAAAGTCGGGTTTCGAAATCGATTGCACTTCAATGCTCTTAAGTTTCTCTTGTCATTTCCAAGTTTTCGGGTCCATATCTTCAGAAACGGCCAAAATATTCACTTTTGACCAAGTCGCTACGCTTTTTACCATGTTGACGCCATATTGAGAACGGACTCTCGCCACAAATGCCACCAAAAGCGCTGTGAAATCTGCTGTTTGCTCCGCCATTTTCGCTTCATCTTTTCATCTCCGTGTCGAAAAGAGTCAGTTTTTAGAGTGCCAGTTGATCTCACTGAGGAGATACTAGCCTCCATGTAATACAAAATGTTATTATTTCTACTTTTTACTGTGTCAGTGAACTCGAAATTGATTATTTGTGAAAGACCACACCCACAAGGGATTATGGGTAAATACAAATTTGAATCAAATGTGACAAAAATAAAATAGTTTGAAATAAATCAGTTGTAATAGTAGATGTAAGTTTAAAACAAACCTAAAGAAGCGATTTTGTCCCAAACTAGCAATTTTCACATTTTCCATACATGTTACAGAAGTGGGTATGGTGATTGTGCTACTCATCTAACCGAAAATGCAAACGTACGGGTTTTTTCACCTTTGAGGGGCTTTTTGAAGTTGGAAGCAGTTGAGTTCACATGATGGTCATCAATTTATCCGGTGCTCTCGTAGATAAAATACGAATTCAGATGAGACAATTTATTCATTTCTTTGAAAGCGTGGTTATAATCCAAATAATTATGAGTCAATGTAATTCTCGTGCAGTGCAGTAATCAGAAAGCAAACCGTATTCTTTGCTTTCTTTTTTATAACTATTGGCGCCTTTTTTCCGGCAAAGGACTGCACAAAGTATTCCGCACATCCACATATTCTGCCTTTCCTTACTGATCAGTCATCGTTTGGAAGGCTGTGCACAGCTTTTTGTTGTGTTTCTTTGAAAGTACAGTTTGATTTAAATACTTGTAGTCTCTTTTGTGGACTAAATAAGGCTTAAATGACAATTACTCAAGATCATATTTCAGCTCGGGATAATTGCCGATCCTGTTTACTCTTGTGCAAAATTTGCCTAATATTTAAGATTGACTTTGTTGTTTTTGTCCGTCATTGTAGGATGCCTTTGAAGCATTTATTAACAAGAGACCGAACAAACCTGCAGAACTAATAGGTAAATGAAACACGAAGCAATACAATTAGTTATTTCTGTCTTGCACCTGATTGTTTTATAGCCGGCTCCTTGGAGCATACAATGCAAACTGTGAGATTGTGAAAAGGGGGAGGGCACGGTTAGTACCCTCGCCCCTTCTCTCCTTGTGTCCATGTCCCCCTCCTCCCGGGTAGAAATTTGTAAAACTTCAACATGGCGGCCGATGTTTTCGCCAAGAAATACGAAGCGCAGGGTTACCAAAGATACGTTGCATATAGCATGGAGTGAAGGGTTCATTGCAGTGTACATTGCGGTATTGTGCTGTAACTTCTTGATAACTTCTTATTTTCTTTCTTTTCCTTCTATAGCAAAATTTGTTGATTCCAAGCTAAGAGCAGGAAACAAGGTAAATCAAAACAAAGAGTAAAACGCACATATGTTTTTATTTATTAACTATTTGACCCTTGAGAGTAACTAGCATCTAATTTCTCCTTACAATATCAGCCCTGAATCATGCATTAAGGTCGCGAGAATTAAGGAAATGATCACCAACTAGGGGAGCTCTTGATTGTTAAACGAATTCTCCTTGTCAGAACCTTAGGAAGTATATAGAGGACAGAATGAGGAATAAACACACTGATGTTAGGGTGTTAGAGTTGATGGTGTGCATAAATGGAAGCTGAAAAATTAATTTTTATCTGAAACTGTTTGCACAGGAAGCAACTGAAGAGGAACTTGAAAAACTTTTAGACAGAATAATGGTGCTCTTCAGATTTATCCATGGTACGTATTTACCAAAGTATTATGTGGAATTGATAAGTAAGTGATGACTCCCACCGATCATCGTGTCTCTGATTGTGCACGCCTTGCGGACCAATTGTTTTGAAGCCTCGTTGTTGTTGTTATCCTCAGGTAAAGATGTGTTTGAAGCATTTTACAAGAAAGACCTGGCAAAGAGACTATTAGTTGGCAAGAGTGCGTCGGTGGATGCAGAAAAATCGATGCTGTCTAAATTGAAACAAGAATGTGGTGCAGCATTTACAAGCAAGCTTGAGGGCATGTTCAAAGACATGGAGCTTTCCAAGGATGTGCTGGTTCACTTTAAACAGGTGAATTAAAATAGAGCAGCAAAAGCGACATCGAGTAATTTTCCAAACAAAATCGTCCGATCGTTCTCTGTCATGTCGGGCGAAATGTGACATTCATAGTTTGGAAAAGTTCTTTACCCTACTGCACTCCACGCCTTTGTGAAATGAACCCTTTTGGTTTGACTGAGAGTATATGCAGGTTACTGTGTTGTTAGATTTAAAGCAGGCTTAGACCTCCTGTTGTTAGGTACTATTTATTTCAGAATCTCTCTGAGAGTTCCTTTACGTGGGGAAAGATTACTTGGTAGGCTTTTGTTGGTTTGTTCGTCGATGGAGTCGCCGCCTTCACCAATCTGTCGTAGTGCTTCTTCTCTCTTTGGGTTTGAGCCCCATTCCCTGGCCGTGTAGCGTCCAATTGGAGATCTGGGCAAAGTTTCTCACTAAATAATGGCTAAGTGAACAGTTTACAGGCATGGGGGATACGTTTGTTTTCCGTATCAGTTCTTTTTCTGTGCTCAAATCTGTAAAATCGGAAAATGCAACTGAAGATACCTCAATAGTGACGGAGCATCTGTAATGAATCGGTGATTCTGTATGTCACTGTGTACACTTCGACGCTTTTAAATTAGTGAGATGCGTATTGACTACATTGCTTATTGTTCACAGTATCTGCAGCATCAGGATCTCCCAGGTAGTGTAGACATGGTCGTCAGCATTCTTACCATGGGTTACTGGCCAACCTACACTCCAATGGAGGTGCATCTGCCATCAGAGGTAACAACACCTTTCATAGTATACGATTTCACCTTCAATGTATGTTGGTCATTACGGTCGTTCATTTGTTATCCGCAAGTATGAGTCCAGAGAATATTAAATGACGTAAAGTCCTGTGAAAAATCAATCAAAACTATGAAAGAATATGAGAGACAAATGATCTATCAGTTCCACATGTTCACCTGAAAAATGGGGTACCAGGTTGTTTATTGATTCCTTGCGATTTTCAGATCCGGTTCTCCAAAACCAATGACTTCCTACTGTTCCTATTCAAGGTCTCCGTACCAGTGAGAAACCCTGTTTAGAAAGTCGTTTTGTGAAATGTCATACCCTGTCCAAACTCAAGGGACCTCGAAAACCATTCTCTGTTTAGCAGAAAATACTTCCATAGGTCTGTTGTTACCCTCTTCATAGAGGGTATCAATAGGGTTAACCGTTAACCGTAAAACGGCCAAAAACTTTAGCTTAAAAATTGACAAATTTAAACCGCTAGTCGCAAAAATAGTTAACCTCCAAAAAAAAATCTGCTGAAATTAATGGAAAGGTGTTCTCCGTTAGCCGTAAATTGGCCAAAATTTTAACCGTTAGCCGTAAACGCCGTCACCCCTCTTTCTTTACTCATGCTGTGGTACTGACAAGGAGAATTTGTTTGAAAGTCAGGAGCTTCTTAAATTGATGATCAATTTTTTTCAATCTCATGACCTTTAACTTGTTGATTCAAAGAGGATAATGTAAGGAGAACTTAGAAGCCAGTCACTCTTAAGGATTGATGAAAAGTTATCTTTGGGAGTCAATGTAGGAAATTAGACACACTTGTATTTTTGTACCATACCAACAATAAATTTACATTCCGATAAAAACATTCATATAGCGCTGAAAATGATGTGTATATTCAAAAGCGCGTTACATTACATGAAGGAGTATAATCTTGTAATGAACGCTTTCTTATGATGTGGATAGGATGCATAATAATTTTACATCGAACTTGATGATACTGAAATTATTGGTCGTTAAGAGTCTCTTGATTAACTTTTTGATGATGACTTCCAGATGGTTGAATACCAAGAGGCGTTTAAGAAGTTCTACATTGGAAAACATGGCGGAAGAAAGCTTCAGTGGCAAAACACGTTAGGTCACTGTGTTGTTAAGGCCGACTTTGGTCCTACGGCAGATGTGAGTTATTTCATTCTTGTGGTTTCCCCCCCTAACTCGCCCTTCCAAGGGCTTTTGAAAGAGGCACTCTTTCAGTTTTTGTTTCCTATATTTTGGCTTGAATATGTTCCCTTGAAGAGGAATGGATCACGGACTTTTAGGACTAGCTCCCTTTTCGATGCGTGCGTGCGTGCGTGATATGCGCGTGTGTGTGTTTGGGGTGTGAAGCATGAAGGTGAATACATTATTCTAACCGTTATGAGGACAGTTCTATCAGCCTTAAAGATATTTGTTGTTTTCTTTCCAACAGGAGAAGAAAGAACTTCAGGTGTCGTTGTTTCAAACTTTGGTGTTGTTGATGTTCAATACAGGAGAGACTTTTGGCTTTGACGAGATCAAGCAAGCCACAGGGATAGGTGAGGCCCTAAAGCAGGAAAATTGTAGAAACAATCAGAAACTGTTACGAAATTTCCATACGTAAGCTCCCTAGAATTATTTATGATGACAGTTTGCCATTACAATCCCGATTTTCTATCCTGATACATGTTTGAAATTTCTCATTTTTAAAGGAACTGCGGGTCATGGATTTGTCCTTTGCGGGAAAAGTTTCTAATCAGTTATTTCCTTTATGTGCCCTGCCCCCTCAACTCGCTTACCATCTTTCTTCCATGTTCGTTGCTTATTTTGTCAGTTTTTAATTTTACCCCAAACGAGAGCCTGGTAACGCGCTTGTAAAATCATCCTCTGTAGGCGACAAGCCTAACTTCTCACACCCATTCCCCCACGTTTTTCTCTGCGTTTTGAAGAGGAAGTCTAGGATACGGTTGATAGGATTTCTCCTGTTATATCAAAGTGAAGGATTTTCTGGGTGTTGTACAAACATATATGGCTAAAGCTAAACAAAAATTTATACTAACTTTGTTTTAAGAGAATTTGTTTCTTGTTTGTCTTTTGAGAGATCCTGTAAAGTTTCGTCTATGAGGGGAAAGCCAGAATATTGTCAGGGTTCTCTTGTACTAATCCCCCCCCTTCCTCCTTCCCTCTTTTGCTTTTTTTTTTTAACAGAGGAAGGTGAACTAAGACGGACGTTACAATCCCTTGCTTGTGGTAAAGCGCGTGTTCTAGTCAAGAAACCCAAGGTAAACTTGCACTTAGAGCATAATTTTAGAGCAAGTTTTGCTGAAGGGTTCAAAGGAGGCTGGGATTCCAATACGTAATAACTCGGGATAAGCGGAGAAAACTTGCAAGTTGAGTCAGTGGTTTGCAAGGTTTTTTCTCGAGTTTTCCTAATATCACGAAAGGTTGTGAGTTTACCTCTTTACTCTTTCCGCTCTAACATCAATATGCATATTCTCCATACTGCTCTCTATACGTTTCCTATGGTGCTGACAAGGAGAATTTGTTTAACAATCAAGAGCTTGTCTAGCTGGTGATCGTTTCCTTTATTCTCGTGACTGTGATCTTAGATTCAGGGGTGATATTGTAAGGAGAAATTAGATGCCAGTCACCCTTAGAGGTCAAAGAGTGAAGAGACTTGGTTGTTATAACAAAAGAACACTCTGCAACTTTTTAAAGGAGAAGTTAGTCGCTAGTCACTCTTAAGGGTGGAAGGGTTTATCCTGCACACTGGGCGTTAAGAAAACTCCGAACTTTCCTGGTGACATCTTGAATTCGTTCTTCTTTATTTTGCTAGTGGTTCTTACTTCGTTTCTCTTTATTTTTAAGGGCCGTGATGTCGATGATGGCGATACGTTCTTCTTCAACAGCGAGTTCAAGCACAAACTTTGCCGAATCAAAATTAATCAAATACAACTCAAAGAGACGGTAAGACAGGCCGAGAGTTGCGCCTCTTCTTCCGCTCAGTCATTCGCGCGAGAGAAACGAAACCAATGTCACGCTCCACGAAAGCTTCTTGAATTCGCGCGACGCCCTCTCATGTTATATTTAGTTACTCGTTTGATTATTTTTTGGTGGTATCTGTTTACTTTTACGACAGACTTTGGTTGGGAAGAGAGAATCACCTACCGAAAAGAGTAGCTTCTGTTGCGCAACAAACAAATTGAGCAGGACCAAAATTGTCACTCGAATTGGTGCTAACTCTTGGTTTTAGATGGGTCTGTCCACGCTAATGTTCCTTTTCATAAGTTCATGCCCTTGTGTTCGCGTTTGTTGTATCATTTGCGTTTCTCATTTCGTTCGTGTCCTCATTCTGCTCGCGCCTGCTCTCTGATCTCATTACCAGAGAGAAGAAAAGAGAACTGAGAAGATCTCTGGGCAGACCAGCCTCCACGAAAGGTTCCAAAATTTCAATTGCGGCTCTTTTCGTCCTTTTGATTCCGATGCGTCACACTGTCATAAATGAATTACAGAAGTCGGTTCATTAGGGTAGGTACCGTGTTTTCTAACAGGAATTTTTTTCTTTTTGGTTCTTTAGCAAGAGGAGAATATTAACACAACAGAGCGAGTGTTCCAGGATCGACAATACCAGGTGACCTGTAGATAGTTTTTCTTAATTAATCTTGTTTTATAATGATAATATTAATAATAATGGGTGAAGGGCTTGAACCTGGTGTCAATTGAAGTTCTTGTGGGTCCCGCATTGTATAGTCCACTTCCGGTTTAGCTACGGTATATTGAGGTATATACCACTCTGGCTGAGCCCATTCATGCTTCAGAATTGCACTATGAAAGGATTCAGTGGTTGAGTAAACGATTGTTCTTTGCCGTTGTAGATTGACGCAGCCATTGTCCGTATCATGAAAACTCGCAAGACCCTCAGTCACACGCTCCTGGTGACAGAATTATTTAACCAGCTTAAATTCCCTGTGAAGGTAAGGCCTTTCAGCTACTCACGTTACTCTCACAGTCGAGCGGAGCCCTTCTCTAGGGATGCCCCTTATTAAAAGGGCGGGGCTACAACACCCTAAATTGCAAGGTTAGATAAATTATGCTCGAAAATTTGATCAATATGCTTTTGAGTGTCAACCCTGAAACGTAGCATTATGCCGAAAATATTATGATCAAAGTGTCTCATTTTGCTCAATTAAATAGTTCTTGGTTTTAAAGCTTGGTCAATGTGTAGAAAGTCACGGTCGCTGATTTTGCTGGTGACGAAAAAAATAAGGTGGGGTATTTTGGCCCGAGGGTAGAGGGGAGGCGGGACGGAAGTTTGAACAAACTTGGAAAGACGTTGAAGCTTTGAATTGATCGACGCATAATCCGCGAGAGGTTTAATAGGATTTCTCTGTGGTAATCAAGAGTTTATACAAGCGTGAATATGACGAATTTTTGAAGCCTTCTCTCGTTACCGTTACATGGCCTTCACCGGGAGAACGAGACTACAAGGTTATTATGGTCTATACGACTCATGAAGAGCTTATGTCGTTGGCACGCCTTCCCTTAGGTGGTAGACAGCTCTCCACTCCACATAGTAAACACAAATTTTATCATTCACCTTCTGTCATAAGTTACTTAGAATTCTACCCTTTCCTCGAATGAAGTTGCTTGAAATTAGTGAGCATTTTGTAAACACTACGCAAAATTGAAATGTGGGAGAAAAGGAGATATATGAAGGTTTTTACAGAAAACTTTATAAAAGTAATTGTACGTTCCGAGACTTTGGCCACTCATTGCAAAACAACAAATTTTTGGGTGATTCTACTCAAGCAAATGATTCAGAAATAAAAGATTAGAGCGGCAGATACAATTGTGGTTTCTTCTCTTTTCTGCCACTTTTCTTCCAAGCCCTCCAAAGGGTACGACAGCAGCTCTAGAAGCGCCGCTAAAATCCTTAACTGTACCACTACATAAATGTACCTTCTTCAGAAAGGTCGTGCGGGGGAGAGGGGAAAACCAACGCCTCACTTCCCAGTCTGCTTTTGTTGTTGTTATTGTTGTTGTTGTTGTTGTTGTTGTTGTTGTTGTTGTTGTCAAACTCAGTTTCATTCCGGTTGTTTGTGATTTCTAGTTCCAACGACACAATACTTGTTTTCCCAGTAATAGACAGGCACAGCCCAGTTTTTCATTCAACCCCTAAGTGTTCTGAACACTCAGAACACTTGGGGCCTTTGAACTGGTTTTTACAACTTTACTGTCTTCTTTTATAGCCTACAGACCTTAAGAAACGCATTGAAAGTCTGATAGAACGTGACTACATGGAAAGGGATAAAGAGTTTCCTAACCAGTACCACTACGTTGCGTGACACAAGAATTCTGCAGATACCTGTCGCACCTCTGGTTGTTCCTGGATTAGAAATCTGTTGTAATTAACTACAGAGCAGTCACGCTTTGCTTCGTGGAAACTTAATCCTGTGCCTGTAGCAGTTTCAAGCCTTTTCTTGTTTAATTGGCGTGGCATTCTTTCAGTACAAAGTTCTGATGAGGTGTTATATCAATGCGATTACTTTGTTCCTATGCAGTGAACTCTGAAAGCAATTTCCGCCTTCTTCACCCGGTACAAGCGGTATGAGTAAGGCGTATAAAGCTTTCTCGTCCACGCGCGTTTCCCGCGAGAGTTATGCGCCTGTCATGTGCGTCTTCCGCGCAACTGACAGTTTCTTCCCAGCAAATCGATTACTCCTGCAATATACAGTTTTCTCCAGTGAATGCAAGATAGCCACGGTAGGATAAAAACCCGGGGCAAATGGCAACGTATCGGTTGTGTATAGTTTCTTGACGCGTGACCATGCAAACTGGCCTGCTTCGTGGATGGCTCAGGTGTTGGAAGTGAAAGTTACGCAACTTAGTCACGCAATGTAGTCCGTACTAGAACTCTCTCAGCCATCGAGTCTGTGTTCAAATGTTTTGTTGTACAGCGGAAGCATTGGAGTCACGCGAACGCACTGGTAAACGAATGGTTCTGTCTATCCTGTATCAGTTAAGATTTCGCTTTTGTACAAAGGTATATAGAGTCTTAATGTTCTGAGGAAAAGAGATAATTTGTCATAGGGGCCTGTGTATTTTAGTCGCAATAGTGTATCTTTTGTGACCTTTTCGTCTTTTTTTTTGCTTGATCAAACTGATCTGAGTTTCAAATAAACTGTTAATAAAATACGTTTTAGCAATATACAGCTTTGTTGAGTCTGTTAGAAACCTCTTCGTCTTACATTGATGTATCAGTGTCAGTAACTGAGAAACTACGCATCTACCCCTCCCCTGACCCAATAACAGTCGAATGATAGAAAAGTCGCGTCATTAGTGGGGTGTGGGGAAAGGTGGGTGCTACAGACTGCCTTTTTTATGCAAATCAGATTATCGTGACCAGCGCCCCTACAGTATGATGCAGTGAAGTAAAAAAATAAATAAATAAATTTTTAAAAAAATTAAAGTTTTGTGAAAGGGGTATTGAATAATTAGATCCAAGCAGAGTGAAAAGTTAAATACTTCGTTAAGCGACCTAAATCACATAAATGAAGAGGGAGTTGGCCGGTGTTTTTTTACAGTTGAGCATATAAGAACATAACAGCTAAGCCCATCAAACGTGTACTTTAGTTTGTTTACTAAGCAGATAAAGAAGTCTCTTGCTGTAGGTATCATGGGAGCAGTGCACCTGAAAACCTTTTCTTGCTCGTAAGTTGAGCTGCTAAGGGTGTGTGTTTTTTATCGCAAATATATGATCGTAGGACGAGAAAACTTGAATATACAGTCGTGATTGGCAGATGGAGAATTCATCATGTCAGTCATGTGCTCATTTTTATCTTTCTCGATTTTTAAATTAGTATATTTCAAGCCGAACTGACACCAACGACTATTTCTTGAAAAGATTTCCTAGGCAGTCATAATGGAAAAATTTTGATTCGTTTTCCTGTGACAGCTCTCTAATGTCCAAGACTGACTTGCAAGCGTTTGATAGATGAGACAAGTCTACTCACACACACAGACAAATTTGGTGATGTTTACGTAGTTTCATGTTTTTATGCTAAACGATGGAGATGGCTCTGTTCACGTGAAAAGACGACATAGATGTTGTTTGGGTCTGGTCTTTCATATCAGTGGAGTAAGAAACCGAACCCTGGCTGTGAAACAGTTTCAGGGGCAAATCTCGCTTCGAGTGAGGTAGTGTTCACAGTATGAGACATAACAGTCTGAACTCTCGCGTGCGAAACCGCTCTACAACGCTGGTTTTCACAGAGGTGGGTAATCTACTTAAAGGCAAGCCTCGCATGTAGGACATGTAAACGCCCAGACATCTCAAGACTTTTCAATTTAAAAAAAACAATCGACTTGAAAGATGAAATGAGTAATTATTTCCGGTTTGACAAGGATCGCGTGAATGAGTGAAAGCTCGTTTTTGACGGCCAAACGTGTAAATTACTGAGCGTCTAATTTGTTGGCGGCCTCACCGAGAAAAAAAAAAAAAAAAAAAAAAAGAAAAATGTTGTAGTTTTTCAAAGACTTTACGAAAATACGTAGATTCTCCAAATTACTAAGTAACAATCCGAGAGTAAGTGGACATTTGCATATAAGTGCTAGACAAATATTTCTCTTTGCCAGTTCTTACGCTAATACCCTCAACAAGAGTCATAGGGGCTGCGTACTTCACCTGGTGAGGAGAAAGTGTCCGCTTATGTGGTATTGCAGTTCGGTTCTAAAACTTCTTTAAAATAATTATTTCGGTAAAACTGTAATCAAAATTTACTAAATTTCGGAATAAATGAATGGTTCTGCCGAGTCAAACACAACCTTTGGAATTCTGGGCTAGTTTTTTCTCTGCATTATTTTCCCACTTTCCCCACCCCTTAAATCTTCGTACCTGTCCCTCCCAGGGGCGCGAAGTCGAAAAAGAGTTCGCAAAAGTGTAATAAATCTGGAAAAAAAGGCTATGAGATGAAATTTATTTGATTTCTATTCCTTCTTATAACATGTTTGTCAATCTTTTTTATTTTTCGGGAGATTTGACGAGCTTTGTGGGAGCCAAGCAGATTTGTTTCTTCATCCGGCAGACTCCCTGTTAATCCGAGATGGCAGACCAGAACGACCGGCCCCACCCAGAAAGTCACTCCTCTTCCGAACTGACGATCACATCGAAGTCTTCAAATCATAATAAAAGTGTGGCATTGTCGTTGATGTAAAACCTTGGGTTCCTGTAGAAGAAAAATTATTTTAGTTATTGGAAGGGTGTCTCATTACAACTGTGATGGAATCCTATCGGCATGTCGCGAATTCACTAAGCTATATCTGTAAAACATTATCTGAGATCATTTCAAGTCTGCCGATTAGCTTAATGGTTTTGTCTCAGAGATTGCAGTCGCTTCTATGGTCAATTCTAATTCTGTAGGGTCATACATTTGTGTCCTGAAAAAATAATATTATCGCCCTTCAAGGTTATTTTGGCAATCATCACGGATAGTGAGGTCAAATCTGAAGGTTTCTTGTTACACTCAACACGTAGGCGTCATAGAGTTAGACGTTTGAGGGGAAAAAATTAATCAGCTTACATCGTAACTTAGAGCGGCGTTGGGTCATTCAATCGCGGTGGCACTTTGTCTGTGATCTCGTCCCTGTTTTCCTTACGATGTTTTCAGTTCTGTGTTTGGTTGCTTTCACGCAACTCTCGCTTGTTGAAGCCAACAGCGAAGTGAAAGACTTTCTGAAGCATTTTAACCAGCGCGCACCCATAGAAGCAAGTAAAAGGGAGATAGCAGATTGGAAGTATTCAACAGATGTCTCGTCTAAAGAAGCAGCATCCGGAAAGAAAGTAGCGACTTTGGCTTTTCAAACTTTCCTCGAAGAAGCGCGGAAGAATGCGTCGCGATTCAGCAATCTTGAGGGTTTACCAGAGACACTTCAACGACAGCTGAAGTTGCTTCGCACATCTGCGACTCTGAAAGATAAACAGCAGCGGGAAGAACTCGCAAATATTGAGATTGAAATGCAGAATATTTTTAGTTCATCTCAAGTTTTCGACGCAGAGACAGGGAAAAACTTGTCTTTGTCACCGAATCTAACAGAAATAATGGCTTCGTCACAGAGACACGATCGCTTGAAGTTCGCGTGGCAGGAATGGCGTGACGTTGTTGGCCCAAAAATTCGTCCCCTTTATGAACGATACGTGAACTTGTCAAACCAAGGCGCCCGCGACAACGGTTTTCGCGACTACGGCGAATATTGGCGATCCTTCTACGAGGTTGATAATCTGCCCGAGATCGTAGAAAACCTCTGGAAAGATCTTGAGCCGTTTTACAAAGAATTACATGCGTATGTGAGGGTTCAGCTTATGAAGCAATACCCTCTAGTAAAAGAGAAAGATGCCATCCCAGCTCATTTGTTGGGCAATATGTGGGCACAATCCTGGACGAATATTTATCCGCTAGTCGAACCGATCAAGGACAAATCAAGCCTTGATGTTACTAAGCAGATGAATGATGATAATTTTACAGTAGATCGTATGTTTGAGATCACCGAATCATTTTTCTTGTCGCTCGGAATGGAGAAACTCCCAAATAATTTTGTGCAAAGATCGATGACCAAGAAACCCGAAGGACGCGATGTTGTTTGTCATGCATCTGCCTGGGATTTTTATGTGGAAACCAAAGATGGAGAAAAGGATGTAAGGTAAGGCAAAAATATACTGTGGAACGTTAGGAAGTTAGATTTGTAAAGGTTATGATTGCGTGACAGTCACGCAATAGCGAGTTTTTCCTTCAAGAAAAATATAACCCAAGACCAGCTTTAATTTGACGTCGATTACGACCCATTCATAAAAGTTTGTAATATAATTTATTCCACTTCCACCGTCAAACCAAGAAATTTAAATGATCAACTAATCTCTTCTTTTTTTGTACTTTCTCACCTGATAGACCTTCTCTTACGAAAGTAATTAACTTTCTCGAAACTTGCTTTCACAGCTTTTAAAAAGTGCAATTTCCTGTAATACCGAAATTCGAGATAAGTAGGGTTTCCAAACTTCAAACAGCGCGCATTTTTTGCGAATTTCCACGATGGTTGACAAAATATTTGTTCGCGCCTTTTTAGTCAGAGAAGGTAAGCCACCTCAGAGCCCTTAAAACTCATGCAGCCCTCAACCTCTTTCCCGTACAATCCCACCGTGGCGGATGTATTAATCTCGAGATTAGGAAATAACTTCCCGTCATTTAGATAGCTTTGCTTCATTCCGATTAAAATCAAAGCAAGTGTGTTCCAAGGGCTGTTCACTTAGATAAGATAATCACGAATCTGTTGTATCTTGACACAAATCGAGCGACCAGCGGAGTGTTGGTAATCTGACTGAAAACGGAAATTTCACGCAAGGATGTAATCAAACATCCTCTTTAAGTGAAAATAATGACCACTAGGTAGTTCTGCGATTCCAGATTAATGAAGCAAGATCATTTGTTGCATCAATTCGTTCCAGTATTTCATCAATTTTCTCAAATGGTAAAGCTGATCTGATACTTACAGAAATAACTCGAGCTATTTTAAGATCATTCGCGATTTATGATTCAAAAACATTTCCCGTAGTTTGTTTTCGCCTTTTGAAGTAAGCGGTATTCATTGTTGACGCGTTATCTATCTGGGAAAGGCGGCATTCCAAACATATCTGTGGTGTTTGTCACTATCGTTTTGTTTTCTTTTTCGAGAGTATTTTTGACGTGCGGGCAGGCTTTTATTATTAGCGAAGCATGACACGCGTTTTCGAAATTCCGCCCGCGGGAAGATTTGAAAACGAGTCGGGGAGAGTTTGCCGGGGATATAGCAGACTAGCGCGCATTCATTATCAATGCTAGGCCTCTTACAGACCTCTCGCTGACTTGCGTTGCCTAATAGCCCCTCATAGTTTTCCACGGGCGAAGAAACAGTCGTGTCGAAGCACTAACTAATTTTAAATGTCTACTCGTCTTACCTTCCAACTGGTATCTTAGAGCTTACCCCCCCTGTCGATCAGCTCATATGACCCATCGTCCGCACGTAGCACGTGGGCAATTCGATCCTAGCCACTTGAAAAGTTCGAAGTTCTCTAAATGGATATAAACAATAGTAACCACGTTATGTACTTCTTCGGTTTGAAATTGATATGAGAAACGTGAAATTAGTAATAGGGGCCTTCCCAGAATGGTCTTAGACAGGAAACTGGGGGCACGCTAGGAATTAGTCTTACAAATAAATGACTTTTCCTTGGCAGAGAAAAGTGGGTAAGTCCTTAAGCTCTGTAACTCTGCTAGGAAGCAGGGAAATCTGGCAACCTGTCAGAAAATTCTTCTCTCCGTAGACCTTTCATGATCCCTGACCTGAGAGTGAGTAATAGTCATCCCCGTGATTTAGCTTTCTTTTGTTCTGTCTGGTTTAATGATCTTTTCGTTTTGTGCGCAAACCCGCCAGTCTCGTTTATTTGGAACTCGAGTAGAAACTCGTGACCTCGCTTTTCGTGCAAAACTTTGTTAGATAGGCGATTAGAATGCCACCGACCGGCGTCAACTTTTTTTCTCTCTTTCTTTTCCTTCTTTTTTTTTTTTTTTTTTTTCCTCTTTTGCGTTTGTCAGGCAAGCAGGGGCAAATGCGAGGTTTTGGACGGAGACCTTAGAGGCTCAGCTGTTAGGTTTTGTGACTTCGCGAAAACGAAGAGTCTTGTGAGTCCGTGCGTTCGTGCGTGCGTGCGTCCGTGCGAGGAGCACCCTGCGTCAAAATCTACTAGATACGCAAGATATATGTGGAGAAGATCTTCTGCATGCTGCAATCTTTCAGCTAATGTTTCTTAGTTCGTTTGTTTGCCCACCTATTACTCAATTTGCTTACGTTTTCTTTTTCAGAATAAAACAGTGCACTGAGGTAACGCAAGGCTGGCTTGTCACGACACATCATGAGATGGGTCACATTTACTATTTCTTGTCATACTGGGATCAACCCTACATCTTTCGTGACAGCGCAAACCCAGGATTTCACGAAGCTGTTGGTGATACCATATCTCTCTCAGTTTCTACTCCACAGCATCTTGTTAAGATTGGATTGTTAAAGGAATATTCTCATGACGAAGGTGAGAAGAAAGAAATACTAGGACCACAGGTGTACCGAGCTCGACGCGCGAGTTAACCTTTTGCCTTTTGCACCTTAACATCAGTATGTACATTCTCCATATCTCGCAGGATCTTCTTTACTTGGTGACTTATGACTTTAATGTGTGATTCAGGGGCGTTGTTGTAAGGAGGAATTAGTCGCTGGTCACTGTTAGGAGTTAAAGGGTTGAAATGACTCACATTTCTATTACGTAGCAGTAGACATGAAATGATTTGCATGAGAGAAACTTGTTGCATTCGGAAACCGAAAAATTTTTCGGTATTAACCGGGAAAAGAAAATACAGAAGTGTAAAAACTTATTGGACTTCAGTCGTGCGTTTCCTTGTCTCGAATGTTTTGTTTGAGTCCATTTGAAACTGTGCAGATGTTGCTTTGTCTTTTACTTTTCGTTTTTGTTTTTGTTTTATTTTTAAGTATCCAAGCCCAGGAGCCCGGGGTGATGGGCTCCTGCCACGCCTTGTTTTTATATCCCTCAACTCCCACGACTGATTAACATGTAACTTATCTTTGTAATCTTGGTATAGCACCAAATTCTCTTATCTTATTTACAAGGAAATGTGTAGCAGCTGGAGAGGAGAATTAACAATCTAATCTTTGGAATTTAACTGCAAAATCCACCGAAAACGCTTTGATTTGATCGAGAACCACACCTAAGTCAAGGAAACGACGACTTAAGCAATTTTTTTCCTTTCATTTAAATCTGGAATATATCTCTTTTATTTGCAACAGTTTTCTCATTCAAATCCAAATACATGACAACGTCTTGGGCTACCTGTGCTGTTACCACTATCTGTCACGCAACATTGCCTTCTTTCCAACTTAGGCTGAAAGAGCACCTTTGCGTGACAGAGGAAGCAACAAGGAAAACTTATGGTCGTCATGGTGTTAATGTAGTGTTCATCACCATTGCGGGCTCAGCCGGCATGTAAAGGGAACAGAGACGAAATATTTACCTTGAGCGCGATTTCATTTATTTATTTATTTATTTTAACATGTTTTTGCAGAAGCTGACATAAACAATCTAATGAAGGCGGCACTCAGCAGTATTGTTTTCTTGCCGTTTGGATATTTAATCGACCAATGGCGATGGAAAGTTTTCGCGGGAAAAATCCAACCTAGCGAATATAACACTGAATGGTGGGAACTGAGAACTAGGTACCAGGGCATCAAACCGCCTATTGAGAGAACAGAAAAGGATTTTGATCCTGGGGCTAAGTATCACGTACCAAACGACGTGCCATACATACGGTGTGTAAACGTTTTACATTATCTGACTCATAATGTAACGTTCAACGCCCTTGGATTGTCTTGCGGGCTCAATCCTCTCGCTATGGCATTCAGTAGGTCTGCATGTCGTGTTAATATATAGCGTTTTCAGATGTTTATGTCTCTGAGTAGCACTGCTACTACATAACTCAAACATTCAGGAAAAGCAAAAATTGTTCGGAATACTTGGGATTCGAGTGAGCTTATACTTAATGGCGAAGAAAAATGCTTTATTTTTGAGCGCGAGTTGCTTGGGTTCTTCTCACTTTCAGTACTTACTTTAGCTTGAGAAGTAGGCCTTTCCCTTCCTTTGTATCTAAGGGGCCAGTCATTATTTATTAAGGGAGGGGGGACGGAGGAGTTTTGTTGTTTCACATTAAAATTTACCTGATCTCCCTTTAGATTTTGCAGTATCAAATGATTTCCCCTCACTGGCAGTCTATTTCCTGAACCCCCCACTTCTCCTTTGATTGCCCGTTCATCTTCTCCCCCCTCCCTCCCCTGGCGATAAAAAATGACCGATACCTAAGCAAGAGGCGCGCTAGAGGTTCGATTTCGCTTGTTTTCCTTGCGTGTGTTCCACCTAACGCACGCTTATCCTGAAAAAGAACCGGAAATGGCTGGTAACCCAGCCGGACTTTTCATTAAAAATATAAGGTGGGGGTGTTGTCGCAAAGTTCCACTGAAGTCGAAGGCTTTTTGGCCTATTTTCCATCAGGTACTTCATCAGCAGCGTGTTACAGTTTCAATTCCACAAAGCGGCCTGTAAGTTAGCAGGCGTCGAGGGGCCTCTTCACCAGTGCTCCATTTACCAGTCTAAGGAAGCGGGCAAAAAGATCAGGTAAGGACTGGAGCTGAAAGGAACAAAGAAACTTTTATGTTATCTCTAAAAGTTTTCGTTGTTCTTCTCATAGCGAGATGCTGCAACTAGGAAAGAGCAGGCCCTGGCCCGAGGCCTTAGAAAGGCTCACTGATAAGAGGACTATGGATGTGAGACCCATGAAAGAGTACTTCTGGCCCTTGTATTTGTGGCTTAGAAAACAAAGATGCTCCAGAAAGTATGCCATTGGTTGGCCTGAAAATCCGGGACCTGAGGATGACCCATGCGTGGTTCCAACGACTTTGCCAGACACGGACACTCGACCGGTAACCACAGTAAGACCGCATGCGCATGCGTGGTCTTTGAACTCAGCTGGCACATTAATAATGACTATTTCTTCACTTTTCGTCAGTTTGAACGTAATTAATATATAGTATATATTTTTCCTATACCCGACGAGACAATTTTTAAGATGTGCATATAGTTACACCTGAATGGTCAGATATGATATTTTTCCTCGTTAAATTTTGGCAAGAATAACAACTCGTTTCAATCATGCCTTTTTGATGTGTGTGTTTTGGTTAATCGATTTTAAACATGACTGCAAAGCCCTAAGCCGTTGGATATTCTTTCCTACCGACTGCTGTGCAATATCAATTTTATCACCACGGCAAAACCGACCAATCGGTTTTCCAAAACAACCTCTCATTCTGACTTCCGGTTAGCTTTTCAAGATATATTTACAGTCTCTGACATCAGTCCTGCGAAAAGGTTCGATCGTACAGCGGTCCTCAGAGGATTTTGTAAGTCCTCTGCAATTATTTAATGTTCTCTGCTCTCAATTTAACTGAAGTGATATTTTCGAAAGCACCATCGTCACTTTTGTCTTGCCACACCTCTGATCGTCATCATCGTAAGAAAAGAATAGCGGAGGCGACTTTCAGGGGGACAAGCTATATTGATGCGACAACTTCCTGCACACACATCCGATGAGAGGCAAATCTTAAATTAGAAATCCCTCCACGAAGGCGTCAAGAAAATACTCTCCACAGAAGAGTAAAAAAACTAGTAAAGTACGATGGTAATTCCAAAAAACTGGGAGCCAAGAAGGTCGGGCACCCTTACAGACTGTTGACACTCGGAGCCTCTTGTATAAATCGAAGGAAAATGTAAGTTAACTCACTTTAAAATTGTTTTTGTTGGTGTTGCGGTCATGACAGCATGAACTACCTTACACTTGGCCATTATGGAAGTGACAGACATGGCTCTAAATTCAGGGATCACTTCTATGATAAGTTTAACTGGTGGGTATGATCCACTGATCACAGGGAAAACTTTTACGGAGCAAATAAGAGACATGGGAGTCGTGAACCGCTTCTAGTGCAGTGTTACGTAAAATTATTTCAGACCTATAAACAACTTACCACCGAAACATCGGAAGTTGTTTGAAAACAGGTGGCGTGCCTGGCAGGTGCTCGGAGAGCGAGCGAATAGACACGCGACAGCTCGCACGCGAAAGCTTGTACGCGAGAGCTCGCTCGCGAGACTTTTCGCCTTTGGGAAAGTTTCGTTTAATCTATGGAGCCGAAGCTACACTTTAAATCTAAATCCCTAACGTAGATGTGCGGCGTTGACTAAAAAAAATGTTTCAGTTCTTGATATTTTTAATTTTTTGAATTTCCAAACTCTCAATATCTCAAGTTGCTAGCTGTCAAGGATTTCGGGAAACGCGTTAGAGGTATTTCTAACACTCCTTGTTCCCTTAATACTCTCCGTCTACATTTCCTTTCTTAAGTTCTTAATACAACATGCTAGCTAAGGGTCTAACGCAACTCTCCAGGAAAGCGTCGGTTTCCAGCCCATGAAGGTGACAGTTAGCAAGCTGTCAACACCCGATCAACGTCACGATCTCCCACTTAGCCACTGAATCATGCCGAGCTACGCGAAACAATTCCCGCACACCAAGCATGTACCCCCGGCTTGTTGATTTATTCCAAAACGACTCTCTACTCAAAACTCCACACCCCTGCAGACAAGATCGGCCAAAACAAAATGAAGACCGACAGCACAAAAATTACAAAGAAACCGTTGCGTAAATCAGAACCATACTCAAAAAGATAACTTAAGCGAAAACAGCCCCCAAAGTCTGCTACATAACAACAGAATAAACACAGAATTCAAGGCACCGCCCCCAAAAGAACTACCCGCCGCCCATATAGGTCAATCGACCACAAACCCAGCGCGGAAGACGAAAAGTACAAGCCGCTTACACCCCACAGAAAGAGGCGTTGAACGTGCCAAACTAAAAATCAAGATTTATCTTTTTGATCGTGAGCTAGACATGAAATTGATATAAAAACGAACCTGGAAAGAATCCGAAGTATATGAAGAAGGAATTTCCAGGAATTCCTTTACGAGATTAACTTTTACCAGATCAAATTACTTGTATTCATCAAGCAGATTATCATAATAGAAATATATCTTACCGCAAGATAATTGAAATACTTCGCAGCAAGTTTTAATCACCGTAGAAACTGAACATCTGCTTTCATGTGGAACTCGCGATAGGATAATATGCCATAATTACTGTGGAGTTAAATGGGCTGTATTTTCTCTTAGAAAGAAACGATAACAATCACTCTAATTACAAAATACGACCGCCATCGAAATAGGAAATTATCAACTGCTTACAATATTTTTTAACTGAATGGCTTATGCAAATATGTTATTTGCATTCATATTCCCAACGCCAAGGTAAGAAAGCCCTTATAAATCTTCTAGATAAGGATATGTTTAAATTTTATCGTAAACAAACAGCCCCCAAGTAAACAGAGTGTCCAGCTAACCAGATAGCAAGAGAAGATCATTTCGATTCAATCCATTTAAAAACGACAGTTATACGAAATTTCGCGCTATGTCAAGGACATTTTCTGCTCCTTGCGTGATCAACCGTCTCGTCTCAGTGAGGAACGTAGACTGGTCCAGAGGGAGAAGCGAAATCGGACTTAAGGAAAATAATTTAACGTTTCGTGAGCGGACTTATCAATGAAATATGGGCTAAAACTCGATGGTCGGTCTGTCGGCTTTCCGAGTTACGGATGACTCGTAAGTTTCAATTTCTTAGAAACTGAAATCCCCTGCTTCATTTAGTCAATGCAAGATTCGTTAACTTATTTGTTTTGTAGCAAATTTGTTAACTGCTGCAGGTACCTTTTCACTTCAGCTGAGTATTTTGTAAACTGTACACGGTTCGATTTCTCTACTATAAGGAAAAGAAGTCCGAGGTGGCGTTGTATCGGTCTATATTGAAAGATTTTTCCCTCGAATCTTGGTTCAAGCGAGAGACAGATCAACGACCCTTCAGAGATCTATTGCAGAAGCACTGAACTCTCTTTCTAAAGGTATTGCAATTTATAATTTCTGTATTTCGAGAGAGGATTAGAAATTGAGGTCAACTTGCGTTCAAGTCTGAAAGTTCTTTAGTTTGCCTTTATATTCAGTAGATCGAAACCGTGATTCGTATAATTCAGTTTATAGAGTCGCAGTCGCTTTGAGATAGCACTCGCTTAGCTCACCGAAACGAGCCGCCGTGAACCGCTAAACAGAGTACATTTTATTGTCGGGGTCTTGATTAGCATGTATATAAGAGGCCGTGTTTCCAGAGTAGAGGGAGCCTCGAACCTTCGACCAGCGACTTTCATTATACAGCATGTTTTTTTTGTTTTCTTTTTTTTTTCTTATTATTGCCCTGTTTCATCGTCTTACTAGATGAATTATATGAGAATCTGCTAAAAAAATGATACTGGTTAAGCTTAGGAAAAGGAAAGAAATCAAATTTTGGCGAAGATTTTGCTTGAATGTTCCTTGAGTTTTTTTATTCACAACCATTGTTCAGGACATGAGTGTGCGCTCCTCCTCTGAACCAAGAAATTTGAGGGAGGATCGCAGACCAGGTTCGATAGCACGGCAGAAATCGAGCCTATGAAGTGTCAAGCGTCAGAGCCGTTTCATTAGGACGGATGGCTAAGCCACAAGAGGTTTTGGGCGACAAAAAAAAAATGATATAAACTCACTGTTTCGAGGGTTTGGTTTTGTTGTTTTGTTTTGGTAGTTTAGCGACGAAAAGCGTGCGGCAAACGCGCGAGGACAAGTGCAAAGCGGAAGAATAAAAGCTCTTTCTCCGACCATACCCCAGCCCCCCTCTGTTCTCCTCGCAACCCACAACCCCCCTTCCTCTTTTTTTAGGGTTTGAGGAGTGTAAACAAGCTACCGGCTCCGATGACGTTTGTTTTGCTTGTGTATGTTACTAATATAATCATTTGACATTAACAATCCTTTAAAACATTCATTGTTCTTTTCTCAAAAGTGACAGCGGTACACGTAATTTGACGCGCTCGTACGGCGCGCGACATCTCTAACCAAGGACAGTACACAACGGAAAAACGCCCACTTCTTTGTTGGAACCGAAGCTTGCGGCGAAGCTTGCATTCCGTCCTCACAATGAAACTCCATATATTTCATTTCTTTGCTGTTTTTGTCGCGCTAGCGCCGTTTCCAACCTTCAGTGAAGTTGATCAGGCGGCGGAACTGGCAGCGAAGGACTTCCTCAAAAATTACAACGATATTGTACCCAAAGAGGATTACAAAACGTCTGTCGCATCATGGAACTACGCTACAAACCTGACTGACCACAACAAAGCGATGAAAACGAACATAAGTTTGGTATTCTCCGCTTTCTACAAACAAATGCGTGAGAATGCGACCAATTTCGATACCTCAAAGCTCTCAGCAGACACCGCGCGTCAGATCAAGTTCATTACTTCAACCGCAACTCCGAAGGATGCCGAAACGCTGAGGAAGCTAACAGAGTTAGAATCGGAAATGGAAGAGATATACAGCACGGGAAAAGTGGATGACAAAGGAAAAAAACTTTCTCTGAACCCCGACCTTTACAAGATTTTGTCTACGGAGCGTAATTACAATCGGCTACTGTTCGCTTGGAAAGGTTGGCGGGATGCAGTTGGCCCGAAGCTCCGAAATAAATACACTGAATTTGTGAGGCTGAAGAATCAAGGTGCTACGGAAAACGGTTGGAAAAACATTGGTGAATATTGGCGGTCTTGGTACGAAGTTGAAGACCTGGAAGGAATGGTAGAGGGATTTTGGAACAAACTGAGGCCCCTCTACCAAGAATTGCACGCCTATGTGCGTTACAAGTTGAGCAAAAAATATCCGCAAATGTCTACAGATGGGCCCATTCCAGCACATCTGCTGGGCAACATGTGGGCGCAGTCATGGGTGAATATCTACGATCTGGTTGAACCCTACAAAGGGAAGCCGAGTTTAGATGTGACAGCGAATATGAAGAAGCAAAATTACAGTGCTGATAAGATGTTCAGACTGGCGGAGTCCTTCTTCACGTCGATTGGACTTGAACCGCTCCCCAGCTCTTTCTACAACAACTCCATGATAACCAAACCCGAAGGCCGTGAAGTTATCTGTCACGCGTCAGCGTGGGATTTCGGCATCAATAAAGATGTCAGGTGAGACATTATTTTTAAACGTGGTGAAAAAGTGCTCATCTTAGACAGCATGATCTCACCTCGAAGCCTTATAAAAACGAAAAAAAAGAAACGGTTTATTTTGGCCGGTATTTATTCTGTTTACATACTTTACTATCTCCGGACGACGCCGCTGTGAAGTGAACTGTTTTTGTTCATTTAGTCTGACTGCAGTTTGAAGGATGTATTTGATTTTAAAATTTTCGTGGCAACATCAAACTGTGAATGCCTTCTTGAGGCAGAAGAATAAAAAATGTGGAACAAAATTTCCTAAAAAGAAGGTCCTCTCTTCTAAATTTTAGTCACGATCGACGACAGGCAAAACTGCGAAACAGGACTCTTTTCGATTATGAAATGCAATTAGGAAACTTTTTTTTCAACTTGCCAAAAGATAAACACCATGTCTTGTAATAGACAATTGTGCTATTGGTTTAATTCTACTCGTCCGACAATTACATTAGTGCTACCTCATATTTATACAACCTTTGATCTCTTGTCAATTAACTTCACTGATTTTTCCAGTCATAAGTAAACTGCTTTTTTTGCTTAATTACTGAGTGGTAGGGCCGGACGGGAAATATTTGGCTCAAGCTCAAGGTGTGCGGACAGAGCGCAGCATTTTATCATATGACCACTAAGTGTTTAAAATTTCGACTGTATTCTTTCGCTTGACAATTCAGTTCTTCACAGCTACCCTAGGCAGACTACTAGAGAGGTTTGAATTTGTCACCTTTTTTCAAAATGCGAATCTTTTAAAGAAGACGTTCACCGATGTTACGTAACATGTTTGTGTTGACGCTCGTCACGCAATAAGAGGAAAAGCATTATGCGTGACCTCCTTAGACCACATCCGAAAGAATTAATACTTGGAGAACGTATCTTTTACGAATCGAATACAATCCGTGAAGTTTAATGAAGTCTAATGCCCAAGGAGATCTCCTTTGCATCCTTAGTAGACTTCTTTTGAATGTCACGCAACAGGGCGCTACTAAAAATTAACGTGACATCTCATTAAAGACATCTTTTCAGTCTTAAAATAAACTTTTTTCGCCTGAAAACATGTACAGTCGGTATGAATTCAGGAAAGTGGGGGCTGTCACAACTTATACGGACTACCTTGCTATGGTAGTATGGTAGTAAAATATCTCAGCAAAACTTCTAAGGGAATGTCCTGATGTTCTAGCGGAATCTCTTACTCATCTATTCAATCAATCCATAATGACTGGCATCTTTCCCGATGAGTGGAAATCTGCCAGAGTCACTCCATTGTATAAAAATACTGGGAAGCGCTCTGATCCGACTAATTATCGACCAATATCAATAATTCCAGTTGTGGCCAAAGTCTTTGAACGGATAATTTACGATCAGCTTTATCGTTATTTAACTAACAACAACTTTCTCTCGTGCCATCAATCTGGTTTTCGGTCTTTGCATTCCACGCTCACAGCACTTATCGAAGCTACAGATAGTTGGGCAATGGATATAGACCGTGGTCTTGTTAATGCCGTAGTGTTTTTAGACCTCAAAAAGGCATTTGATACAGTAGATCACGATATTTTGCTACGAAAATTGCAATACTATGGGATTTGTTGGACCAGTCATCAATGGTTTGCTTCTTATTTAGATATTCGAACACAGATTTGCCATGTAAATTCTTGTAAGTCAACTCCGAAATATCTAAGATGTGGTGTTCCCCAGGGAACAATTTTGGGACCCCTTCTGTTTTTAATATATATTAATGACTTACCACATTGTCTGACATATTCGGAACCCAGAATGTACGCTGATGATACCAGCCTGACGCTTGCCAGTACTGACTTTGATCATATAAATTATTGCCTTAATTACGACCTGAGTAATGTGTACGAATGGCTGAGTGCTAACAAGCTTACCCTAAATATGACAAAAACTGAGTTTATGCTTATTGCATCAAGGCAGAAGTTATCACAATTTACGGAAAGTCCTTCTCTTACTATAAACGAAATCGCAATAGAAAAAGTAACCTCCGCTAAGTCCCTTGGAGTTTATGTCGATCAAAATATCAACTGGGAGTGTCATATTGAAAACATCTCTAAGAAGATAGCTTGTGCCATTGGTGCAATTAAACGAATTCGGCACCTCACTCCATTTAATGTTCTAATTAAAGTTTATAATAGCCTTGTTCAACCACATTTTGATTATTGTAATGTAGTGTGGGGAAACTGTAACAAGGGCCTTTCTGAAAAACTGCAAAGGCTTCAAAATCAGGCAGCTCGCATCCTAATGTCTGCGAGCTATGATAGTAATTTAGATGATTTGTTCCGGGCACTAGGGTGGCGAAGACTCTACTATCAAAGATTGGAACAAAAATCTATCTTAATGTATAAAACTTTACATGGTATGACACCAGATTATCTGAGATCAAGATTTGTATATCGTGACAATATAAGTGCTTATCGTTTAAGGAATACGGAAAACAAATTAGTTCTTCCACAACCTCGAACTGATTATCTTAAGAGAAGTTTTTTGTACAGCGGAGCTCACTTGTGGAACGACTTACCCTTAGACCTGAGACAAGCGTCTTCACTGACCGATTTCAAATCTAAATTAAGTCGCCACAGTTTAAAGTAATATCTTAATTTTAAGTAAATTTTAGACACAGCCTCCATGAAAAGCAGATATTTTTTTTTTATTTGTTTCTTTTATTTGAATTGTTATTATTAGATTTTATTATAGTTAGGAAGATAGATATACCTTTATAAATAATTAACAACTGATGGAAATACCGTGTATAAATAAAGTTATCTTATCTTATCTTATCTTATCTTATGGAATTTTTCCAAAACTTCGCGAAATTACTAAATTAGACCCGAACACTAAGACTTTAAGCGTCGTGAACACAACATGTGTTGCGTTTTCTTTCATTCATAGAGTCAAGCAATGCACTACTGTTACACACAATTACTTGGTAACCACGCACCACGAGCTAGGGCACATCCAGTATTACTTGCAGTACTGGGACCAACCTAACGTCTATCGCACTGGGGCCAACCCTGGTTTCCATGAGGCAGTTGGGGATACCATGTCCTTGTCGGTTGATACGCCACAGCACTTGCAGAAAATTGGTTTGCTGAAGGAGGTCAGCAATGATACCGGTAAGATGGTAATCCTTGTTTGAAAGAAACAGTCGACTCCAATTTCTCGCCGTTAACGAACCACGCATGAATAAAAATCGATTCATCATGAATTTTCGTGATACAATTACAGCAGTTTTAGCATCTGTAGTTCAAGCAGGTACTTTTACGATCTTAGCACCAGCTCGAATCGAAATCGTTTTACTCAGCATTTTCTCCCGAAAATGTCAGTTATTTTAACCTCGGTTACTAGAACATCACGTTAAATCGATTTCAATTCGAGTCCTTCATACTATTACAGTAATTTAAACTTCGGTTACTGGAACCTTCGATAACTATAACTTCGAGTTCTATTAGCTTCAAGTATTTCTGTTTCCGCCAGGTCACTACGTATGCAAATTTTACCTTTGATAACTCGAGCCTTCCTCATTAGTACGTGATAAGTAAGAATGTTATCACAATTGGCAGTGATGTCGCAATCTGATTGGCCAATTTGCCGATGTCAATAAGTGTACAAACAATGCTGCTTGCGTCAACGTGTCACGCAATTGGCTACGCCCACTGGCAGTGCTCTAGGCCTCATACTTACCTGCGGTTGAAAGAACGCTATCTATATAGCTTGCCGGCTAAATAAACAGTTGTGAACAAAAATTAATTCAAGCACAAGCTTTATTTCTTTTAACCTCATTTTGCAGAATCCGACATAAACGCCTTGATGAAGATGGCTCTGCGTAAGGTGGCTTTCCTTCCTTTCGGATTCTTGATCGACCAATGGAGATGGAAAGTTTTCAGCGGTAAGATCACTGAGGAGAATTACAATACCGCGTGGTGGGAACTGAGGACTAAGTACCAGGGAATAGAACCTGCTGTGGAAAGGACAGAAAATGACTTTGATCCCGGATGCAAATATCACATTCCAGCTAATACACCATACATCAGGTGGGTATTGTAGCCAGTGGGAGAGAAGTTTATTCTGATCCCTTTCACAGTCGACTGGCGGGGGAAGGGAGGGGAGACCGGGAGGGGGTTGGGGTTAGGAAGCCACTCTCCACCAGACAAGTTGTAATAACAAATGCAAACATCTTTGCATGCATATTTTCCGAAGCCAGTTGTTTGAAAAACATTAAATAACGTCTAAGTATAAACCACACCTGTAAATTGTGCTTTTCGCGCGCGCGCTTATTGGTTAGTTTGGAAGTGAATAATAATTACTATTTACCTGCGAGTTGCTGAGAAAAAAAAACTGCGCTTCAAGAGCTAAATTTCTGAGCATTTTTCGATGTATTGAAAAAAATAAACTAATTTTTTTGTATATGTGTGGTGTATGCTAAAACAATTATTCACCTGATTGTCGTTGGAAGTAATAGATATTTCCTTCGCTGCTTCGCGGCGCCGTAAATATCCATCACTTTTCACCTCCACTTCGGTGAATAATAGTTGATTATTTCGCCATGCACGATCCTTTGCCTTAAATTGCCCCATCGAAACGTGAGGGGAGGAACGAAGGGCTTAAGCCTCTCTTCTCAGGGCGGCTTTTGTTATTCGAACCCCCTGGCGTCATTTATTTGTTTTAATTTTCACCGCGGAACTCAAACCTTTAATAACTCGAACTCTCGATAATCCGAAGGAATTCTCGTTTCCCCCTAGGTTGGTAAGTTGTTCAAAAGGGTTGCTCTCCATAGCTCGAAACATGTCATCAGCGGTGCCTTGTTTGTCGTACATTGTTTGTTGCGCGATGGAAATTTTGAATTCATAATCTGCATGGTTTTTCATTGGACAAATAACAGTTTGTGAGAATAGAAAAACGACAACGAGGAAAGGATGAACTAAAGGGAAACAGGGATGACTGAGAATGGACTGTTTCCTCTCCAGGCGTTCAATTGGTGAAATGTAGCGTGATAGTAAATGATGCTGAAGAAGCAGCGGACTGTGAAAAGGAGAGATGCATGGGTCGGGTCTCGTATTGACCTCCGCGTTAAGTTATCGCGCTTCGTTTTTCAAGCTTAACGTCGGGAAGACGGCTTTTCCAAGAAACCTTGTGTTGGGTAGAATATTTCCCCGATGAATGTGTCACTGACCAAATTTAATTTTTTTTATTTTTATTGCTCAGGTACTTTATGAGCTACGTGCTACAATTCCAGTTCCACAAGGCCGCCTGTGAGGCAGCCGGACATACGGGACCTTTGCATACCTGCTCCATCTACGAGTCTAAAGAAGCGGGAAAGAAGATCGGGTAAATACTGACAAAGATGTGGTACTTTTTGCTGATATGCTTGTTCCTTCAGCTATTGCTGAACCACTGTTGTACTGAGAAGTATGAAAATATTTTTATCTCTTGTGAATGTGATACTTATTTTTCTACTTATGACCAAACTTTGCCTTGTCCGGCGAACGTGAACGACGACGGCTTATTTTTTTAATTTCTATTTGTAATTAAACGCTGTATTCCATATTCAGTTCCGAGGTAGCTTGGACAGCGAGAAAAAAACTAAATGACTCTAGAGTATCACGAGATTCGTAGGTAAAATCTAGGTTCATTTTTTTAACCGACGTTTTCTACGGCGTCACCGTCGTCGTTTCATTCATTTATCAACAAACTATTCACTGGATTATTTTTTACACCTATTAAAGCTCTAAATCGTTTTTAATAATTCAAATTAGCATAGAAGAGGCCAGAAAAAGCAAAACTCGACAATGATTGGATATTGGGAGACTCTGATTAATTATGTCCCGTTTTGTTCAAAAGTGCCGTCAGGATCAGTTCCAGGAAATTAACCGCCATGCTATGTTATTTGTCCCCCAAAAATTATTGCTTTGATATGTTATTGTTGTTGTTGTTATTATCATTATTATTGTTATTATTACCATTATTAATAATTATAAATCTCAATTTCATAGCCCACACATGGAGAAATCAATTAACGTGTTGTATTGAATGGCGTTTCTCTCCTTTAATCTATAGGGATATGCTGAAGATGGGAAAAAGCAAGCCTTGGCCGGAAGCTCTCAAAAAACTGACCGGAAGTGAAACACTGGATGTTGGCGCTCTATCGGAATACTTTGAGCCTCTCCGCAAGTGGATGATGGAACAGAGGAAAGAGCTGGGGTACACTGGACCCGGATGGGACGTAGACGCAAAGGCTGGAGTATCAGCTGTTCTTCCCACACTGTTCAACACTGTCATGGGTTCTTTGATTGTGACAGTTGTGCTCTTTTGCTAGAGATCTTCAAAAGGCCTGGACCTAGGGCCATGATCATTGCTTTTCATTATCAGCTTTTTTTCTTTTTTTTCATTGCAATTGCCTTCGTGGTAAATCAGCAATTGAAATTGTGATTAATTGTTTTTCTTCTTAGGTTATCGATAATCGTCTCACGTTTCTTTGACAGTGCAAAATAAAGATGTACGTTTTCTATTATGTGACTTGTTTATCTTTACATATGTATATAAATTTCTTTTTATTCAACTAAACTTGCCTAAAGTCATAATTCACAAAGTAAATCAAAGAAATACAGGTGTGGGTCTCTGCTAAAAAAACAACAACAACACAAAAAAACCGGTTCATTCTATTTCGTTATCTGATAAAGGGGGTCAGTTTCTAAAGAAACTGTGGTGCTGCGTCGGTGAGAGAATATAACAGGATAATGAAGTGTTATAAACTAAGTTGACAACGTAAACTGACCACTGTATAGAGTTTCAAAGCTAAACTCTCTACGTTGCGGCTAATTAACGTTATGAATTCAGTTGATAATACTAAGTTACTTCTTTCTCTGATATTTTTGTTGTTTAAATTTCAAAGCTAATAATCTCCGAGTAAAATCGCAAGATCAGTGTGTTGTAATTTTTGACAAACTTGACCTCGAGTGTCAAGAAATTGTCAAATCTATAATTTAAACTCAGGTGCAAGTTGAGGGAATAACGGAAAGGCGGCCAGTGTCCCGGCAGCACGACTCGAATGTGTCGGCCGATGCTTCCCATAATACACACGGCGGCTTAAATAATGCAAAGCTTATAGGAGTGAATAAGTTAACTTCCATGAATCAGCCACAACATACCTCCGTAATGTAAGTCAAAAATCGAGTTTCTTTCCGCTAGGATTCCTGGATCAAGTGCGCAGGCCATAAATCCGAGAGGAAAAAACGAGGCTCCATAACTTACGATACGGACCGAGAAAACAAGTCAACTTTATTTCCTTACGGGTATTCGTCCTTCAGAAGTTAAAAGATTATGAATATAAATTTATAGTTCAAAATGACTAAAATGAAACACACATGATTCCCTGTAACTCTGAGTCTCGTGCTTACGCACTCGTCAGACAGATTTAATGAAAAACATTCTTGTAGGCTAATTTATATATATATAAAAAAGATAGCTGCTGATTACAATGGGTTGTTGTTATATAATAGGTGAGAAAAAGCGAAAATTACAATGGATGTGGATGTATGTGATGTGAGGCAGTAGGTGTGAATATATTGACAAAAGTCTCTTGTAGTAGGGAAGCGTCAGATGTTCTTTAGATAAAACTTGTTTTCGTGACGGCATTTGGATATAAGTTTAGATCTTTTATTTGAATATAAATATACAAACTAACACTAGGTTACCTTATGCAACGTTTTACTTCTACCTACACTAAAAAAATAACATAACAAATAACCTGATTTACTAGAATTCCGTGCTACAGCTAATGTAGATGAATACAACACGTTTAACGCCATGACTTGAATGCATATTTAATCTGTTTTCCATATAGACGAATATTTGGATGTAAAGATGTGTAGATGTGTAAATGTGATTCGACTGAAAATAAATAAATAATACAAATATCTCATACAAAAATAATAACAATAAACGACACAGCTACATAAAATAGAAACGAACTTACATTGTGTGGCGTAACCAGGTCCGGTAGCTAGAACTCTTATAAAAAGTAACACGGCGCTAGAAAAACTAACGCAAACACTGACTTAGTTGAAATCAACTAGCAACAAGAATTATCTAGCGAAAACAAAGCTTGTATTGGCGAGAGATAAAACACCACTGGTGTTACGTAATTCTTACACAACCACAAGCAAAAACGCGACCTTTACTGAATCGAAACAGAACATCACAACAGTGGTTCAATTGAAAGAAAAGCTATAAAATCATTTTGCAGTTACTTGACAATAAATAAAAATGCAAATTCTAGTTGCTACAGATGTGATAGATATAAAAAGAGGTTAGGAAGATATTTATTATATCTCTGAGTTCAAATTGATGGGGAAGATTTCGATTTAAACAAACTATCATATTAAGTGGGCTGTACAGTGAAGAACGGCCCACTAAATTAACCAATCATAAGACCCGTATTAACTGAGGGATATCAGTAATACCCTTTATCATTGGTTGAAACTCACGCCGGCATCAAGGAGGACAGAAGAAGTACATCACTCAAAAACGTCTAAACTAGAAATCGTGGAAACAAGCTACGGCTTAGCGTCGGTTTCACGGGAAAGATTGAGTTGGTGGTGAATTGAAATGAAATTACAGCATATGTGCTTGGATTCTGCCGTTGGATCTGTGACCACCCGGTCATTCTGAGCTCAGATTTTTCGCTTCTCGGATCGGGTGTGCGGAAATGGAGTGTGCAGCCTTGTCCTTCTTCTAAGAGTAGTAAACCTAGAAATGGATAAGTAAGTGAGGTATTTATTGAGAACAATATCAAAAATATTCCCATACAAACTCCTATATTTTCACCACGACTCTCATTTCGCAAGATAATAATCTCATAGCTGGAGCTTGGGCCAAGGAATCTTAGCTCCCAGTCTCTCCTTCACATTTGGTTAGTGAGACTGGTAACCAGACTGCTTAGGTTGACTGGAAACATGGCTGTTGCTCGAGTTGGATGCAGGTGATCTCTACCGTAAAAGACTTATTTGACGTTTCTAAGCAGGCGATTCTTTTCAAGGTAAATTCACTCTTGTAACATACACTTTCTCAGCTCAATTCCTGCAACTACTAGCGAGGAAACTGGTGTTTTTAGAGAAAAATCGTGAAAACTTGTGGCTTTATGCTTCCGTCAGCACTTCCTATTTGTTTTCGTAGTTTTGAATTGTAGCTCTGAGTTATACTTGATTCCTCTATATTTTTCAACGTTGATTCACGGGTTATCTCCCGTTTTAGTGAATTCAATCGGCCAAATACCAGGGCTGAAAAATCATCGGAAATTTCTCGATTGTAAGCAAATAGTTTAAGCCCGCCGGGCGATCGTGATACTCAAAGCATTTGCTGAATGCTATATGATATTTTAGTACTTTTGATTTAAAATAAGCTGTGATTAAATGCCCAGCAGCCGGGTACGGTCTCAAATAAATGAAATGCCCTACAGTACGAAATTTTTATAGCTTTTCTTTGGAAAAGTTCTTTCAAACTTCTCAGGAATACCTATAAAAATGTCAAGTGATTCCAAACTTAATTTGCTCGGTTGTGGACACGCTTCTGATCAGACTGCCGAGCACGGTCTCGAATGCTCGGTAGTTAGAAATTTTCACCTTAATGTCACTGAAATGTTCCTTAAACTTCTAAAGAGTATTAAATCTTTGTTAACCCTTTACATCCTAAAGTCATTATGCATATTCTCCACACTGTTCTTTATACATTTCCTAAGGTGCTGACAGGGAGAATTTGTTTACCGATCAAAAGCTTCTTTGTTGGGCATCATTTCCTTAATTCTCATGACCTTAAGATGTAATTCAAGGGTGATATTGTAAGGAGAAATTAGATGCTAATCATTCTTAGGGTTTAAAGGATCATGAAATGCCAAGCAATTCCAAAAATTAATTTGTTTTTTTTAGAAGATAAATTAAATTTTCCAAACTTGTGAAGACTACAATGTACTATAATATTTATATGTATAAGTATGGTACATGTAAGCTTGACCACTACTGAAAAACACAAATTTTGAATATACTCAACTAGTTTGTATGAATTTTTCAGTGGGATTTTGGTAAAAATTTTTAACTGTGGGGCATTAAGTCCATTTGAGACTGTTCTGTGCAGTCTAATCAAAGGCTTGCAATTTTTAAGTCTTGACAATCAGGCAACATCATGGTATGCTCAACCGTGGGGAGTTTGTTGCCTGAAAAAACAGATTAATTTTGGAATTGCTTGACATTTTTAAACAAACATCTGATAATCCCAAAGAAGACCAAAAGAACCTTCCGATGGAAAGATCTGCGAAATTTTCTGACTACTAGGGCAGACTATTATAGACAGTGCACAGCTATCAGGCATTTAGTCACAGTGTTTGAAATAACAACAGATTTGTTACAGTTAATTTTTTTGCAATGTCATTTGTATGAATAAGAAGTATTTCCTCATAGGAGACATGTCTTCATGGCTTCTGCCACTCCATCAATTCCTTCTACCAAAGAGACCTCTAATTATGCTCAGCTCTGTCGCCTTCTTGTCAATGTTGGATCATGTGTGTTAAGGGAGATCTTTGACAGGGTATGTCCACCTGGAAACCTTCACACAGTTCTGGCTCATCCTCAGAACCAAGCAAAATTACAAACACTTTTGAAGAAGAGAGTCCTGTGTATCTCTCAGTGGCGAAAACTTTATCCTGTTGTCAAATTCTCCGTGTCCTCAGGGAACTTTGACACCTCCCTACTGCTACTCCTGTTGAGGAATATCTTTGGCCTGCCTCTCCCTACTGGTAACTGGGATAAACTTCCTCTGATAACAGACACCTCTCCAGAGGCTGACATCACCCGAATCAAGGTCTTAAGAGATAGAGTTTGCAGTCATGCTACCACTGCTTCAGTTGATGATTCAACTTTCAGTTCTTACTGGAATGACATTAAAGACACCTTTCTGCATATTGGAGGGGCTCGCTATCAGGATTACATTCATGAAATGACACTTGATTGTGTGGATGCTGATCTCGAAGGAGACTACCAAGAGCTTCTGAGTAAGTGGTTGAAGGATGAAGACTGCATCACAGACAAATCAAATGAGGAAAAAATTGTGAAAAAGCCCAGGAAGGAAGGAAATATGGAGGACTCCTTGGACATTTCTGAACAAAATTCATGGGAGAGAGGTGTGTGTAATTTTTTGTTTAACCTGAGCTTTAAACTAACTTTAAGGAGTTGATAATGTAAGTCATACTGGATCAATCAATGAAATGAATTTCCTGCAGATTTTGTTTTAAAAGTCACAATTATGGGCAATTAAAGTTGTGAATTTTTATTTTCTTGAAATGTCAACAGCACCCATACTTTGCTTTTTTTCTTCATCTTTCTTAACTTTTGATTTCCATTTGGGTAAGCTAATTAATTGTCACATACAAATGACTGAAAAACCTACAACCTTCTTTTTCAGAGACAGTAGTAATGCCAGCAAAAAATGGATCAGCACAGACTGGGAATAGCAGCCAGCCAGAGCTTAGTGTGAAACTTCCAAAGTTGAGTGATCTTCCAGCAATCTTTACTCCGTGGGAAACTGTTGAACTGCCAGTGGATTTTCTTTTATTAACAGTAGAGGACTGTGAGTTCCTAAGCTGCTTTGCCTACCTGAAGGAACCCTTCAAGAGTTACCACATCAGTACTGGTCCTGTGTACTTTGGGTGCATGGGTAATGATCAAGGAAAGAAAATGAAAATTGCATTGAAGAGGTGCTCCAAAGGTTCTGATGTTCCTGGGGGTTCTTTGTCAGTTTCAAAAGATGCCATCTCGGTACTGGGACCCAAGGCTATTTTATCTGTTGGTGCCTGCAGCGGTTTGAACAGTGAAGAGGTCAAGTTAGGAGATGTGGTTGTTTCAGCAAAGCTGATAACAGCTGCACACAAAACTCCCCCCAGCAGAGATATTGGTAACCTGATCAAACATGTGGCTGATGGGTGGAAGGCACCTTTACAGAATGCTGATGAATATGCTGCCAAAGTACACTGTGATGGAGTGGTCCTGAGTATCTCAGAGGCGAACAGAGATATGATTAGGAAACATCCTGAAGCAATTGCAGTTGAAATGGAAGGTGGAGGTGAGAATCATAATAATTCAAATAATTGATGAGCCAAGCACTTTTGCACTTGTAGCAAATGTTTTGAAAAACACTGCTCTGGTATTGTCTCTGCTGGTCCAAGAAATAGCATATACCATATAACATGCCAAATATTCAGGAATTATATATTGTGTATTAATTTATAGTGATTTTATGTTTGGCTGGGGTAGGAAGATTTTTTTGCAGGTGAAGGTGCCTGAGACTTCTTCTGGATAACTAAATTAAATGTGCTCCATCAGGATGTCATGAATTTTTTTAAAATTTGTCATCTGAAAAATGTATAAAGTATGTTGTTTAATAGTTTGAGAGTTGAGGAATAGTATCACAGTCCCTGTTAACCCTGAAACTCCCATGAGTGACCAAGACAGAGTTTCTCCTTACAGTATCAATATGATATCAAGCTGACAAGTAATGGGAAAAGAGAAAATGTCAATTAGGGGATTATTGGTTGATCCAAAACTAAATTTTCCTAACTGACATCATAGGAATTGTATGAAATACATTAAAGAGAATTTCTTAAAGAGATCTTAGGAGTGAAAGGGTTAACTAACAACAGTTTGTCTTTTGAGAAATGTTGAAAGTTACTTATGAGACAAGTTGAAGCCTGAAGAATAATTTTACAGTCTCAATGTACAATTTTTTAAATTACTAGTTGAAAAAAATTAGGTTTTGGTACTAATTATTACGTCTTTCTGGTATGTGCATGTTGACAAACAGGTAGAGTGTGAATCTTTGTGAGCTTTGACTGAAAAATTATTATTTTTAAGGATGCTGAGAAAATAAGCTTAATATAATTAGATAACAGACATGAATGTTTTTTTTTTATTCAGGAGTGTATACAGCAGCCCATGATTTTAAGACAGAATGGGTGGTAGTCAAGGGCATCAAAGACTTTGCAGATGAAATGAAGTCTTCAAGCAAGAAATGGAATCAAATTGCCTGTGTGATGGCAGCATCTGTTGTGGCCAACATTTTGAATGATCCAGTCATATTCCAAGATTGGCCTCACTTTAATGCAGGTATTGCTTCCTGTCTCAATCTTGTCTTTTTACAAGGATAGGTCTGACTTAGGACTAAGTTCCCACAGCATATTCTTTTATGAATTATAAATCAAGATGATTTATTTAGTGATTGTTCACAAATAGGAAATTAAGTCACCCATATTTTGAGTTAACATTCCAGTAGCTTAAACAAGGCCTCTTAACCCTTTAACTCCCAAGATCTTGTTGACAATTCTCCTTACTGTCTGCCAAATGATTCTCATTATGTTAGTTTGGAGAATGTGGCATCAGATCAACTAGTAATCCCATAATTATTATTTTTCTTTATTCTCATCACTTGTCTGCATGATATTGTATAGATATAGTAAGGAGAAATTCTGTCTTGGTCACTCATGGGAGTGGTGGGAGAAAAAAACTTGTAGTTTAATTGAGTGATGTAATGATGAATAACAATTCACTCCATGAGCCTGGTGAACTGGCCTGTATTCTATAGTTAGCTTGGTTTATGTAACACCACCAAACTATGGAGAATTCAGAGGCTAATGACATCTGCCAAAGTGATTTGAAGTGATTTGATACATGTTCTTGGGCCAATAAGTGACAAATCGAATTGTTTTAAACTAAAAAAATTGATTTATCCAGTACTTCATGTGCGATTGTATTTTGATGGTGAAACTATTGGAATGGATAGGAAAGTGATAAATGCCAGCAAACATGTTTATGGTTCTGTTTGTTTTTGTTGTTGTTGTTGTTTTTTTACCTTTTATGGAACCTGACATAATATTAGTTTGAGAGGAATTAAGTAAATTGTTCAAAGAGACGACATTTTTTTGTCTATTATTTCATTTAGGTGCCAATGAATTACCCTCTCAAGGTAAGTCCAACATGTTTTGATGAGTGTAATAATAGTGAACATGTGAATGATAATGATAAACAGTGAACTTATATGCCTCTATTTTAACTCTCATAATCAGATACTGTAACAAATGTTGATCCAGGATTTTTTTTAGAGAAGGGGGTCACAATTTTTGTTTAGAAAACACAGAAATTTTGTGTTTTTTCTGAAACCACAGTAGGCCAAGACTTATATCTAGAAAAGCAATTGTTAAATGCTTCAAATTGGATAGTAATATGTGATCCTGTTGTTTCAAGAATTTGGGTGTCAGACAGGTGGATCTGATGGGGGTGGGACCAAGACCTCTTGGAGGGGGGGGCCTTCCTCCCCAAACCACCACCGATTTTTAACTATTATAGGGTCCATGAGTTGGGGCTCTGATGTCCAATACTGGAATTGTTTCTCTGTTAGACACTCGACTTTGAAATTTACATTCAAGACCAGGCTTCCAAGGTGTACAACTATGTGTGGTATTAATGTGCCTTTAGTTTGTTATACTTTTTTCATCAATAAGAGTTAGACCAAAATAGCCTAAGATCTTTGTCTTAAGATCTTGTGTGTTAATTGAGCTGCCCTCAATACAGTTAAACCCTGTGGAGTAAGAGTGAAAGTACCAATAAACTGCTATCCTCGCGGTCATGTTATTTATTATGTTTCTTTTTTATATTTCAGCCGTAAGTGCCTACACTTCAGCTTTAAAGACTTCCATCATAGGCCAAACGGAGTTCCAACCCAAACTGCTTGCCTCTCGCACGATTTCCGACGCGAAAACAGACGAAATATTCACAAATCTTCTCATACAACATGGAAGAAAAGCCCTGATTAAGAATGACGAGACATATTATTCAAGGAGAAAAGTGCTTGAGTACTACGGGAATGTCAGCGTTACTCCAGTCAAACACTGCAGTGAAATATTTCTTGGCATGATTGATGATCAGGAAAGTGTTAATTCTATTCTTGTCGTTGGAAAAGCAGGGATTGGGAAATCCCTGTTTTGCCAGAAGGTGATTCGCGATTGAACGAACTATTTCAAGCACGAGAAAACACTGAAATCCCCAATTTCAAATTTGTGTATTTGCTTACTTTCCGTCAATTGAATTTGCTTAAGAAAAAGCATTTGACTTTAAGAGAAATCTTAAACTTTTCCTTGGTACTGAATGACAAATGTAACATTAACGACTCAACATTTGAGTACATTGTAAATCATCCTAAGGAAGTAATGATAATTCTTGACGGCTATGATGAGTATTCTCAGAAATCCAACATCGCTGGAAACTTAGAAGAACAGCATCCCAATGTCGCTAGACGTAAAATGCCGGTGGCCGCATTATGTTCAAAACTCATCAAAGGAAAAATCTTGAAAGGGGCTATCGTCATGATTACCTCGCGTCCTGATGAATCGGACGAGATGGGAGGAATCCGTTTTAAACGGGACGTGGAAATTGCGGGTTTCTCGTCAAAACAAGTCAGAGAGTATATCGAGAAATACTTCAAGGACAACGAAAGTATGAAGAACGCTGTACTTAGACATGTGATGAACAATGAGACCCTGGTCAGTTTTGCTCATATTCCTATGCTGTGTTATCTGTTGTGCTTCGAGATGGAGTATACCCTAACCGAATCAGGAAATCCTCAAGACCTTCCCGTCTCAACAACCGACATTTACACCAAACTTGTTGATATATTTGAACTTAAGCACTGCGCCGACTCAGAATACAGACAGAAAGAAATTCCTGAGCACTTCAAGCCCCCTCCTGTCATCAAGAACACATTAGAGAAATTGTCAGAGCTAGCGGCTAAACTGCTGGTTAAAGAAAAGCCAACTTTTGATGAAAGCGAGATGGAAGGCGATTTTGAAGCGGAAGAAGTCAACAAACTGAAAGGTAGCGGTCTTCTTTACTGTGGTCAGCCTTTCAGGACTGCACCGATTACAACCACGAAACACTTTAGCTTCACACATCTGACCGTCCAAGAATTCTTGGCCGCTCGTTGGTTTGTAAAGGAAAATTGTGTTCCAGACGCGAAATGCTTTAATATGGTTTTCCAATTCATGGCCGGCGTTTTATCGAGTGAGGGAAACGAGGAACTGATGGAAAAACTATTAGATTCACGCCTCGTAGATTCCAATCTTAAAATGACGTGTCTGACTGAGTATCAAAACAAAGAATTTGCCAAAAAATTCATCAGGAATAATCCGCAAGCCTTTTGTAATTCAGACGGCGTCATGGTTTTTGAGGGTTTATCAGATGTGGACTGCATTGGAGTATCATTTGTGTTGGACATTATTAGTGAACTAAATAAAGAGGAAGCTGGAGAGGCACAACACAAATGTTCTGATAAGTTCGTCACAGTTAAGGAGTTACATCTTTGCGGATCACAGCTAACACTGTCTGGAATACAACGAGTCTGTAATTCACTAAACAATGAACACTGTCTTGTGTCTGAACTGGTCTTATTCTACATTTACTTGACTGATGAACATGTTGATGTTATTAATAGGTTAGTAGTAAGGAAGTTAACCAAATTAAGTCTAGTGACCACTAATATCACTGATACCGGTGTGGCCAGTCTATGTGAAGCTTTACAGCATCCAAGCTGTAAGCTAACCACACTAAATCTGCAGGGTAGTTCTATCTCTGATACCGGTGTTGCCAGTCTATGTGAAGCTTTACAGCATCCAAGCTGTAAGCTAACCACACTAAATCTGCTGGGTAGTTCTATCTCCCATACCGGTGTTGCCAGTCTATGTGAAGCTTTACAGCATCCAAGCTGTAAGCTAACCACACTATATCTGCAGGGTAGTTTTATCACTGATACCAGTGTTGCCAGTCTATGTGAAGCTTTACAGCATCCAAGCTGTAAGCTAACCACACTAAATCTGCAGGGTAGTTTTATCACTGATACCGGTGTTGCCAGTCTATGTGAAGCTTTACAGCATCCAAGCTTTAAGTTAACCACACTAACTCTGCCTGCGTCCCTTAGTTCTGAATATGGCGCAATTCTTAAAGCTATCACTCAGAGACACCGACCAGCTTTAAACCTGTCTTTTAAGGGGGTTCTAAAACTTATATAGTTTCATCAATTTTTAGTAGATTTTTATATTTAAACAAAATAAATAGTTGCAAGTCAAATCTTAATTTTGGGTCAAAGAGACTTACCAGGTAGACGAAGTATTTTTAATCACCAGAGTGAAAAACACCGCTTAATGTAAATAGAACCGCAAATATTTTGTAATAAAGGTTTTTTTTTACTGGCGACATTGTTTACTGTACTTGGTTCGTGGGTGTAGACCACTCGAGTGGTGACAAGTCGGGGGAGGGTGGGAGGGTAATCTTCCGAGAGGCAACTGTGGGTCTAAGGAAGCTTTCAGACAAGAACGTTTAGTTAAAGTTTCTCGAGGTAAGAAAAAAGAGGAAAATGTCTTCCCGTTCACCCGATTCTGATTTAATTTTTGATGAAATTACACCCTTCTAAGTACTGCCAAAAGAGAGATGGTTTTCTTGTTTTTTTTTTTTCAATAAGCAACAATTTTTCGTTTTAACTGTCCGCCATTACACTGTACCGATCATTTCAAAAATTTTTCATCCTCGTTTAAGTTGTTCAGGTTTGTTAAGTTAAGTTCCAGACGAATTACATGTAGAAAGCTGGATCGAGAGATAGAGTAGGAGGTTAAATTTCCCACTTGAGAACCCAGCTTATGTAGCATGCACCACCGGTTTTAACCTTTTTGGAGTAAGTTGCCGTGGTGTATCCGAACTCAGATTAGTTCACAGATTGGACATTTAATCTTTGGTTTCACAAATTAATATCTCGAGTCAGCTCTGTTAGTGCCGCTCGACAAAGACGCAAAATGGTGATGGGAACAGATTAAACGGAAAAATTTATCTGTTTCTTTTTAAATGCGGTGGTATGTTTGGCGTTTTACAAAAACGGTGAACTTAATACTGAGTAAGTTTGCAATAACGCCAGAAAGCTTTTGATACTATTCCTTTACGAGACCTGCCTCCGTTAAAGGCTCCCTCTTCCCCTTCACTGGCTTGCTCACATTCACACGAGCACCTATAAAGCAACAGACGGAGGAACCCACTGTCCGTTTTTCGAAACCGGTTTTGCTATTTAACAGTTCTTTTAAGAACCTCATGGCCACTATTGGAGACAGAAAAGTCATTGCTATACTCGCTAAAATAAGAGACAGCCAAACGCTGCTGATCTCGCCAATTAAATCTCCCCAGAAAAACAGTCAGCCTCCAAACGTTCCATTGTGAAGGCACGCACTAAACGAGCCAGTGCAGAATTAAACGACGACTTGCTTTCCAAAAAGTACTAAGAGTTACCAAACGACCACGACATGCCTTTGTAAAAACCAACCCCTAAGCGTCTTAAGACGGGAGCGAGTTTCAACAACCTGCGGAACACAATTGCCTAGATGGAGACACGGCGCGCAAAAACAAAAAAAATTCTTTTTTGTTCTTGTATGGAGGGTTTAAAGGAAGGAAGGAATTAAAGTCGTCTGTCAAAACTGTACGAAGAGCATTATCAGTCAAACCTTCGATCCCAACAACAGTTTTGAGAGACCTTATATGACTGATTCATAAAGAAAACTCTTTCAAATTCAACCACAAAAACTATTTTCAAACACTCGCAATAGCTTTGGGAAAAAAAATAACGGTAGTTTTTGCAGTCATATTCATGGCTCTTATTGAGAAACAGCTACAAACTAGCTATAAGCCCACAGAAACCATTTCTTTGGAAAAGATACATTGATGACATTTTTTATGCGCGGACCATTCTCGAAACCGAAATCAACAACTTCATTGATTTTGCTAACTCATTCCGCGCCACCTTTAAATTCACAAATGAACAGTCATCAAAAAAAATTGTTTTTCTCGATACTGAAGTGTTTTAAGGACTGAGATTTACCGATAGCAAAATCGTTGATGTTTAAACATATTACAAGCCGACAGGAACGTTCCAAGATACACACAGTTATCTTCACGCCACCTTCTCAGTGTTAACCCTTTACACCCTAACATCAGTATGCAAACTCTCCACACTGTTCTCTATACATTTCCTAAGGTGCTGACAAAGGAGAATGAGCTTAATGATCCAGAGCGTCCGTGGTTGTTGATCATCACCGCAGTTATACTGATGACGTCCGAGGTTAAGGTGGCCGAACGAAAATCAAACGAGGGTAAGTTTGATGGCAATTTTCTAAATAAGGTTTGGCGTCTAGATACCAGGAAATGATAATGTTTTATCATTTAAACAAAAGTATAGCACACTGTGCCTCCCCTCCCACCTGCCAAGTTCTTCGGTTAGAGGTGCCATTCATACTTATGTACAAAAAAAAGGCATCCTGTTTTTGATTCTCGTCCCCCCCAACCCCCTCCCCACTACTTTCATGCCTCCCCTCCCACCTGTCAAGTTCTTCTGTTAGGTGTACCATTCATACTTCTTATATGAAAAGAAATAGCATTGTCATTTGATTCTCCTCCCACTCCACCCCCCTTTCCCTCTCCAACCACCCACCTCTTGTCACTACCTTATGAAAAGAGAATTATAAATCAGCCAAATGCAATATCGCTTTTGATCGTGAAGTGATTGCTGGCCCCGTTTTTTTTTTATGATTTCATTTCATTACCTAAAAACACTGGCAGCAGTATATTAATAAATGTTGGCAGATATAAAAATTATCTCGGGAGCCAAACGATCCATTAAGATTACTGATCATTTCACGTGCACCCCCGCTAATGTTATCTATTGTAGAACGTGCGCTTATTGCAAAAAGAGATAAATTGGTGAAACAGAAAGATGCCTAGGTGACTTACTCCGAGAACACCTTCGCGACTTAGAAAGTAATGACAAGGACGCATGCAAACCAGTTTCCATACACTTTAATCTCTCTTTTCATTCTATGCAGCACATGGCTCTGCGGCGTTTCCTTACATCTATGCTGTTCGGAAAGCTGCAAAACTCTTGAACAAAATTTTTCCTTCAAATCGGCACTCTTAATCCGAACGGTATCAACGAACGCTCTTCATGTAACTTATTTATTCTTGTTTTCTCGTCGCTACATTCCCACCAATAGCGTAGCTCCATTTTTCAGCATATAAACACGCACTCAACCCACAATTCCTCCATTCGCCCTCACAAAGGGCTAACGCTTGAAACATCAGTTTCGAAACTCTACGGTGGCCGATATACTTTATCAACTCAGTTTGTTAAACCAAAATTATTTTGTTATACTCCCCACACTAACGCAGCACCACAGTTTCTTTAGAACCTCATTATTCATATGAATTAGCGAGTTATTTTTCGTAATTGTTCTTCGTAAACCGTCGATATGATAATGCATATTCATTGTAGATTGTGAGATGGCCATCCCTTAATTTCTAGTCTGGAGTAATGTTTCAGCGATGGAAAAATTTCTTAAATCAAAACATTATTGAGGCGAACTGCCATTTTGATCACTGAAAAGAGAAAACTTTATCTTCATTTCTAAAATCAGTCGCATGAGTTGATCATGTCGGTTTTAACAACTGTATCAGATTTGAGTTCCCGGATCAAAAAGCGCCAGGTAAGAATGTGATTAGATCTTGATGGAGGACTCGGCATTTCTATCCGAGTAAGTCGGAGATCTACAGCTCCGGTGTATTGCTCCACGTTTTCCTCCCGTAAGATTTCCTTTCGATCATCATCACACATTGTGTTGTAGGTATCTAAACCCTTTGTGAATTGTTAATCATTTTTGTCTTCAATGTTAATTTTTGAATAACTGTGAATATATACGAAAATCATCCATGTGAACTGCGGATAAAGAAGTGAATATGAAAGCGATCTTTGCAGTAATGAACACTACCTGAGCAGTAGTGAAAATAAGGCTTGAAAAAAATTCAGACGTGTACGGGATTTGAACCCATGACCTCTGCGATACCGGTGCAGCGCTCTACCAACTGAGCTGACAAGCCAACTGGGAGCTGGTTATTATGTTGGTTCCAAATAAACCCCGGCGAGAAGTGATGAATAAATAACTGTGAATATCCCTTTCACTCCCAGGAGTGACCAATAAGTAATTTCTCCTTGCAATATCATTACATTGTTAAGAAGACAGGTGATGAGAATCAGGAAAAAATCAACCAGGGGATATTGTTTGATTTAACACCAAATTCTCAAAACTAACGCTATAGGTAATGTATGACAGAGAGTGAGGAGAATTAATATTGAGATCGTGGGAGTGAAAAGGATATGTATGAAACCATTTTGTTAACTCCAAAGATTAGACACAGTGATTTCGATCAGTCTCACATGACTCCTAGTTGTTAATCTGAACGTAACTCTCTGTCATTGTAAAGGATTGTGAATCCACAAGTGGAGAACAAAAAAATGGGATACTTTGTTTGAGAGATTCAGAAGCTAAAAGATCTTTGTCGAATTAAAAGCTGACCTTGTTACTGCCTGCTTCTGATGACACGATTTTCAGAGGCAAGTTTGTGCTCAGTTATGATAAACTGCACACCATATAAAGGAAAATCGTATTTCTCAAAATTAAGACGGACACGCCGCTTTGAAAGTGTCATAGCTTTATTCTGAACGACATTATTAGAAGACATTGGAGACAGGTTTAAGCTACGCCTGTCCCCCTCACCTCTATCCATCCCTTTCGGGTTTCTTGATCAAGATCTTTGTTGACTTGCCACCGGATGATGGAAGCCGTGCACAGAATGCTATGTATTTTTTATCTGACAGAAAAGCTAACTCGTCTTTATTTGATCTTCAATATTTCGCTGCACCCTTTCTTTTCACAAGGATTCTGTCGCTAAGGTCTTCGAATCTTCTGTTTACTGCCATTAAGAACGTCAAGTAGCAAGTATGTGCCTGGCAGAACAACAACAAGGCTCTCATAAAATCATCCACGTCAGAATCTTTTGAAAGGTTTTCCTCGTACTTGAATTGCAGCGGTTTTTAAAATCGTTGTGAGAGATCGTCTAGAAACAGCTACGCGCAGTCATTCCAGAAGTCAGGATCATCCAGTGTTTACACAATATTCTTTTCATCTGGTTTATTTGCTGAGACAGTCGCCTCGATCACATTGCACAATGCCACTATTGCTGCTCTGTAAGGTCCACCATACAACCCAGCAACAGTTCATAGTCTTCAAAAGAGGTATTTCAGAAAGGTTTCCATTCTCAAATATGTCAAATGCTGCAAAAAAATTGACTGTGTCTGTGAGAACCGTACCCACATGTTCTCTACGTTGTATATTGTCTGCTGCCACTATTTATTTTTCCAAACTCTTCAAGGCATATATAGCTGTAGGGACATCCTATGGAGCCTTACAAAAGAGCCTTCGAGTCAAAGCAAGGGAAATTTGAACGCATAAGAAGTATTCAGTCATTGAATGAGGCGGAAATTGGGCGAGATTCCAGACCCGAGTGGCTTTTCCCACACTGCATCAGTACAAGTTATCATGAAATGGTGACGCCAAAGAATTTACGCTAAATTACGGCTCTTAATCGGTAACTATCGGAATAAGGTGCGTGTCTTGTTCGGCAACGTTGCATGACTGTTGATATTAGGGGTTTTAAAGCGCACGTGCTGAGCTATTGTTCTCCCAATTAGATCTTTTGTTTTTCCATGTCCACGTTGCCGTCGCCGTCGTGGTTTGCTTAAGGTCTCTAATAATATTGAATAGTCCGCCATAAAGAGAAGTGCACCACCCGGAAACTCGTCTCTAGTCTTCCTCGGTTATTCTTCTCTCAAACAGGTTTAGGCAAAATCCCGAATAGCGTTCGTACCAAAGTTTCCAACATGGCTCAGGTGCGGGTAGGATGCAGTTGATCTCTATTTCGAAAGACTTGTTTGACGTTTGGCAGCGGACGATTCTAGCCAAGGTAAAGTCATTCGTTTACCACATGCATACTTTTCACTTGATTCATGTCATTAGTAGAGAAGGACTTGTCTTAACCCTAGTAGCTTAGCGCTTCGGTCAGCACTTCCTGTTTGTTTAATAGATGCTCGTATTTTACGAATTGGAGCTCATAATTAATCTTGATATCACTATCGGTAGTTTTGTTATGTTAATTGATTCATTTATTTGTTATTATTTCGACGAATTTGGCTGGATTCGCTCGGCTACGAGGTATGAAATATGCGTTTTAAGAAACAAATGGTTGAAATTCGTGGACATGGGTTGATGTCAGATTTTAGAGTCTGTTTTGAAAGATCTTGACATTATTGACAGACGCTTGCACAATGTGATAATGAACAGTAGTCTGTCAGTAGTCTACGTCTAAGCGTATGAAATTCGTCTGCGCAGTTAACGTGCAGTCGCGAGCGGTACTGTAGTGCTTCGATCAGCACCTTCTGCATGTTTGTTGAAGACATCTCTGTATTTGCCAACCAATTGCTTATTTGAAATAGTGGCCTAATTCATTTGGGCCTCCAAATTGGAAAGGTGTTTTCAAATAGTACAAAGTCAATTTTCTAGTTTACTCCTGGCTTGTTGAGAATTTAATTTGATACATTCCTTCATTTTGAGCCTAAGGAACAACTGATACATGTCCCTCTACCCCCTCTTAAAAGCCCCAGTCCAAGTTGTCAAGTCTTTCACATGGAGCGTGAGACCTCATGCAAACAATTTTAATTTATGTTCTCAAGCTGAAACTATTGTTTCTTATAGCAAACTGCTGCTTTTGTAAACCCTTTAGCTCCCAAGATCTGAGTTTCGATTCTCCCTTCCAGCTGCTACACATTTCTTTGCTAATAAGTTACAAGAATTTGTTGTTAGATCGAGATAACAACTTTGACCTGATAAGTATGACTATTCTCATGACCTGTTTTATATTATAGGGAGGAGCTACTCATTTATCACTTTTGGGAATTTTATTTATTATCCTTTTAAGTATAATTTACTCCTTGTTCCCTTCAAACTTGCTTAAAAGTCTTTCCAGCAGTGGAAATGTTTGCTTATACTAATGTTGCCATAGCAACTTCATATTTGTTTTCACAATTTTGGGGGGGGGGGAGTATGCCCCCATTCTCCCTAAGGATGGTGATACCTGTTGCATCCCATTTGAAGGCTAATATGCGGGTGATAATCTCAGTCTTGAAGGTAGCAAAGGGAGGTTGTGTAGTGTGAGTGTTGTGGAATTGTGTGGGTTCCCCCTACTCCATTTGACTTTTAACCTTTAGCACCCTAAGACATTGGTATTCATATTCTCCACACTGTTCTCTTTACATTTCCTATGGAACAGACAAGGAGAATTTGTCAAAGAAGTATATTTGATTGTGAAGTAAATGGAAGAGTCAGTTTAGAACATTACAGCTACAAATGCAACAATTATTTAATTAGTGTTTTAATTGATGAAAATCTTTCTTGGAAAAACCATGTTGACTGTGTTATCACCAAAATGAGTAGGAACATACAAATGATTGCTAAGTTGATATGCGTTATTACATCTTCTGTTGTCATTAATATCTGTAAATCCTTATTTTTAACTAATATATCTATATTAGACTCGCTGCTTGGAGCAATACATCTAAAACATATATTAAGTAAACAAATTTGTTGTTCTCCAAAAGTGCATATTGTGTTTAATTTGCTCTGCTGATAGAAAAGAACATGCTATCCCCTTATTTATAAATGCAAAAATTCTACCTATTACCATCTAATATTATGAAGCTGTATATAAATTAATGCTGAATATTGATAACAACAGAGCTTATTAGTGCACTTTCTAACATCATAAATTTTTTATGGGAACATTAAACAATTATACCCATTTACTACCACTGTTCATCAATGTCACAAGTGCTTCAGGTTTCAAAATCTGGAATGAGATGCTAAATATCAATAGAAAGTTTTGTTGAAGAAATCCTTCAAAAAAGAAACAAGAAAGGTTTCTCAATATTCTAGAGACTGAAGATTCTTGTTTCAAGCCTGATGAAATAATGTGTTATATAAATTCAAACAGTGCAAAATTGAAATAAATTGTACCTGCAGTTGAAACAATATTTTAAAGTGCACTTAGATACTCAAGGACTTTTTTATCTTTTACAATGAATGTCTTTCATTTTCCATTTTCTTTTCTTGTGTATCTTTTAATGTTTTTTTTAAATGTATTATTGTCATATTAATTTTACTGTCAACAAAATCTGCTCAAAATTTTCAAAATTTTAATTTTTAGAGAAATTAGTTTTAACTACTTAAATGGTTTATTTACAAAAAAAATCTTAAAAAGAAGGTGAGATACAGCTGAAAGGATGTTTTAGTATAAGCCCGTATGAAGAGTGAAAGATGTCATCATGGGAAATGCCTCAGACAGAGTGTTGACGTTTTCTGCAGGCTTTCATCCAGGATCCCAATTTGCATATGTTGTTTTCATCACATCTTGCACTGCACATTCACTGGGAATCTCTGGCCCATTTTGCAAAACATTGAGTAATGAGAGCCTTAAAGAGTTCACTAATAAGAGGGAGAGAGCTCAAGCCAAAGAAATTGAAGTTAAGTTGTTCATTTTCCAGAGCTTGCTTGGTGACTTTTGGATTATGTTTAACTCATGTTCCTGTTTCATGAAATGACCTTTCCAGCAAATTTCATTGGAGTTCTTTGTCAGTTAAGGCTTAATTGCCACTGGATTCCACATTGTGTCTCATTGTTCATTCATTTGACACTTGCTTTCTAAAAGGAGATGGGAAACTGTAAATTTCTTTGGTGGCCAAAAACTAGAAGTTTGTTATTATACAAGTTACCTGTACATTAATAGGATATGTAGATTTGTTGGACTTTTGTGAAAATTGGCTTGTATGTCCATTGGTAATTATCACACAAAAGTACATGAAGTTTCAAAGAAATTCTAAATATTTCTCTCATAATTCATTGGAGTTTGAAAACAACAGAAATATTTTCTATTGTCCAACTTCGCAATGTATTTTCTCAGGAAACAATAAGAATCTCAAAATTGCCTGACACACTTTGTTAGCCTATTATCTGCTGAGTGATACTGTACAGTTTGTTTCAAGGTCTGGGGTAACACAGAGGCTGGTAATTCAGTGATTGAGAAGCAAACACTATCAATGTTGCATTTAAATGCTTACATGCACATACCAAAACAAAAACTATGAAAAATGTTATTTCCATAATCTGTACTTTATAAGCTTTACTGTGATGTATTTTTTTCTGTTGTAATCTGATCACATCTTTATCGTCAAATAAACAGATATCAAATATTGTGCATGTAAGTTTTCCCTGTACCTTTTCACTTCATCTTTGATTAAACTAGCCATGATCTACTGAAGATCTCTGTTAATAACAGTTTCCTTAATTAGTAATAGCACAAGTAGGAAGATTTTTCCAGAAGACAGCCTATTTTGTTGACAGCAATCTTAAGTAAAAATTTGACCAGCCAGGATTTGCATCTGCTATCTGCAAGTTGAAAGAATATTTTGTATATTGAATATGAGAAAATAGATAAAGTGTGACATGAGAATCAGGAACTTTTTAAATTTTTGATGATCTCCTTTATTCTTGTGACCCATACATTTGATTCAAGGTTGATACTGTAAGGAGAAATTAGAAGCCAATCACAGCTCTTAGAGGTTAAAGGGTTAAAATGGAAGATGCAGCAAACTTATTTTATTGATCTGTTGCATGATATTTAACTCATTGTTTGAGTGCTGTAATATTCTGGTGTTGCAAAGTTAGAATAAAGTAATAATTTTTGTGTGTGCTCTATAAATGTCGCCTTCCATGTATTAATTACGAGCATTTCTTTACAGAGGACTTGATTTCATGGCTTCTGCCACCCCATCACAACCTTCTACCAAGGAGACCTCTAATTATGCCCAGCTCTGTCGCCTTCTTGTTGAAGTTGGATCACTTATGCTAAGGGAGATCTTTGACCGGGTATGTCCACCAGAAAACCTTCATGCAGTTCTGACTAATCCCACAAACCATGCCAAACTACAAACATTGCGAAAGAAGAGAGTCCTGAGTACCTTCCAGTGGGGGAAACTGTATCCTGTCTCCAAAACATCAGTTTCCTCAGGGAACTTTGACACCTCCTTACTGCTATTTCTTCTGAGGAATATCTTTGGTCTGAATTTCCCTGCCTCTGGCCGGAATAACCTTCCTCCAGGATCAGACACCTCTCCAGAAGCTGACATCACTCGCATCAAGTTTTTCAGGGACAGAGTTTTCAGATATGCTGCTAATGCTTCAGTTGATGATCCAACCTTCAGTTTGTACTGGAACAACATCAAAGACACTTTTCTGCGTATTGGAGGGACCTGCTATGAGGAAGTCATAGATGATCCTACACTCCACTGTATGGATGCTGATCTTGAAGAACACTACCAAGAGCTTCTGAGAGAGTGGTTGAAAGATGATGACCATATCACAGACAAAGTGCATGGAGACAAAATTGTGAAAAAGGCCAGGAAGGGAGGGGACATGGAGGATTCCCTTGACATTTCTGAACAAAATTCATGGGAGAGAGGTGTGTGTTATTCTTTTTTCAAACCTGAGTTTTAAATTAACTTAAATTTGCTGAGTCAGTAATGAAGTCATACTGGATTGTTAGATGAAATGAATTTCCAGCAGATTTTTTTTAAAAGTCACAATTATGCATTATTGAAGTTGTGAATCTTTATTACCTTAAGCTAAGTCAACTGTTACATCCATAATTTGCTTTTGTCTTCATCTTTTTTATCTTTTGATTTTTATTTCAGTAATTGAAGTAACTTTCACATACAAAAACTACAACCTTCTTTTTCAGAGACAGTATTAATGCCAGGGGAAAATACATCACCAGAGAATGGCAATGGCAGCCCACCAGAGCTCAGTGTGAAACTTCCAAAGTTGTGTGATCTTCCAGCAATCTCTTCTTCTTGGGAAACTGTTGAACTTCCTGTTGATATTGTTTTATTAGCAGTGGAGGACTGTGAGTTCTTAAGTTGTTTTGCCTACCTAAAGGAACCCTTTAAGAGTTACCACATCAGCACTGGCCCTGTGTACTTTGGGTGCATGGGTGATGATCAAGGAAAGAAAATGAAAATTGCATTGATGAGGTGCTCCAAAGGTCCTGATGTTCCTCAGGGTTCTTTGTCAGTTTCAAAAGATGCCATCTCAGTACTGAGACCCAAGGCTATCTTTTCTGTTGGTGCCTGCAGTGGTTTGAATAGCAAAAAGGTCAAGTTAGGAGATGTGGTTGTTTCAGCAAAGCTGATAACAGCTGTATACAAAACTCCCCCCAGCAGAGATATTGGTAACCTGATCAAACATGTGGCTGATGGGTGGAAGGCACCTTTACAAAATGCTGATGAATATAATGCCAAAGTGCACTGTGATGGAGTGGTTCTGAGTATCTCAGAGGCAAACAGAGATATGATTAGGAAACATCCTGAAGCAATTGCAGTTGAAATAGAAGGTGGAGGTGAGAATCATAATAATTCAAATAATTGATGAGCCAAGCACTTTTGCACATGTAGCAAATGTTTTGAAAAACACTGCTCTGGTATTGTCTCTGCTGGTCCAAGCATACACCATATAACATGCCAAATTTGCAGGAATTGTGTATCTTGTATTTAAAGTGATTTGATGTTTGGCTGGGTGAGAAGATTATTTCACAGGTGAAGGTGACTGAGACTTCTTCTGGATAACTAGATTGAATTTGCTCCATTAGGATGTCATGAATTATTTTAAATTTGTCACATGAAAAATGTAGAAAGTATGTTGTTCAATAGTTTCAGAGTTGAGGAATAGTATCACAGTCCCTGTTAACCCTGAAACTCCCATCAGTGACCAAGATAGAATTTCTCCTTACAGTTTCAATATGATATTAAGCAGACAAGTAATGGGAAAAGAAAAAAGTGTGAATTAGGGGATTATTGGTTGATCCAAAACTAAATTCTCCTAACTAACATCATAGGAATTTTATGACATACATTAACCCTTTAACTCTTATAAGTGATTAACATGTAACTTCTCCCTATAATATCCATACGTTATCCAGCAAACAGGTAGTGAGAATACTGAAACTCATCAAGTAAAAGATAAAATTACCTTGATAAAACATCCAATTTTTTTGTAACCAATTTACAAGGAAATGTGTAGCAGCTAGAAGGGAGAATTAACAATCAGATCTTGGAGTTAAAGTGTTAAAGAGGATCATTAAAGAGATCTTAGGAGTGAAAGGGTTAACTTTAACTGACAAAACTTTGTCTTTTGAAAAATATTGAAAGTTACTTGATATGAAACAAGATGAAGCCTGAAGAATAGTTTTACAGTCTCAGTGTACAATTTTTTTTGATTACTGGTTGAAAAAAATTAGGTTTCTGTTCCAACTAATGTCTTTCTGCAATGTGCATGTTTACAACAGCAAGAGTGCAGCTAGAGTGTGACTCTTTGTGAGCTTTGATTGAACAATTACATGTATTTTAAAGATGCGAAGAAAATTAAAGCTTAAGATATAGTTAACAGACATTACTGTTTATTTGTTTTGTTTTTTAGGAGTGTATGCAGCAGCCCATCATTTTAAGACAGAATGGATGGTAGTCAAGGGCATCAAAGACTTTGTAGATGAAACGCACTCTTCAAGTAAGAAATGGAATGAAATTGCCTGTGTGATGGCAGCTTCTGTTGTGGCCAACATTTTGAATGATCCAGTCATATTCCAAGATTGGCCTCATTTTAATGCAGGTATTGCTTCCTGTCTCAATGTTCTCTTTTTACAAGGATAGGTCTGACTTAGATCTAAGTTCCCTCAGCATATTTTTGTATGAATTATAAATCAACATGATTTAATCAGTAATAGTTGACAAAGAGGAAATTAAGTTACCCTTATTTTGAGTTTACATACCAGTAAGTGTCTAAAGGTGATGGGAGAAAAAACTTGTGGTTAAATTGAGTGATGTAATGATGAATGACAATTCACTCCATGAGCCACGTGAACTGGCCTGTTTTCTATAGTTAGCTTGGATATGGAAAATTCAGAGGCTAATGACATCTGCCAAAGTGATTTGAAGTGATTTGATATATGTTCCTGGGCCAATAAGAAACAAATCAAATTGTTTTAAACTAAAAAAATTGATTAATCCAGTACTACATGTGTGACTGTATTTTGATGGTGAAACTATTGGAATGGAAAGGGAGGTGATAAATACCAGCACATATGTTTATGGTTCTGTTTTTTTTGTTGTTGTTGTTGTTTTTTTTTAACCCTTTATGGAACCTGACATGTTAGTAGATTGAGACAAATAAATCAGATTGTAGGTAAATTTCTTAAGAGCTAATGTCAGCATGCATCAAACAAACAGCGGCAAGTCACCCAAATTTGTTTCCCCCCTCCTTTTGTCCTTTGAATTTCTCTGTCACGCTTGTCACGCACTGATATAATAAGTTAGAGAAGATAAATAAACTGAAACTCAAATCTGGCTGGAACGTGGTAGAGCATGATTAACATGATCATCGAAACAGCTAATAAAATCATAAATAAACAAGGTAAGAGTGTTATGTTAGACTTTGTACCAATTGTCGTGATTTACGCCAATTAACGGTGGCGACAAGTAGGCGCACCATGTAGATTTCATAGTCGCTATCAAGTAAATTTTGCCGGACTTTGAGTTCGTCTCAAGATAGAACAACACAAATACACAAGGAAATTTTTTACAGTAACTTTATAACCATCCTTTGGTCTTTTAAAAGCATGCAGCTCAGTAGATTGTGTCATATCAGTCATTGTTAAAACTGTCTTTGTTTTGATGCTACTTTTCGACATAGGAAAAGTATGTCGGACAAAAATATTCACCAAAAAATAAATATTTCTTTGGCAGCTTCAATAACGATAGGGGATTAAGTCTAGATGATAAAGCAAAGGCTTATGTTCACAGAAATAATACCGGAGGTCTAGTACATTCATTACATGAAGTCACATAAGGTCGAAAAATGAGGTCGTTCACCTCATGTGAAAAATTAAGAATTAAACCCAAATGTCCACACTGTGTTTTCATCGGCAGTATCTTTGTCTGTTCGTGGGTACTCGTGTACAACTGCTGGAGTGCACTTTTGTGATTTCTAAGCGTCTTATTGAGTTTGATCTGTTCAGAATCGAGTAGATATTGACATAGGTATCATTGTTTATCTGCACGTTTATGTGAATTTGTGATGTAAATGTGCTTATGAAATTGCGCTTATCTTTCTTACTAATGCAGATTCGCTACGTGACCTCAGAGACACAACTGATAAGACAGAGATTGAAATGAAGGAGGTTAAAGAGACGCTTTGTAGCCTGACGACCACAGTGGAGAAAAGCACAGATGAAGGTTGGTTGCTAGAAATAGCTACTCACAGATAAACTGAACTATCAATAGGGATTCCGTTCCGTTAACTTGAGTACACTTTTCAGGTAATGTATTGTTATAAGAGCACGCCTTGGCTACTAGGTTAAACCTAAATGAAGATACCAGGTAATGTGTGGGATGAATGGGATGGCACGGAATCTCAGGTTACCTCTCAGATTGGATAGCTTTCTGACATCACTCATACACATTTGGCCGAGAAGGGTTATTACCTTATTTTAGTTTTACTTTTGTTAAGGACATAATGAATCTAACTTCCTAATTCGTTAGATTTTACCTGCATATTCTTGAACAGACTAATGCAATCCCTCCTCCACTCAAATTTTTTGTAGAGTATTCCATTTTACATGGAAAAAATTTCTGAATGAGGGCTGTGTTAGTAAAAAGGGGCAGGAGAAGGCGTATGTGGTTATTTTAATTTTCCCGAGCGAAAAACTGTGAACGAAACTTCACAATGCATTGCAGCCGGACCTCTGGTTTGTTCCAGCGTTTTCCTTTTTCTATGATTAAACGACGTGAAAACGAGGGCGGAAAAGCGTTCTTTGTTTTGTTTTTAATTAGTTCTTACAATGGTCTTTTTTACCGACAAAGATCTTACTCAGACTATCGACTCTAATGATATCAATATTTATCTCCCGAGTTTCACTATCAGAAACCGCTGTAGCCGAGCCATAAGTTTTTTTCGAATATTGTATAAAATTTAAAAACAACAACAACAACAACAGAGGAAGGGAAAAGGATCTATTTAGTTAACTTTTAATGAATAAAGTGACTCTCACTCGGACTAAAAGTTCCAATGTTATTCCACGAAAGGGTCTGTTGAGAAAATGATAAAGATGGACAGCGAACTGAAAGAAGTGAAGGAAAAGCTGTGTACTTTGACAGCCTCAGTGGGAGAAAGCAAGGATGAAGGTCAGTTGAATTACACAATAAAAGTTATCCTGCTTAACCGCAAATTTCGCCGTAGTCAACATGGCCTGTATGTGAGAGAGGTATAGATCATCCTATGTTAAAGAGATTCAGTTTTTCAATTTAGACAATCTCTGGAATAATCTCTACGGTGTGCTTTCATTCCCTCCAATTGTTCAAACTTTCACCCGTAATTAGCCTGGAAAACTTTATATTTTGATTAGAGTGGAGAACGAAATAAAAAGAAGTACAGTTTTAACGAAAACATTGGCATTAACATTGGCTCGATGTTAGAAATTAACAGAGCAGGTTCCACTGCATTTACAAGCCAAATAGCTTTTGGTCAGTAAATTGACATGAATCATACATTGATACCTTTTTCATCGTCCAAGTAATTTCTTTGGCAGTGGTGTCGTATTCTCGTTCGCTAATTTAAATTCAGTGCCGAATACCTAGTAGCATTAGATGTAATCCGCATATTTCTGAATAAAATAACTAAACCCTTCCTGCGCTCATATTGTGGAGTATTCAATTCTACATGGGAAAATAGTTGAATGAGGATCGTCTTGAGTAAAATAGGTTCCTAAGGAAAAGACTGTAGGAAAAACCTCCCACTTCATCGCAGGCGAGTCCCCGGTTTTTGCAGCTTTTTGATGAAACCGCGTGACAAAGAAGGCACAAAGGCGTCGTTTGGTTTCCATTTATTTGTTCGTAGTCTCGGTATATCCCGAAAAAGCCTTTCTCAGACTACGGCTCCAATGATATGAATATTTATCTCCCAAGTATTTTATTTTACGACAGAGTTTCACTGTCAGCCGAACAAACAGAGTAGGTTTACCTCAATTCATAATCTAAATGGCTTTTAATCAGTAAGCATGAATCATACACTAAAAAGCTTTTTGCATCGTCCAAGTAATTTCTTTGGCAACGGTATCGTACTCATTCACTTATTTAAATCCAGTGCCGAATACCAGAGAGGCACCACAATTTTAATGCTGCATTCATTAGATTTCTTACTTATTTTGCCACTGCTAGGTATTTTGATCCAACTGAGCTTATCAATGGAATTCGCCAGCTGTACAAGACTCGCGAGGGATGGCTCTCACCATTTCCATGGTGTGAAGAGTTTCAGTTTTTCTTGGCAATATTTTTACAAGGCTCAAAGTGGTCAGAAGAAAGAAAACGAGAGGAGTAATCACTGACGTATTTGTTGACATGTCGTCAATACTAGACCCGTATGAAGAGTGTTCAGCGCCGAGAACAGTGTTGATTGAAGGAGAACCTGGTATGGGAAAAACCACCTATTGTAAAAAGTACGCCTACGACTGGGCCACAAAACAGCAAAAACCTCAGGGCTGCGGCTCCACAGCATTTAAAGTGGTATTGTTGTTGAAATGTCGAGACATCCATTCTGACGTCTGGGAAGCCATTGATGATCAGCTGCTGTCCCTGGACATCGATGAAAAAGTCAAAAGACAATTTTTTCAGTTTATTCGTGAAAATCAGTCGAGCATTTTATTGATATTGGATGGATTGGATGAGTTACCATCCGGCAAATTGTCGATGTTTTCCAAATTAATTGAAGGAAAAGCACTCCCCAGATGCCACATAGTTGCAACAGCAAGACACGAAGCTGGAAAAGAGGTGAGAAATGTTGTGACGCGCTGCTTCAGATCGAAGGATTTACTAAAGAGCATGTGATAAAATTTGTCATCAAGTACTTTAGAGAAAGGAGGGTTTTAGCCATCAAGCTCTTGCTACGGATGGGGCAAGATGAAAACCTGAGAGAAATAGCGGCCAATCCTCTAAACACAGCACTTCTTTGCCTTTTATGCGAAGAGTTTGAGGGCACACTCCCCGAAAGCAGAGCTCAACTGTACTTGGATATGGTTGAATGTGTTTTGAGAAGATATAGAAAAAGGAAGGGACTACTAGAAAAGATCGAAGACTTGACAAACCATTACAAACCGCAATTGAATCACCTTGGAAAGGTAGCGTTGAATGGTTTACTTGACGATAAGTTGGATTTTAATGAAAGTGAATTAAGAAACCATGCAAAAGACCTGACTGAATTTGGATTTCTGTCAGTGCAGCCTGGTGGCAGCAAACTGAGACAAACACTGCACTATGCCTTCTTACATAAAAGTTTTCAAGAATTCTTTGCAGCATTCTTCATTTCTTCTCAGATTCAAAGCAAGGAGATGAAACCTGAAGAACTAGTTTCCGATCCAAGGTATTTTGTTGAACTTAAACAAATACTTTTGTTTTCGTGTGGAATTTTGACCATGAAATGCGATGAACAGGTTGTGGCTCTTGTAAAGAGTTTAACAAATGAAGTCAACAAATATGAAGGCCGTGGTGCAAAATTGTATTGAGGCCATCAACGAATGCAAAAGAGAAAAAAGTGATTTTCACTCGCATTTATCGAAGTCGTTTGGAACTGGTTTGAATCTGACCAATTTGAATTTGCAAAACAATAGTGTTAGTGATGTGGGTGCTAAATGTATTGCTGAGGCAATCAAAGTGAACAAGACGCTAACCAATTTGGATTTGCGAAGTAATGGTATTAGTGCTGCGGGTGCTACATGTATTGCTGAGGCAATCAAAGTGAACAAGACGCTAACCAATTTGTATTTGTCTTGGAATCGTATTAGTGATGCGGGTGCTACATGTATTGCTGAGGCAATCAAAGTGAACAAGACGCTAACCAATTTGGATTTGCGTTACAATGGTATTAGTGCTGCGGGTGCTACATGTATTGCTGAGGCAATCAAAGTGAACAAGACGCTAACCAATTTGGATTTGTCTGACAATGTTATGTGCTGCGGGTGCTACATGTATTGCTGAGGCAATCAAAGTGAACAAGACGCTAACCAATTTGGATTTGTCTGGGAATGATGTTAGTGCTGCGGGTGCTACATGTATTGCTGAGGCAATCAAAGTGAACAAGACGCTAACCAATTTGGATTTGTCTAGGAATCGTATTAGTGATGCGGGTGCTACATGTATTGCTGAGGCAATCAAAGTGAACAAGACGCTAACCAATTTGGATTTGTCTGGGAATCGTATTAGTGATGCGGGTGCTACATGTATTGCTGAGGCAATCAAAGTGAACAAGACGCTAACCAATTTGGATTTGCGTTACAATGGTATTAGTGCTGCGGGTGCTACATGTATTGCTGAGGCAATCAAAGTGAACAAGACGCTAACCAATTTGGATTTGCGTTACAATATCAAAGTTTTAGGGCACTGCCTTTAAAGTAGGCAGGTTCCCTTGAAAATTGAGGGCCGAAGGCCCGAACCTCTAGGGGGGTCCGGGGGCATGCTCTAAAGTGCCCTAAAACTTTGCTCCCCGGGAAATTTTTAAAAGATAAGTCTCCCAGAAACGCATTTTCCTGCAATCTGGAAAAGAAATCTTGTTGCAATGATGCATACTTAATCTATCATAATAAAAAGAATGGTACTCTGGGAGAATTTGTTTATTTCACTGTTGTTTTCGGAGCCTCTTTTCGCTGTCGAAGTTTTATTGCTAAGTGGATGTAAAAATTGATGTTTTAACGTTTTAGCTCTGCATGGGAAGACCAAGAAATGTAGAAAGTCTTAACACACTCGTGTTTCGCTGTTGTTTTCCTTATTTGATCCTTTTGTAACATGAACGGCGCCCCGCGTGGGCGGGTTAACCGACCTTGAGACGTTTACATGGCAATGTTGCCCCCTTGCTGACAGGGTTACCCTACCCTGTAGACTGGGCAACCCGCCTAGACGGGTCGCCCCACCTATCATGTAAACGTGATCAAGATGAAATAATAGATTATATGGACAGGCGGGTTACTTCACCTATCTGGGACTCCCCATCTCCTTGAAAACAGGCCCTCAGTAGTCATCGGTCTGCTTTTTTGAGTCTATTATTCGAATAAGAGTCGCGTAATGACTTGGCATTTATTCGGGGGCGGCGTTTATCAATATTTTTGCTTTAAAATACGGCAGTTACTCGAGGGTGTTTCATCGAATATAACGTAAACCGACGTAAACCGCTCATAAAAAATTGATCGATTCTAAAATAGAACAGGACAGTTGTAAATGCATTGTGACCCTCTCGATGAGCAGTTTGGTGTACAGTTAAACATGATTTATTTCTGTGTGATTTGTTGAGGACCGACATCTTTCAATGTACCAATCTCAATCAGCGAAATAGACCAGTTTGTGCGCACGTATACACTATAGTACATGAAGAAGCCTAGAACTTAGGAGAAGTCAGTAATTTTCAAGAATCCGGCGACACAAGCAAAAATTCAACCTTTTTTGTTTGCTCCAAAAGACCCTTTTGGTGAATTGTTTTCAAAAATAATATTCAAAAGTTCCAGCGAGTTTTTATTTTGGCAAAAAATACGAAAGTTCGAAATCGGCGAAAACGTACCTAATTTCCATAATTTATATCGGGCTTTCAGTGCATTTTCACAACGCTCGTACTAGACAACGAAAAATTATCTTGGATTCATATTTTTCATCCCTTGGAATAGCTCTCCAACTATATTTCCTCTCCAACTAAACTTTCTTTCGTTTGCAACCACCCGCGTAAAGTACATTATATTTTGTATTCCGTTTGTACGCTGAATTTTGCCATATTTCAGACGACCATAACATCGGGGGTATACGAATGTACATAAAATAAAAGAGCTCTTTTCAACGAGCAATTCTTCATGTTTATCATGTAAAAACATTATTTTTGGCCCGTGAAAAGCGAGCGCGCCAGACCAAAATATACAGCGTGCATTTTCACGGAGTTCGGCTATTTTCTTTGCTGTATTCCTATTGCAAATCACACGCTATTGGGACAAAACTCGAAGTGTTTGGTCTCTACTTCTGTTTTGATTCATTTAAATCTATCAATTTTAACTTAAAAATTACCCTACCTTTATTGTTAAGGGAACAAACCACCGTTTTACGTAAAGTTTTTGAGTTTATTTTTCTCGAGTGCTAAATAAACAAATCGCTGTTTATAAAGATACCAACTCTGTCGACGTGTTTTTGGCTGAAATTGGCCCGTCGCTTATATTGTTTTTTAATTTATAATCTATCCCACTGGCATAACTTTAGAGCAAATTACAGGTAACTATAAATGTTGTTGTAAATACGTGACTGTGAGCTAAATAAAATCTTCGTACACATAAAATGTTCGAAACATGTAGCTGTCGCAAGAAAATACTTGATTGTGCCTGAACCTCGTGTATACATTCGGTGTTTTGCTCGGTTGCTTTTATAGATTTCTACTAATGTCACTGTAATGAAAATAGCATGTTTGTGTAGCCCAGCTGTTTAGATACATTTTCAAATTAACTCTAGGTTGGAATTCTATTTGAAAAGATTGTCGAAGAAATCTGAGAAATAATGCAACATACTCCATCTCAGACACTGATTCATGGATTACCGTAGTAGACCACTTTCTAACCCTGCCGAGAAATTATTCTCATGCAACATATAGAGAAATGCACTTATGTATATGTAGTCTATGTTTTTGAAGTAGATTATATCTGCAGATCTCAGATTCCCCAGCTAAAGGTATCCTGAATCAATTTCCACAACGCAAATACAGTTGGTTGGTGAGGTAACCCGCCTAGGTGGGGTAAGTCACCTGTCCATATAATTTCTTACTTTATTTTGATCACGTTTACAAGATAGGTGGGGTGACCCGCTTAGGTATGAGGTTCTTTTACGGACAAAATTTCGAACATGGATACATTAATGTAAAATTAAATAAATCAATTTCATCCGGAATACATCGATTTTGGACGTCATACATCGATGCATCGATGTTGTGCAGCATACATCGCTTTCCTGACTCATTCATGCGTGACCTTATATAACTAAAAGATGTTCAATAAAACTAATAGATGAGGAAGCAGAAATAGAAATGACCGGAAGTCAGATTAAACAAGAAGTCCCGGAAACTAACACTTTCAAAATGGCTGAAATAGAGGCAGATGATCAGTGAAGTTTGAGAAGCACTATGCAAGGTGCGCGGATTTGGCTGCCCAACATCGAAGGATTTTTTACGTCCTTGGGTAGGCTACTGGAAGGTGCAAAAAAAAAATTAAACTTCTTGAAAACAAAGCGAATAGTCCCAAGGGTAATCTATTGTTTGCGCTATTGTTTTCTTCTAACAAAGGACTGTATGCATAATGAAGTATGGGGCTGTGCGGAAACTTTGCCAAGAGATCACCTCAACTTCATTTGGGAAGGCTTCATCTATTCTTAGAGTCAAAGTGACAAGAGTTCTTTCGTTTTCTCGTAAACGGCGACTAAAAAATTCAGCCGAGTCCTAGGACGCATGGTTCCTTTGCCCTTCTGCACTTTCCAGTAGCCTGCCCAAAGAAAAAAAAATCCTTCGATGTTGGGCAGCCAAATCCGTGCACCTTGCATAGTGCTTCTCAAACTTCACTGATCATTTGCCTCTATTTCCGCCATTTTGAAAGTGTTAGTTCCCGGGCCTCTTGTTTAATCTGAGTATTCCGGATGAAATTGATTTATTTTATTTTAAGACTTGTATTACAACGCATAACAGTAATGTAATTGAACAAAACATTAATGTATCCATATTCGATATTTTGTCCGTAAAAAACCTCATAAGTTCTGTTTGTGATACAAGTTTGCCAATTCCCCATCAGCTTTTGGAATCGACTTAACCCTACCTTTACCATGGCCGGACACTTCTTTTGGCACCCTACATCTGCTACTGGAACCACGACTCCACCCAACACCGAGATTTGATCTATGAGT